GTGGCTTTGCGTTTGTGTATGAAGCCCAGGATTTGGGCAGCAGTAAGGACTACGCTCTCAAGGTATGATGACCTCTTCACACAAAATGTTAACACTCACAGATAGCCTCAGTACAATCAATACTGACCGGCATTATGTGTGCTAATGAAGTTAAATATGCTCTACATAACTGAAATAATGAACGTGTCTTCAAAGAGCAATATTCATCCCCTTTTTAAAAATCTTTATTTGAACATTTTTATCCATATACGATCATATAACAGTGTTGTTATTGTGAACTTGGACTATTAAAAATAACATCTTTGGTAATTGAAATAAAATATAATAAATGTTAGACTTCAACTTAACATTTATCATTTCGGTTAACATTTTTTTTCTTGGCAACTAACTGAAATAAGTTGAAGCACTAAAATTACTTAAAAACGAAATAAAAATAAATTAAAGCTAAATATTTATATTAAAATAGAGAAAAAAATATATAAAAAAATTACAAATAATAATAACAAAGTTACAAAATTTTTTAAATATTTAATTTAAATCTAATTCAAAATATGAATAAATACTATAATAGTGTATAAATAATACTGTTATAATATGTCCATATACGAACTCGTAAAACATCATCCATTCATCTCAAGTACTTAAACTCATAATGCACGAGACGGGCCTTGAATAAAATAGTATATCCAAGGTTACATAACATACACACAAAATGTGGAAATTCACTTTAGACTCATTTATTTGCCCTGATATTTTAATAATTTGGGGAATTTGTCACTTTTTTTTCAGTAATTTTGCCTTTTGTCAACAGGTTAAGGTTTAAAAAAAAATATGTTGTTAAAAGTACTTTTTTATTCGTTTGTGTGCAGAGACTTCTCTCCAATGAAGAGGAAAAGAACAAAGCCATCATTCAGGAAGTCTGCTTCATGGTAATAATTCAATGTTTTTAACCCTTAAATGCATAAATATTCCGGTCTTTAGCGACCCGGATCTATATCTAACACGGATGACTCTCTGACTTCTGATATTTTAAAAACAATTCCAAAATGCTCAAATAAAACATATTTCAATACCTTTTGTTACCAATTTGTTATAAAATGTTGATGCATCACTGTCATCGTCAGAGCTCATTTCCCCAGTACATTCAGCATTCGGCTCATATTCTCTCAACCATATTCTTAAAACTATTGTTTTCAACGTCTTCAAAATCAATATTTTGACAGCTTCTTCACCAGATCCACATTAAGTAACAGTGATACTAATATTTGATTGCGGTACAGTAATTGCTCTGGAATAAATCGCTGAGCCATTTCAAGTTTTGATCAGGATAGTTGTCTATTCTTTTGTTTAATGCCTGCAGTAATTATGAGTGAAACAGAACGTCATCATTGTGTTTCTGAAATTGCCACCTTGAGTAGTAAAGATGAATTGGACTTATTGAGTCAACAGAGGTTCAATTATTGTTGCGCAGATAAAATATACTTACACTATTGGGTCGCTAGCGATCCTATAAACTTTTTACAAAAAATTAATTAGAAAACGGACATTCTTTTTTTGATTTTATTTTTTTCTTGTTGTACTGTTTATGATTAATAAATTGAGGAATACTAAGATGTCTAACATTTAAAAAAACAAATGAGGAGGGGGGTAGTGAATAACGTCCCGGGTCGATAAAGACCCGATGTATGCGTTTACGGGTTAATTTAACAAGTTAACTACATTATTACAAAATGCCCTAGCTAGGCACAGTTTTTTCATGCCTAGTTATGTTGCTGGCCAAAGCATCTCTTGCATTTTTCTTTCACCAGTTTGCAAGAAACGAAAAGAAAAGAAAAAGGAGCATTACCCAGTAATTTAAAACCTTTCTAAAAGCTATGTCCATGTGTTCTGTGTAGAAAAAGCTGTCCGGTCACCCCAACGTCGTGCAGTTCTGCTCCGCTGCGTCCATCTGTAAAGAAGAGTCGGACACGGGCCAGGCTGAGTTCCTCATCCTCACAGAGCTCTGTAGAGGTACGAGCGCATCATCGCAAACACACTGTGCTGGGCTCTCGCTTATCAGAAAAACACCTTAGTGGAAAATTCATTAATAAATCAAATTATCAAAGAAAAAGAAAAGAAATAAAAAAGGGGGAAAAAAGAAATTATTGTTATTTGCAGGTATCTAATGACAATTTTTTGAATCTCCAAATTTTTTTTTTTTATATATATATATATATATATATATATATATATATATATATATATATATATATATATATATATATATATATAAATATTTATAATATAAATAAAAATTGCAATATTTAAAAAAAATCTTTTTAAAATAACTTTAAGAAATTGAAAAATAAAATTATTTTCTGCATTTCTCCTGTTCTCTTGTTGTCTAGTAGTTGTCTAATAAACCTGGCATTGAACGAATATTGTTGGCTCTTTGACACATTGCTTTTGTTCCTCTTTTGTAAGTCCTCTTATGTATTTTGTAAATACATAAATGTTAATATAAGAAGATCATGGCATTAATCAGGATTTAACTTGACAGCCCTGTAACCCACCTTAGCACAGGTTGGTCTCCGTTACTGGATGGATCTCTGATGTGCATTTAAACTCATATCTTTGGTTTTTATAAAGGAAAGGGAAACTCTTGTCTGACTTAACACATTCCTCTCTCTCCTTCTGACTTTCTGGCACTGGCGTCGGTTTCCTGTGTTCACGTTGACCTCCGCCCTCTGTTTCCTGCAGGCCAGCTGGTTGATTTTGTGAAGAAGGTGGAGCAGAAAGGGCCCATGTCATGTGACACAGTGCTGAAGATCTTTTACCAGTCATGCCGTGCTGTGCAGCACATGCACAAACAGTCTCCACCAATCATACACAGGGACTTGAAGGTGAGGCTCCTCCCTCTTTCAGGCTGCAGGCGAAATCCTTGAATATGATTTATTTACAGAACTTAAACATAAGATATGATCAAAGAAGTGTTTATTTATTTGATTAAATGTAATAGGACTTGTAAATGTTTTACATAAAAAATGTTAATGACTTAATGACTTAATTTCAGTTAATAAGCATATTTTATATTTATTTTTTATTTTATAATAATAACATTTTAATTTCCTTTTTTTATTTATTATTTATTTATATATTCTCAGTAGATAATTTTTTTTTACTGTATTTTTTGTTTATTTATAAGTAATTTGATAAATTTAATTTATATGTAAAACATTTATCTATAAACGCATTGTACAGTACAATTAATACTACTATAGTGTTGTTGTTTGTGTGTGTGTGTGTGTGTGTATATATATTTATATAGATAGTTTATTGTGGTGGTAAGTAATACTTGGCATTAGGTGACTTATTGCTTTAATAAATATGCACAACAATGTGTATATTCTCATTTGACCTTTTCTAAATGATCAAGTACATTGTTTGATAACATTTCTTCTTCTCTGTAGATTGAGAATTTGCTGATCAGTCACCAGGGCACCATGAAGCTGTGTGACTTCGGCAGCGCCACTATTGTGGCACATTACCCAGACTACAGTTGGTCTGCTCACAAGAGATCTATGGTGGAAGATGAGGTAAGAAATGCAAAAAAAAAAAAAAATCTTCTCGAGGCACCTATCCAGCTTTATGCTACATAAATATTAGTACCAGGTTAACATCATCATGACATCGTTGTCCTCTGGTTGGTTCGTTTTGCCACAGTTTTGATTGTGATTCATGGATTGTCACAATAATTGTGGAAATTATTACTTTGTTATGTGGCCAGAGAGAAATATTTTGCAGTGATTATATTAAAATCTCTGGCTATTTCCCGTGGAAGCCTTCACTGATTTAATTGTTTTGTTGATTAAATTAGTTTGTTTGGTTTCTGCTCCTCTTAAATCAGTTATTGGTAGTAAATTGAAACCCACGCAACGCACAAAGTCCGCCATTCCTCTTTACATTAATGTCTGTTTGTGCTTCTTCAGTGGAAGTGCATTTTTGTAAGAACCCAATGAGGACCAATTTTAGCATTTTACAACCTAGCAAAGTTGTTATTTTTTTCTTGTAGTGTTGTGTTTAGTTTTGTAGATGTACATAGACGTTCTGTTATGTAGTGGAAGATAATAATTTAAAGGGGACCTATTATGCCCCTTTTTTCACAAGATGTAAAACAAATATTTGATGTCCCCATAGTGTGTATGTGAAGTCTTAGCTCAAAATACCCCACAGATCATTTTTGATAGCATTTTAAAATTGCCAAATTTGGGCTTGTGCAAAAACGCACCGTTTTAGTCTGTTTCCCAAATAATTCCGCCCCACTTTTCCGACGAGAGAGGTCCTCTGTATAGGCAGTATCATAATACATAAACATACCTGAACTCCTGTAGCGAACATGAAACGTCTTCATTGATAACCGAGTACCAACAGACTTGGTCAGCGGTTTTGCGTCTGTCTGGCAAGCAATATCTCGTGTTTGGCTGCTCTGTTCTGATGTGCTGTACTTTACAAATAAAGATTCCACTATCAGCGCTTTAAAAAAATAACAACATAGCTGGACGGACGGACTCATGGTGCTATCACACATGCTATCACAAACTTTATAAGTCTAACATGTTATTATGAGCTTGACAAATTCAAAAAGCAATTTGGAAAACCAACGCGTAATACTTCTAGATGTGTAGCTGGATCACGAACAGTTGGAACTGCTACATCCTTCAGGAGCAACTTTTTAGTAAATAGATAGAGCTATGTGGATTAATACTAGCCTGACTATGTCAGACTTCGTACTTCCATTCAATTTCAGTTCGCTTCTGTACTCAGTTTAAGATAGCGACCTATCTCTCAGTTTTCCTCCGTCCTGAAAACACCCGGCCAATCAACGAACAGAGGGCGGGCTGAGAGCCGTGACGTAGGCGCTAAGCACCGAGTTTAAGATTGTATTTTAGGTTAGGGAAATCGAAAACGGCCGCGGATATGTAGACAAGGGATGCAATTCTCGTGGGCGGGGCCTGTGGCTGTAGTGACATCTGTAGTGACACTAAAGCCACTTTCTGAAAACAGGTCGTTGGGAGGGTGGATTTTTATCACTGTAGGGTGGTTGTGTACACACACTGCCAACACATTTATGTCCAAACATAAATTTTGCATAATAGGTCCCCTTTAATACTTTTACCCCCACAAGGATGCATTAATTTGTTTGCAATCGCAATTGTGAGTAGCAAAAGAAGTTTGAAATTGCTAATTATATATTTATAATTATACAAAAGATGCAAATAAATGCTGAACTTTTTATTCATCAAAGAATCCAGAAAATATTTAATGCGGTTTCCACAAAAATATGAAATTACTGTTTTCAACATTGATAATAATAATAAATGTTTCGTAAGCAGCAAATCAGCATATTAGACTGATTTCTGAAGGATCATGTGACACTGAAGACTGGAGTAATGATGCTGAAAACACAGCTTTATCGTCACAGGGATAAATGACATTTTAAATTGTTTTAATTGTAATAATATTTCACAGAATTCTTTCAACTTTTGCACAATACTTTAAACTGTTGAGAAAGGCCCATTTATTTCTCATAAATTATTTCTCTGAATCCACACACGCACATCTTTGAACATGTAGGCCCACTAAATTATAAACCATTTTATTCTCTGTTTATCTCTCAGATCACTAGAAACACGACTCCAGCATACAGAACACCAGAGATGATTGACCTGTATTCCAACTACCCAATAAACGAGAAACAAGACATATGGGTGAGTTATGTTTGAGTGTTTTTTTTTTTGCATCAAATAATCAATTATTTTTTTGTTTCAACAAGTGGCGCACAGAAAAAGTTCATTTAGTTTGTTTCTCCACATAGCTGTATTTTAAACGTTAAATAAGTTCTGACTGCCAGTTTTTGATTTGGCGCATTAGCATTACTTGTCACATAGCACCTGGTGAGGACACAGTGTAACAATAACACACACTTTTTCTCTCTGCAGTTGTTATTGGTTGTTTTTAAAGAGTCTTGGTTTGTTCCCTATAGGCTCTGGGCTGCATCCTGTACCTGCTTTGTTTTAAGCAGCACCCATTTGAAGAGGGAGCCAAACTTCAGATAGTAAACGGCAAATACAACATTCCACAAAATGACATCAAGTACACAGTCTTTCATCAACTCATCCGTAAGTATCCCGCGGGCGCTTAGCTATATTCCCTCTTGCCAAAATCTCTCCTACTTCATACTGTCATTTTGCTTGTGAATGCAGTTGCGTGAAAAAAGCCGCGTGTGTTTGTTCCAGGATCTATGTTGAAAATCAACCCGGAGGAACGTCTGTCGATCAGCGAGCTTGTTAACCAACTGCAGGAGATCGCTGCAGCCAGGAACGTCAACCCCAAATCTCCCATTACTGAGGTACAACCCGCGTGTTCTGAGGATCTCTTAGATCAAGTCTTCACTAGTCATTCATAGGTTGCTAAATATGTGATGCAAGAGTTTATAACGGGAAACCAAAACGGGTCTTATAATGGAATGACCTCTTCTGTTAATCTGTTAATCTGCCAAGCCAACAAGGTTATTATAAATAAAAAATGGCCGAATAGTTAATTAATCAGCCAGGCTGATTAATCTGTCAGACTGATTAATAGTCATTTTGAGATCATGACATCAGCCGATAACTGTATCCACTTTGTAGATTAAGCAAGGGCCGGTTTACACTTGGTCACTTCATGCATTTTTACTGATCAGATCTGATTTTCGTAAAACGGTTCCATCTACACATGGCCCAAATAAATGTGTCTCCGCCAAACGAATATAAATACGATCTTCAATACCTGCGCTATATTCAAATTTAACGGAGTTCCCATCAACGAAAGCAACAGATATGAGCTGTATTTTATTTATCATCAGCTTATTTCAAGATCAAAGACCGCAATAGGAGAGAGAGCGGCATCAGCACTGGTAAGATCATTTAGTCTCTCTCTACTTTAAATGAAGACGATTGTGTGTTGAGCGTCTGCGACTTAAAGGCACAATATGTACGATTTTTAGATTCAAATATCCAAAAATCACTAGAACAATGTTATATATTTTGTTAAATATATACTTGTGTACTTGCATTATCCCAAACGTTTCCAACAATGTTTAAATCCAGAGAAATCAGCAGTTTTAACCAGGAGCGTGTCTTTGTGTCGCCTGTCAATGACTTCATATCTGCGTTACCCTTCTTTCGTAGAAACCATGGAAACCCCAAAGATATATTATGTGATTTATTAGACAGGTGAGAAACTGTTTGGATACATTTATCAACAGGAAACTAAACTAATTTTTATATAGCTCAATACTGTTAGTCTTATTGTTTGAATGTCTTTGTTTCCTTGATTTACCACGAGTAACATGTTTATGCCTCAGAGACAACACTATCTTGTCAAGTGGCTAGCATGGCAAAATCAGAGAGAGCTTTCTTCATCATACAATACTTTTTTAAATGAATTGCATGTCATTTAGCAACAAGTCATCCAGTTTTTATTAATATGATATTCTATATCGATCTAGCTTACCTTAAAGCGCAACAAGTGTTTCATACCAGCCACTGAGCGAGTGCACAGAGTAACGTTCAGAGAACGGCGTTTCGCGCAGGTCTCTCTCATTAAAAAGAGCCTGTTACTACAGTAATGTTAATAAAACTTACATACAATAGCTCATCCATGAACACGATTTCTGCCCGAGTCTGTCGGATTGCTTTGCATCGGCTGTGGAGGTCAAGATGATAACTCCCATGATCATCAATCTACGCCTTTGTTTTGAGCAAGCGACCTCTAGCGGCGAAAATTACATATTGTGCCTTTTATTTGCGTCAGTTGGTGCGTCTGCTTGCTGAAGAGATACTCAGCTACTCATCTGCTGTGATGCGTGTTGCAGTAGCGCTGTCATATCTGGCTATAACATGTTATACAGCCTATAACATGCTCTCACACATTTACTTTTGTAACATTTTGTGAGGAGTAAATATTTACATGTGTAAATATTTGACATATGTGGTTACAACAACCAGATGCATTTACACTTGGAATGCGTCTCAAACCACTTCAGGAGGTGTGAGGTCTGAGTGATCGGATTAAACTCCGGCATTTACACCTGGTCTTTTCACGATTGGATAGCTATCCGATCAGAGAAAACGCATGAAGTGATCAGGTGTAATGTAGGCCCAAAGATGTAAGCTGGTCTTATGTCAGTTGTAAAGATATAACAGCATTTTTTTTTTTTTAAGTGAAGTGACGTGAAGGCCAGGTATAGTAATTGATAACCCATACTCCAAATTTGTCCTCTGCTTTTAATCCATCCAAGTTAGTGGACACAATTTGTGAGTAGTGAACATACACACACTGCAAACTGACACACACCCGGAGCAGCTGGGGCTAGGTGCCTTGCTCAAGGGCATCTCAGTCATTTTCTGCTGGTATTATTGAGGATCGAACCCGCAACCTTACTAGTCTGACTCTGTTCATTAGGCCACGACTGCCCTAATTTGAATGCATAATGTACATTTTCAATTTTCTAGTGAATTAAAATTGTGTATATATATATATATATATATATATATATACACACACTCACCTAAAGGATTATTAGGAACACCATACTAATACTGTGTTTGACCCCCTTTCGCCTTCAGAACTGCCTTAATTCTACGTGGCATTGATTCAACAAGGTGCTGAAAGCATTCTTTAGAAATGTTGGCCCATATTGATAGGATAGCATCTTGCAGTTGATGGAGATTTGTGGGATGCACATCCAGGGCACGAAGCTCCCGTTCCACCACATCCCAAAGATGCTCTATTGGGTTGAGATCTGGTGACTGTGGGGGCCATTTTAGTACAGTGAACTCATTGTCATGTTCAAGAAACCAATTTGAAATGATTCAAGCTTTGTGACATGGTGCATTATCCTGCTGGAAGTAGCCATCAGAGGATGGGTACATGGTGGCCATAAAGGGATGGACATGGTCAGAAACAATGCTCAGGTAGGCCGTGGCATTTAAACGATGCCCAATTGGCACTAAGGGGCCTAAAGTGTGCCAAGAAAACATCCCCCACACCATTACACCACCACCACCAGCCTGCACAGTGGTTACAAGGCATGATGGATCCATGTTCTCATTCTGTTTACGCCAAATTCTGACTCTACCATCTGAATGTCTCAACAGAAATCGAGACTCATCAGACCAGGCAACATTTTTCCAGTCTTTAACTGTCGAAATTTGGTGAGCTCTTGCAAATTGTAGCCTCTTTTTCCTATTTGTAGTGGAGATGAGTGGTACCCGGTGGGGTCTTCTGCTGTTGTAGCCCATCCGCCTCAAGGTTGTGCGTGTTGTGGCTTCACAAATGCTTTGCTGCATACCTCGGTTGTAACGAGTGGTTATTTCAGTCAAAGTTGCTCTTTTATCAGCTTGAATCAGTCGTCCCATTCTCCTCTGACCTCTAGCATCAACAAGGCATTTTCGCCCACAGGACTGCCGCATACTGGATGTTTTTCCCTTTTCACACCATTCTTTGTAAACCCTAGAAATGGTTGTGCGTGAAAATCCCAGTAACTGAGCAGATTGTGAAATACTCAGACCGGCCCGTCTGGCACCAACAACCATGCCACGCTCAAAATTGCTTAAATCTCCTTTCTTTCCCATTCTGACATTCAGTTTGGAGTTCCGGAGATTGTCTTGACCAGGACCACACCCCTAAATGCATTGAAGCAACTGCCATGTGATTGGTTGATTAGATAATTGCATTAATGAGAAATTGAACAGGTGTTCCTAATAATCCTTTAGGTGAGTGTATATGGTGGTGTTATTCATAAATAATAATACACAATATACACATCATATGACATTTAAATACATTACAAATATTTATATTCTGTGTAAATTAAAAAATAAAATATAATTTGCAATCATTCAATTATTGCAAGTAGTATGTGTATACATGTTAAATCAAAAATCCCAAACTCTTTGCTCTCTATACATCAGCACGTGCCATTGAAAAAGCCACTGTGATCTGCCACTTGTGTCACTTCATCTTAATTTTAGTAAACTCCTTCCGAGCTCCTGTTTGATCACCAGACTGGTTTGGTTGGTTGAATGAGGCTCTTTGGGTGCTTCATTTAAAACAGACCCCTCATTCTTTCACACTCTCTCTCTCACACACACACATGCAGAGACGAGCAGAGTCCCACATACTGATCGCAACTCTCTGAAGGGCCATTTAGAGACACCGCCGCTCTCTTCCTTTCGAGTTCTGTCCTTCTTTCCTTTCCTCCCTCCATGACCTCCTGGAGACAAAGGAGCATCTCATCCCTCTTTTTATCTCTGACCTAATGGCCGCTGATCTCACTACATAAGACAGAAACGGGACTGGTAAACAAGTGGGAGGACAAGAAAAGGATTGGCCTGCTCCAGCCATGTTTGTTCGAAAGACGTCTGATTTGGACTAACAAATCATGGATTAATAATTATGCATGCGTTTGATCTGGTCAAGAGCATCCATACAGCATTTGTACGAGTGTTTGCATACAGAAGTCAGTGTTATGGTCCTATGTGCACACATAGTGGAGAGGGCGGCTTTAGACGCATCTGATCTGGGTTAAGAAGGGGTTTCTCTCTGGATTAAAGTGATTACCACCAACAGCCAGAAGCAGAGACACACAGAGAGCCTGCAGCGATCGAGTCGTCTTGGCGTTCTGCAGTCATCGACTGGCGTTCAGATCCATGAGTATTCTGGAGTCTGTTTCCCTGCTTTTCTCCTGCTGTGTGTGCGCATCGGACTGTTTTCCAGATGAGTCTGTTAGGTTCTTACTACTGTCTGAAGTCTGTGTATGATGGCTATGAATCCCTACAGCTCCTGGAGCAGAACGGAGGTTTCGGGAACAACAGTGCGCAGCTTCCTTCTCAGATCAACAACATAAACAACGCTGGTGAGTTCTGAACTCAACTCATTTTTTGGCAAGGCGTTTTCTTTTTAGGTTAATGTAGATTTGTGGCTTCCGTCTTATTCAAATGCCATTCTTCCTTTGTAATTGATGCGATCTGTCGTCTGGACTGATTTCACACAGCGGTGAAGACTGTGCTGTTCAATCTTATCCTGTTGCAGGATCTGTTGATGCGCTGACATCCTGTGTTTACATGCATGACATTTAGCAAGTTTCTCTTTGGTTTGTGATGCTGTTTTTCCTTTTCAGTTCTTTAACACGCGTATTGTTCATTATTTATTTTGGTTGGTTAATTTTCTTAATGTTTATTTGCTGTTATTCATTATTTTAATCAATGTTCATTTTTATTTTTTTCTTAATATTTGTTAGTTATTATTATTGTTTGATTTGTTAGTTATTTTTTGGGGGGGCTAATTGTTAATGTTTGAGTGTTTTTTTTTTTTTTTTTTTTTTTTTTTTTTTTAAATAACTTTTTAGTTATTGTTCGGTTTGTTGATTCTTTAGTCTTGTTGGTTGGTCATTTATTTTTTATCCGTGTTTTTTTTTTTTTTTTTTTTTTTTAATGATTGTTTGAGTTATCATTTATTGTTGTTTTTTTGTGTGTATATTTGTTAGTTATTGTTATTAGTTACTATTGTTTAATTAGTTTGTTATTCTTTAGGTTATTAATGTTAAACATTAATAAGCTAAAGAATAACTAACCAATTAAACAATAGTAACTAATAATAACAATAGCAAATTTATCTAACAAATATAAACTAAATTGATTGTTTGTTTGTTGTTCTTTTTTACATATACAAGTTAACTTTAGTTACTGTTTGGTTATTCATTTTTGTTAGTTATTTAGTTATTTTTGATTGTTTTGTTAGTCATGTTGGTTAGTTTGTTATTTCATTTATATATTTTATTTTAGTTTTATTGTTACTTGTTTTTTGTTTTGTTTATTTATTTATTTTTTGTGAATTATTAGTTGGTTGGTTAGGTTTTTTTCTTTTGGTTTGTTAATGTTTTCTTGTTTTTTTTGTAGTTACAAGTTATATGACTTTTTAGTTCATTTTTGGTTTGTTAATGGTAGTTAGTTTAGTTGCTTTTGGTTGTTTCTTTAGTTAATCTTGTTGGTTGTTTGATTAGTTTTTGTGTCTTGGTTTGATTTAGTTAGTACATAAACTCTTCTGTGAAATATTTCATCACCTGTATACCTTGCTCTTTGTGAGTCCTTGTGTAGAGTAAAACTATTAACCTCTACTAATTATAACATGCAGTGTATAATAATATAGACAAGTAATATCCGGCTCAGCTGTATTTTAAATTGTACTCTTTGTTAAACTGCTAAAAAGCTCTTAATGCCGCACATTAATGTATTCAGGAACTGGCTGAGTTGTGTAAACAATAATTTCTGGCTTTAGATCCACCAGCTTTTGTGGTAATAAGAAGCACTATGTTGTGAGAGATTCATATCAAAGGGTATTGAAGCTTCTAGGATACAGCGGCATCAGTCGTGTCATTATACTTTTGTTAAAACCTCACACAGTTTAAATGAGCTCTTCATGACCGCTTTAAGTTCAGCAGCGTAAATTTTCACCTGACAGAAATTCACACACACGCAAATGCATTAAAGTGCTTGTACAAAAAGACCCTCGCTCATACCTGCTCTCACACACACACACCACTAGACTTAATAGGGATCTGAGGCGTGTTTCAGTGGACGGATGCATCAGTACAAACTCAATTTTGAAAATTTAGCTAGACATTGTATTTCAGCCAACATGATGTTTCACGAGTGTAACCCTCCACTTACCATCATGCTGCCATAATACTGTACACAAACAGATAATGCCTCGTACACACCCCTGCCCCCATATTTACCCCAAGGGATGGTTCCTCTCTCCATGCTGTAAGAGGATTGACCTCTAGTCACCATCTGCTGAGTTTACCCTGATTTTCTAAAACGAACACAGTCAGAAAGTGATAATACTACTCATGCGACCGCACACGCGATCCTGTCTCGATTTCAGTCCATTTAAAGGGTTATATTCTACACTTTTGTAGCATTTCCTTGTCCACTTGTAATGTTAAGCAAGATTTGTTGCACCACAAAAACTCTGCTTACTTTTATTCTTAGCTTCTGTTATCTTTTGCATACTAACGTTTTGGTTCGTTTTTGTTTGTTAAAAATACAATTGTTCATTGTATGTTCATTGTATTTATTGTTGAAATTAATTACGCTGTTTGTTCGTTAACTAATGTTAACAAATTAGACCTTATTTGTAAAGTGTTAGCAATTATACCTGAAGCTTATTTTGTTCAATGTAAGTTCATGTTAGTTAGCATGAACGGATACAACATTAAAAAAAAGTTTTTTTAGTAACTGTTCAAATTAACTAAGATTAATAAATTGTTATTTCATGTTAACAAATAAGACCTATTTGTAAAGTGTTACCAGTTATTATCTTGTTGGTTGGTTGGTTGATTATTTTTTGGTTTGGTAATATATGTTAGTTATTTGGTTTTGCATTTCATTACAAAGGTGTATGAATACTGAATAGGCATTTGATATGTATGAGTTTTATCCCCTGTTACTGAATGTTAGGCTCAAATGCTAAGATGTTGGTCATGTTACATATAGCAAATCTGTTCAGCTTTGCAGCTTGTTCTGGTTAAAGCCAGCCTACTTGGACTGGAAGAGACCATCAGATGCCTGAGCAAAGCTACATAGTTTTCAAAACTAAATGTTTTTCCAAGATCGTATGTCATGAACCTCATTAAGTAACCCCTTAAAGGGTTAGTTCACCCAAAAAGTTCAATTCTGTCATCATTTACTTGCTTTCTGTCACTCCATAGACAGCTACACAACTGACACTTTGACGCTTCAAAAAGTTCATAAAGAGATCGAAAAACTAATCCATATGAATTGGAATTGAGTGGTTTAGTCCAAATTTTCTGAGACTTGATCGCTCTATACGATGAACAGATTTAATTTAGGCTTTTATTCACATTTATACAAATATTAATTAAAGCACACATTAGATATGGTAAACGGAAGCTCAGGCATGTTCGCTTGACTTGTGAGAACCAATGAGGTTCATTCTTGTTACGCATCACGTTTGAGCTTCAGCAAGAGGTTTATTCCTGCGCATCAAGTAGGTTGAGGTTCTGTTTGTGTTCGCTGATCAATGTTTATATGGATTCGTGTGGATTAGTTTTATGATCTCTTTATGAACTTTTTGGAGCATCAAAGTGTCAGTTGTGTAGCTGTCAATGGAGGGACAGAAATCTCTCTGATTTCACCAAGAAGATCTTGATTTGTGGATGAACGAAAGTCTCACGGGTTTGGAAGGACATGAGGGTGAGAAATTAATGACATAATTGTCATTCTTGGCTGAACTAACCGTTTAAGATCTGATCATTTGAGTTTTAAAGAACTGTTCTTTGAGACGTGTTATGAGATGATACGAGTCATTGCATTGAGGCGTTTCTTGTGTGCATATGTCAAATATATTAAGCAAACCTATTCTTCTGTAAAATCACTTTTGACAAACGTTGGCCTGCAATGATGTGCGTGTTTGAATCTCCAGGTGTGTATGACACAGACCCGGCCATGGGTGGAGGCTTCCTGGATATTCTGAAAGGAGGAACCGAAAGATTCCTCACCAACATCAAAGACACTTCATCCAAAGTCATCCAGTCGGTGGCCAGGTGAGCGACTCATTCCCACTGCAGTAAAACACCCCTGCGGCTGTCGCACATTAACAAGTGCACATGCCTTGCTTGAGTATGTCTTGGCTTGCCATGGTTTCGCTATGATGCACCACTTTACGCTGAGCCATTGACAGATTCAGCCGAATGAAGGAAGAGGTCGTAGTGGTGTACTAGAGAGTTCTGGTAATCTGCTGGTGGTTAATCTGATATCACCTTATCTAGCTCTCAAGCACTTTGAGCATGTTTTCTGAAGTCTGTGCTCTCTTCTTGGTATTAATTCAGAGGCTCTTTTTCATGAGCTGTAGCATTTTAAGGCTTCAAAAACATGCTGTCCTGACATGAAGGCTGTTTAAAAAGCTAGGCAGAATAATTAGGAAAGATTCATTTTGACAAATTCTGCACTACCGAATGCATCATTCACAGACCGAATGCATTGTGATGAAGAAAACAAAACATTCGAGACAGAGGATGAAGCAAGACTAATTAATCCTTAATGCTAAGAGTAGTTAATGTTATTTATAAATATATTTTGCTTAATTTCCCAAAGGAAAAAAAAGAAAAAAGTATAATATTAAAAGTTGAGTATTTTACCCAAACATTGCACTATATGCATTTGTATTTCTCATACCAGTGTTACTTTAGCTTTATTGCATACTATAGTAGTTATTAATATTTCGCATTTTTTTATATTTTCAGCAATTTTGTTTGCAATCTTTTGTCATTTATTTTAGTTATATTTATATTTAGCTTTTATTTCAGTTTTTGTTTTAGTAATTGTAATACTCCAACTTAATCTTATTTCAGTTAAGGCACCCGCACACTACAAGATAATCGGGCCGATTTTGGGCCCACTTCTCCCCCTCTGACAATAGTAGGAAAAGTCATGCTAATCTTGATAGTTTTACAGATTATCTTATCAGATTTTCCTGTGTTGTGTGTGTGTGTGAAGTGTGTTAAGAGTGACTGAATCTGCTCGGAAAAACGTCGGAGCCGCATCAATCTCAAATCGTAAAAATCTAACATGTGCTTGTGGGAACCCCTGGGACAAACGCACACACACTCTGTAGAAGTTACCAAGAAACGATAACTAATAACGAGTTGACGGAAGCTTAACAATATCCACGCTTTTATCCTAACCTTTTTCTTTTTTCTGCTAATTTTTTGTAAAAAGCAGTCCAAACACTTATCACCATTTTGTCTTGTCCGTCATCTGGTATGTTTGTTTACTCTGAAATCGCATTTGACTCTCACATTTTGAAAATCTGATAAGATTTAAGTGTGTTCCAGCCTTTAGTTGCCTTGGCAAGCAACATTTCTAACTTTCGTTTTTCATGTAATATTTATATTTTAATTCAGTTAACGAAAACATAAATTTTCCAAAAAATAAGAACAAAAAGACATTTTAAAATGTTGTTGTGGTTTCATCAGATATTACCTCATTCGAGTGCGTGCTGCAGAATTATTCCTCTACAATGAACATGTGATGCATGATATCAGATTTTATAAATAATTGATTCGTATGATTTTTTTCCGGAGCGCTGCTTTTGTTTGTTTTCCGGTAGAATAACAAATGCTTATGCTTCATGCTTGATAAAACAAAGGACATTCATAAAATTGAATAGGTCATTTCTGAGTTCATGTTGATTTGATCATCAGAAGGTAAATTTGATCTGTCTAATTGTAGGGACTATGTTAATCTCTTGGTAAACTCAATGAGGGTGTTTTGTTTATGACACACACTGATCTACCAGATCATAAATTCCCCTCCATAATCCGTTTGCATTTATTAATCATGTTTAATAATTATCCCCCTAATCATCCCCACAAGTCTGTCGTGTTTATTTTCTCCTCAGTTGGCCCAATTTGCTTTAATTTTTTTGTTTTGTTCATTGTCTTGTTTTGTTCATTTGTTCCTGAATCACATTTCTCGGTCTCAAATCACCAACCCCTTTCAGCTCCAGGTAACTATGGGACAGCGCCTGTGTGTTTGTGTTTAGCGTTACACGTGTGTGTGTGTGTGTGTGTGTGTGTGTGTGTGTGTGTGTGTGTGTGTGTGTGTGTGTGTGTGTGTGTGTGTGTGTGTGTGTGTGTGTGTGTGTGTGTGTGTGTGTGTGTAGAGATGTTGTGTGAACTTCTCCACCTTCATCTCATGGCTTTGTATGCTGTTTGTTCATAACCACAGTCTGCTCCCATCAGCAAATAGTTTCTTAAAAGTTTGAACAGCTTGCCTACTAAATGCATATGTATGAATTCTACGTTGAAATGACATTAAAGGAATAGTTCACTTCATTCCATACTATATCATGGTATATTCAAATTCTTCTATATTTATATGTAAACATAGACCTTATGTAGCCCCTGTCTTCCAGTTTGTATTTCCACAGCATGACGGTAAGAGCTTATGGATTTATGAATGAACCGCTGATTTTAATATCTTCCTGGTCTACTGAGATTTGATATGACATCCACTTAAACATTACAATGCTCATGTTAACTTGCGTTAACTCTACTATAAGTAAATCCTCTTCTCCAGCTAATTACTCTTCGACAGTGATGCCATAGAAATATACAGAGCTACCGCAAAAACTGAACTTCAAACACAACATTTTAAAGATGGCGGCGTACTTGTTTCTCTGGTGCATAAGATCTTTACAGTACCTTTAAAAAGTGTGGGGTTGGTAATATTTTTTTAATGTTTGTGAAAGTGTTTTATTCTCACAAAGTCTACTTTTACTCGCAAAAACAGTGGGACTATTAAATATTATTAACTTTTTTTTATATATATTTTAAATGTAATTTATTCCTGTGATCAAAGCTGAATTTTCAGCATCATTACTCCAGTCTTCAGTGTCACATGATGATACATAATATGCTGATTTGCTGCTCAAGAAACATTTCTTTTTATTATCTACGTTGAAAACAGTTGTGCTGCTTAATATTTCTGTGATATTTTTTTTTTCAGGATTTATTTGATGGATAGAAAGTTGGAAAGAACAGCATTCATTTTAAATAGAAATTTGTTGTCACATTATAAATGTCTTTAATGCATCCTTGCTGAATAAAAGTATTAATTTCTTTCCAAAAAAAATAAAAAATCTTACTGACCCCAAATTTGGAACGGTAGTGTAACACACTGAATGTAAGTTAGTTTTTCTTTTTGGGTGAACTATCCCTTTAACTGTTGTCTTTGCTTTTTTTTTGTCCCAGATTTCTACGAAAGTGTCGTAAAGTTTGATGACTCTTGAGTTTTGATACAAGCCGTTACTCATATTCCTCTTGACAGTTTTTCTGCCTGTAATCTAGATGTTCTTCTTGCTTTGCTGTTGTGTTCACACATGTGTCCTATCCTGTCTCAGTTATGCTAAGGGAGACCTGGACCTGTCCTACATCACCTCCAGAATAGCAGGTACGCTCACCCGTGCAATAGGACTTTAGATTCATTTTGGATGTCTTAACCCTAATGGTGTAAGTTAATTACTTGTCTCTTTGTGTGTTTTTGCAGTCATGTCTTTCCCAGCTGAAGGAGTTGAATCTGCCATTAAGAATAACATTGAGGACGTGCGTCTGTTCCTGGATTCTCGACATGCGGGTCATTATGCAGTATACAACCTCTCCAAGCGCTCCTATAGACCGGCCAGGTTTCACAACAGGGTGAGAGTGGATAGCAAAGCAATTAGCTTTTTCTCAAATGCAAATGATTAACAATTACAGTGAATTGATGTCTTTCCAAATATCATGAAACCAGTGTTGTAAATAAAACTAAAGCTATTAAAAATCCTTTTTTTATTATTGAAATGAGCTGAAGTAAAATAAAAATAAAAAAGATAAAAACTTAAATGAAAACTTTAAATGTTGCCTTGGCAACTAACTGAAATAAGTTTAAAGGTAGGGTAGGCAATTTGTTTTATAAACGATTTTTGTTATACTAGTTGAAACTCTCTTCACATCCTGATAGCAATCAATAATAGAAGTGGTCTAAATATTAAAACATGTACATATATCTTCTGTGGAAGTCTCAGGACCAAAAAATGTCTGTGCAATACGATGTCCTACCTACCTGTCAGCGTATGCATTTCCACACCTCCGCGCATCACCTCATCACACGATGAGCTTTTAGACATGAGGTAATTCAACGTAGTCTCTCGTGATTCTTTGCAGACTCTGCTGTGTGTGTTCATGTGTTTTGAAAGAGGCGTGGCTTTGGAGACGCTCTAAAGGGAGGGTGGGATCCCATGCTTTCAAAGCTAGCTTGCTATTGCTAGCCGCTCTGAAATTGCCTACCTTACCTTTAAGTTGAAGTTTTACTAAAAGTAAAACTGGAATAAGATAAATAGAAATACATTTAAAAAAAACTAATGACAAAAGCCCAAAATACTAAAATGAAAACTAAAATAGGAAAATAAAAATAATATGAATTAATTTTTTTTTTGAAATATCAATAGTAAATAAATATAATCCAAATATAATGAAATAAATCCAGGTTAGATGTCATACTTAAATTGATACATATGAAAACAAGGCTAGATAGAAGCAACATTGATTGAACCAATGGCATAAGTTTGTGGCTTGGCTGTTTGACCAATTTTGCCAGTTGTAAATTCAATTCTTTTGGTGATATTATTGGCAAGGTAATGAAACCCTTCACTTTTAAATATGGTGTCTAGTCTTTCTATCGTCTACACATATTGTAATTGTTTTTCTGTGCCGTACTGTACTTGATGAAACTCATAATTGTGTTGTGTGTGCAGGTATCAGAGTGTGGCTGGCAACCTAGACGAGCTCCTACTCTGAAGAACTTGTACAGTATATGTAAGAACATGCATCAATGGCTCAAACAGGACCAGAGGAACATCTGCATCGTACATTGTCTGGTGAGCACACACACACACACACACACACACACACACACACACACACACACACACACACACACACACACACACACGGCTCTTTTCCACCGATATTACTAGCTACGTTTACATGGAAACCTTTTGTTCATTCTGGCTGATTAATCAATTGATTGATTCTGATTGATGAATCTGAATGTTGTGTTTACATGACCGCTAAATAAAGTAATCGGGTTGATGTGTGCGTTTATGTCACAAGCTTCAAATCTGATGTTTTTTTGGTGACATGCGCACACTGCACGAATATACAGACTTTCCCGCTGCATACTAACCAGTCTTCTTTTCTTTGTTTTGAAAAGAGCAGACTTAATATTGATCTATTTCGGGTCACATGAACCGTTGTGTCGTGCTGCTTATATTTATCAAGCAGTAAAAGCGGCCGAAACAAGGCCTGGTGGGACGCTGTCCTGCTCCACTTCACAGACGATGAGTGGAAGGAGAATTTTAGAATGACACAACAGTCATTTATAACTCTTCATTCAACAACAACAACATAAGTTCAGTGTGTCTTGCGGCATTTCTACGTCATTTTACATGCGCAGTGCTTTCCAGTTTCGGTTTTCAACTCGATCAAGTGTTTACTTGATCGGATTCAAAAAGGTTGAAACCACTCCTTACAATCAATCTGAATGAAATTTTGGGGATTTGGCCTATGCATTCTGATTGACGTGGTTACTTGTGACTTTTTATATTCGGATTATGCTACTAGTCTGAATAAAAGCACTAGTTGTACTACTGTCATCTTCATATTGTGGCGTTGTGTTTTTGTATGCAGGATGGACGGGCAGCGTCGGCTGTGGTGGTTTGTGCGTTCCTCTGTTTCTGTCGTCTGTTCTCTACAGCCGAGGCTGCAGTGTACATGTTCAGCATGAAGCGATGTCCACCGGGCATCTCGCCCTCACACAAGCGGTAACAACCTCTTCTCTTTTTCTCACTTTGTTCTTTTGAAGTAAGACCACAATGTCAGGACAGGTTATTCTAGAACAGAAATGGATTAATTCAGCAGCTCAGACACATGAACATGAGCAGTGAGCCGCGAGTGCGACCGTTCTTTGGTGCTGAGGTCACTTCCTTCCACAACTGTTCTTCGGCTCGCCAAGAGCTTCTGCCGAACTTCGCAAGCTCATGAGACTCTTTTGACTCTAACCAAGTGTGAATGTACTAGATGTAAAGGAAGTGACATAACCTCGAACGATTCTGTTGTTCACTTGAACCAGAGCATTGAGCTGCCATTAAAAGAGTATCCCAGGCAGTGTTATTTAGTATTATTTTATACCATTATAGTATTTTTCTTTTCTTTTTTTATTTACTTTAATTTTTATATTTTCAGTTTTAGTTTAGGTTTTAATAATATGATGTGCTTTTGTCATTTTATTTATTTATTTTCTATTTAGCTTTAATAAAAAAAAAATATTAAAAAAAAACAGTTTTAGTAATTTTAGTACTTAAACTTGTTTTAGTTGCCAAGGCAACTTTTTGTAAAAAAATTTCATCGGATTTCTATATTTTAACTGATATCTGATTCCATGTGATATCTAATGGTGTCTGATATTTCAGTTAACAAAAACCAGGGTTATTATCATTAAATAAAACTAATACCATAATGAAAACATTTTCATCACTTGAAAGTTTAAGTTGAAGTACTAAAATAACTAAAACTTTATAGACAAACTAATAAAATGGTTAAAAACACAACAAAATTACTAAAACTTTAACTAATATTAAAAACAAAATTACTAAAACTTTAACTAATATTAAAATCAAAATAATTCAATCTAATTCAAATAAAATTCTAAATATTAACAAAAACTACAAAAGTATTTAAAATAAGCTTTTTCTATGTTCATAAATTTGGTAACACTTTATTTTTTACAGTGTCCTTGTTACATGCAGTTACTATAGTAATAACAGTACATTGTGCATAATTACATGCAACTAACCCTAAACTTAACCCTTAGTCTACAGTATTTTTGATCAAATAAATACGTCCTCGGTGAGCATAAGAGACTTCTTTTAAACACACCAGTAGTGAACTGTATGTCATAACTGTGTGTTAACGGATTGCATTAACCAGTGATTGTGGTTGTGTGTAGGTATATTGAATACATGTGTGATATGATGGCAGAGGAGCCCATAATCCCCCACAGCAAGCCTATAACCATCCGCTCTGTCGCCATGACACCCGTGCCACTCTTTAATAAGCAGCGAAACGGCTGCCGGCCGTTCTGTGAGGTTTATGTCGGTGACGAGCGCATCGCAACCACCTCACAGGAGTTTGACAGAATGAAGTAAGTCACTTCCACACTGTGATGAAACTCGTCACATGATCCGGTGCTGATAGAGATAATGATGATTATCATGTTCCCAGCGTCTCCATCTGTAACTAAGTTCGCTGTTTTGCAGGGATTTTAAGATGGAGGACGTGCGGGCGGAGATTCCTCTGAATATAACCGTGCAGGGGGACGTTGTGATAGTGATTTATCACGCCCGCTCCACGCTGGGCGGACGCCTGCAAGCCAAAGTAAGACAAGTGACCAATATTTGTGTATATTCTCCTAGTACATGTTTATTAGCTAGATCTCAAATTTTAACAAATCAGTTACTGATCAGTTGGACTGTAACTTTATTATGAACTGCATGATTATGACATAAACGGCAACGTAAGAACAATAGTTTGACCCTCACTAACGATTTGAGCAAATCGAAGACAAACACACCATTGTATGGAAGCGTATTGCATTCACTTGAAGAAAAAAATCTACTCTGTTTTTCTGAAATAACGAGTAATTATCTCAGAATTACGAGATAATTTTTCATGGAAAAAAGTTTTTACTCTGTTTTTCTGAATTAACGAGTTAATTATCTCAGAATTACAAGATAATTTTTCATGGAAAAAAAAACGTTTTTGCTCTGTTTTTCTGAATTTCTGAGTTTTTGAGATAATCAAGTCATTAATTCAGAAAAACAGAGCAAAAAAAAAAATTCCATGAAAAATTATCTTGTAATTCTGAGATAATTAACTCGTTAATTCAGAAAAACAGAGCAAAAACTTTTTTTCCCATGAAAAATTATCTTGTAATTCTGAGATAATTAACTCGTTAATTCAGAAAAACAGAGCAAAAACTTTTTTTCCCATGAAAAATTATCTTGTAATTCTGAGATAATTAACTCGTTATTTCAGAAAAACAGAGTAGATTTTTTTCTTCAAGTGAATGCAATACGCTTCCGTACCATTGCACATTGTTATAAATGTTTTTTATTTACAAGAAAGAATTAAACTATTTGTACAGACACAGTACTCTTTACATTTTCAATCTCTCCCCGACTAACCCACAGCAAACTGCCTTGAAAGAAATTAATTAAAAGTTATAATTATAATAAATAAATAAATAACCGGTACCTTTAACAAACGGTACCTCATTTGTTGTGATTCCACCCATTTTAAGACACCATAATGTTTTTTTGCAGATGGCTTCTATGAAGGTGTTTCAGATTCAGTTCCATACAGGCTTTGTGCCCAGAAACGCCTCCACTGTCAAATTTGCAAAGTAAGTTTCAGGTTACTCTTACAATGATCTCATATCAGTTTCGCTTTTGGTTGTATGTCAAAATGATGATGCTGTATGTATTTGCAGATATGATCTCGATGCGTGTGACATCCAAGAGAAATACCCTGACCTCTTCCAGGTACAAGTAAATGTGGAGGTGGAGCCTCAGGATCGCCCTAGCAACAAGACTACGCCCTGGGAAAACTTTGCCACAAAAGGACTTAATCCCAAGATCCTTTTCTCCAGCCGAGATGAACAGCAAGAGATCCTGACAAAATTTGGTGAGTTTTCTCTTTATTTGGTTAGTTTTTGTAAGTTTTATTTGGTTCTGTCTTTATAAGAGCTTATATACGGTCCTTAATAAGTCTTTTAATGTATTCAATTAATTTGGTTCAAATTTAAGGTCATAAACAGTCTTTAATATCTATAGCAAATGTCTTAATTTTAGGACGTCTTAAATTTGGGCACGGAAAAACGAATCGGGATATGGCCTAATGTGATTATATAACTTCAAAAGGCTATGATTGAATTAAAATGATTGTGAGCCATTTACTGTTGACGAATTATGGCAATGTTTACTTTATGGTGTTTATATTGTAATTTGTTGCAGATGGTTGTAAAGTGTAAGAGTGCATCATTTTTCCCCCTCCTCTATTTGAATGAACAGCTGGGAGTAGTAAAACATAGACATTTCAAAATAAGAGTCCTGGTCTATTTCGGGATTGTTTATAAATTAAAAGTACCGTATTATGCATAAAATCTTTTTTTTTCCAGATATTATTGCTATTTTAGCTACACAATAAACTAGGGCTGTACGATTCAATCGTAATTGATTTTCGATTTTGGCTTCCAATGATTATGAAAACAAGATAATCGAGGTAAACCGATTATTGTTCCGCGGCTGCATTCTGTCCAGCGCACCTTCCTTTCCTTCACAGCGGTGCGCTTTCGTTCCTCCCTAAAAGCCCAAACTTAACATCGTGGAGAAGCTAATGGACTTTAGATACGTGCACACACAAAGATGTCAAAATTAGGGCTGTCACTTTACGTTCGAAAATCGATTGCACAATCGATCGACCCAACCAACGAAAATAGGGAATCGATTTTAACAGCCTTTTTTTTTTTTTTACCAAAAATGTGTTTTAAGTGGACAGATAAACACAGTACACTGAACATGTAGGATGTTGGGATATAACAATGTATTTTCTGTTAACCAAATGCCTTTTAATATTCGCTATTACTTCAATGTAAGTGAACGAGTGCACCGTTATTTGTTGCGTAGTGACGTGTGTGTTCAAGTAAGCCAGAAATGCACAGATTCTGCGCAATACGCTGTATTTAATATATCATGAGGACTCACGAGTTGCCTATTTGCGCTAAATCCGCGCAGATTTGGCTTACACGAACTTCCCCAGCAAAGTGAGTAAACATAGAAACACCCCAGATTGGCTCGTGATTTGACAGCGTTTCCCGCCAAAGTTCATTTTTACCCGCATTTGGCGGGTCGGAGGATGTTAATTTCAATCCCTGAATGTTGCACTCCTGTTTGTCATTGTGCACGAAACTTCACGCCAATAAATCATCAGAAATATTGCTGACTTGTGCGCGTGTCAAGCGCCCTCTTTACGTTCGCTCTAATGCCTGTTAGTTGTCCGTGAATTTGCCTATATTTGGTGTTGAAAATGGAAACCTCTTTAGACATGGAAAATCAATTTTACAATCGATTCAATGAACAGTTATGTCTCAAAAATCGAACAGGATTTTTTCACAAAAGTGACAGCCCCAGTCAAATGCCTTTTGGGAGAGTATTAACGTAAACATAGTCTTAAATAAACGTGCATAGTTGAGAAAGAACGTGTGTATCAGTAAATTGGATACACCTACACCAGATTTTCTGTCCAATCAAATGCTCTCTAGAATCTAAAGCGTCGTGCCCTACATTATAAATAGACGCTGCGGCTAAAATTGTTCACTTGTTCAAACATTTACTATTATCTACATGGTGAATGGCACATAGTGCACTATATAGGGGATAGGGAACGCTTCGCATCAGTGTTACGTGAACCGCTGCAGCGCACACACAGTAAGCTCTGGTCCAGAGACACGATAGCAAAGAACGGATCATATGCGTGAGTCGGTGCAGACCACAAAACATATCGGACCCATTTGAATTCTACCAAGAATGTTGTATTTTAAAGCGATATGGAGGAGAAACCGTTAGACAGACTCGGCATTAGAAGTAGCACTGAGTAAAAGACACCAGTGCCATGCAGCAACATAAATTACTCACTTTTCAAACAGCGTGATGATGACCACTGTTTGGCTGTAGTAACAGTTCTACAGAATCTGCTCTATGTCCCACCCTTCCTGTTTCAGTGGAAGTTACATCAACACTGAACAACACTACTCACTTTAAGGAACTTCTGTGGGACTTAAAGCTCTCAGATACCCTGCACTCTTGTTTTTTTATCTACATTATGATGTTATACTTTTCATATTGGTTTTAACCTAGATTTTTTTTTGTTCTTAATCTGTCCGGTTGATCAGGTAAACCAGAGCTTCCACGTCAGCCTGGTTCAACAGCCTGCTACGCCTCTGAACCGTCTCAGCCGGAGCATTCTCCTGAAGGGCCACAGACCGAACCAGATTCCCCTTCTCCTCAAAGCACTGACACCAACGCCAACAGCTTCTTCCAGATGCTTGACTGGGAAGGTATACAGCGCATTTACAACACGTTCAGTTTATAAGAACACAAATTCCATGCACATTTCCCCCTGATTGTTTGCTGCCTCTGCACATTAAAGGGGAAGTATGTAACTTTTTTTAATGTTAAAATTAGGGATGTCATAGCCTGAGTTCGTCATACTCATATTCTAGTCAGAATGTGAGTGTGATACTGCTCCATTGGGCTTTGATTATGAGGCGTCTCTTAATCGAACCAGGAAAAAAAAAAACTCTGCACTCAATTGGATAGACCTACAACCAATCAGAGCAACGCAGTAAGTGACATATGTTGAGCTACGCATAGTTGTCAACAGAAGTCAAATGCACGCAAGCTGGAAGAAGTAGTAAAATAATGAGTGTTGCTTCTTTTACTTGGTCCTCTATGAGTGCGACCAAAGGAGAAACCACAACGACCACATCCCATCTTTTAGCGACCATCGGAGCCAGCTGATAAATTAAACTTTTGCTGAATCCCGTAGGAAGGACGGCAAACACATCTTTCCGATCGACAAATGCCTTGATTGCAGTTCTCTGTTCGTCTTTTTAAATGAATGCGCTGTTTCTTTTACAACAGACGCGATAGCGGAATCTATACATCTCAGTTCTCCAGCTGCAGTCAACTCTGAGGGAAACCAGTTCAACCCAAGCGCTCTTTGATAACGTGATGATTACGTAACTGGAGATCATCTGGCCATCATCGTATAAAGCCCGCCCTGGTAATTTGATTGGCCCAACGATTTCTGAACCGATCATAATTACTCCTCAATGGATCGAGTCCAGACCGAACTTCCCGACCAAAAAATGTTGTGGGCCGGGTTCGGGCTGGCATCCAGGCTAGGGATGTCATGATTCCTTGATTAAATTCAAATACTCTATTTTAAAAAATCTTTTATTGCAATTTACTCAATTGCAATTTGACCGTTTAACCAACAAAATACCGGAAGTGTCGTGGACAAGAATCCATGAACCGCATTATTTGACTGTTATCCAAGGCTGCACAATATTTTAAAGGGGTGGTTGATTGTGATTTCACTTTTCTAACTTTAGTTAGTGTGTAATGTTGCTGTTTGAGCATAAACAACAAGTTACAACGCTCAAAGTTCAAAGCAAAGGGAGATATTTGCTTTTAAAGAAATTGCATTTTAAGGACTACAACAAACGGCTGGCAGGGACTACACAAGCTTCCTCCTGGGTTAGTGACATCACCAACCCTAGAATTTACATAACCCAAAAAGTGACAACTTTAACATGCTATATAAAAATATCTGTGGGGTATTTTGAGCTAAAACTTCACATACACACTCTGGGTACATCAGACACATTTTAGATCTTGTGAAAAGGGCATTATACCATAATCATAATATAGCATAGTGCTATTGTGAAATTGATTTATGCACTTATTAGTTGTACTGTATTATGGTGTATTTGCAGATGGAAGTCGGCAGTTCGATCGCTCTGACAGCCAATTGGATGACCAGGAGGACTTGAGTGGCGGCTCGGAGGAGGAGTCAGTGTCTTACTCCGCCCCCATTGATGGGACTCTGTCACGTGACACCAGTGAACCGCTCTTCGAGGCAGATTTCACAACCACACCACCTGACCCCCAGCCCGACACAGAGGACCTGCTCGGCCTGAACTCTGACCCCTGTCTTTCGGCCGAGAACATTTCTGTGGTGACGGGTCTGAAAAGTTCTGCTAGTAACAGTGATTTACTAAACGATCTGTTCGCCCCTCCATCCAACGCTGCGCCTCCAGCTGACACAGAAGACCTGATCGGAGAAGGTACAGGAGAAGATCTGTTCTTCCCCAACACGTCCAGCCAACCGGCACCAGCGGCTAATAAAGGTAGAAGAGATTTCCTACAAGAGTGTTTAAAGATCGTGTTCAGTACCAAAAGGTTGCAAGTTTGACACCTGGAAGGCATGATTCACCTATAATAATAATAAAGATAGATAATAAAGATTAAAGATGAAAGTCAAAAATCTAAAGAAATTTATATTTGGTTAAATAAAATGAAGTCTATTTTAGGAACAATAATATTTTTGGCATTAGGAAAAATTTTCCTCACAGCTAATTGATTAATTTTCCTCTCAAATTCTCATTACTGTAATGATAAAAAGTGTATATATTGTATTTATACATTTTTATAACATTTTATAAATAGGTACATAGTCTTTTACGTATTATGCTGATTTAATTTTTTTATTTGTAATGCATTTGTTTTCTTATTATACATACAGGGTGGGGAAAAGCAACAACATCAGCATTATATTTGATTTAATTTGATATGATTTAATTTAAGAATCATCAACAAATATAATGAAAATAGCAGATCCACTGAACACTAATTTAATTTAAAAATAAATAAAATAATTTGACCAAAATTAGCTCTTTTCATTAATGCAAAATAAAAATACAAATTCTTTTGACGTTTGGGTAAATATCACCCGGACATGTTCTTTAATATTTTAGAATATATTAATATTTTAGAAAAATAGTTGTATAAATGTTTTTCAGTTGTTTTAAATTGCATGGACTTTCTTTCTGTAGACTTCTTTGACCCCTTTGGTGTGGGGTCAGCATCTTCAGGGTCAGATCTATTTGGTGACCTCTTGGGGTCAGACAGTGGAAGTAGTGGCTTCAAAGCTCCGCCTCCTGCATCCAACTCCAGCCTGTTTAACCTCAGTGAGTTCTGCTCCGATGTACATATGAATCAAAGTAGTGTACTAATAAATCAACACTGGTAACACTTTACAATAAGGTTTCATTAGTTAATTACTTCAGTTAACATGAACTAAGAATGAACAATACTTCTACAGCATTTATTAATCTTAGTTAATGTTAATTTCAACATTTACTAATACATTAATAAAATCAAATGTTGCATCCGTTAACATTAGTTTATGCACTGTGAACTAACATGAACAAACAATGAACAGCTGGATTTTGATGAGATGAATAAATACTGTACCATTTGTGTTGCTCACGAGTTAATACATTAAATAATGTTAACAAATGAGGCTTTATTGTAAAGTGTTACCAAATTACCAAGTGTTGTTATTTTTTAAAGGGACAAAAAAATTGTGGTTATTAAGAGCAATGTTTGTTTTGAGTTAAAAGGGATAGTTCACCCAAAAATGGGTAAACTATTTAAATTTTGGGGTAAACTATCCCTTTTAAAGCTGATCTTTTTCTCTCTTTTTTTTTCTTTTTTTTAAGTATAAATAAACATCGGTTTAAGTTCTTTGGTGTTTTTAAAGTAAATGTCAGGGTGTCTGAAAGTGTCTTTCATAAAATACTTCTTAAAATTAATATTTATAAAATATTTTGCCAGATAAGTTAGCAAGCGAGACTCCGAAGATGACATCATCCGCGAGTCAGCCTGATCTGTTAGGTGGGTGGGACAACTGGACCACAGGTGGAACCAGCACGACTATTAACATGACCACCGCTGCCAGCAAACCTACTATGAGTGGTAGTCAAACATTCATTCATTCATTCAATCATTCATTCAGATAACCAGACCTTAAATCAGTCAGAACAGTTACTTGGTTAAGTTGGTAACGCTTTACAGCAGTCTAATTTGTTAACTTTAGTTAATGCAATAACTTACTATTGATGTATATCCGAGTAAAACAGCTTCTCGAATGAAAGAATGTAGGGACTTCACTTTGCTCATGGGGTGGTTGATTGGATGGTTGTGCTTTGCTATTGGTGGATCTCATGTGAGTGACAGGTTGTCCCGCCCTCACGCCAGTGAACATGTCATCAGAGAACCTTTATTTTGATAAAAGATTACGAGGGCATATACATTTTTTTTTTTAAATAAACATGTTGACAGATAAATCATTTATAATAAACGCTGCAATATTTCATGAAAAATATTAATTTTCTAGTTTGATTTCATGGAGACTTTAACTAACAAATATATTTTACATTTATTTATTATACTTTGTCATTGTAAGTTAATAAAAAAATGTCATGTTGGTATTGGTAACAGTAATAACTTGATCTTTAACTCTTTCCCCACCATTGCCAATTTCTGTCATTTGAAACGACATTCCCCCGCCATTGACAGAAATTTCCGGCTTTCCGTGTTGTCACTGTTATACGGTAGGGGGAGCTGATTCGCATCTTCTGAAATAATACCGAATCTCCTGCTCAAAAGACTTGTGAAGAAACAGAAACAAGCAATATCATATGTAAGCAGATGCATATGTAAAATAATGCGATCATCAACATTAAACAGCATATAAATCAAAACTGCCTAATGTTACCAATGAAATGTTGACCCAGGATAAGCTATAGGACTGTGAAGCTTTGGGGTGTTGATGGACTCGATCTACTCTGTGTTTTGATCATCGATCTGAATCCGATCCACTTGCATTTTTTTTCTGCTTTTTGCTCAAAATGTTGCTTTTTTTTTATGAAACTTGCCCACATGCAAGTGTTGATAAAAAAAATAAAAATAAAAAAAAATGCATGAAGCTAGAATAAAAAGCAGAGGCTCTTTCTTTTGATATATTGCATGTTCAGATATTCATTCAACATAATGTTCCGGGGGCCATTTTGTGAATAATATCAAAAATGCTGGCGGTGGCTGGCAACGTTTTAAAAAAAGACGTTTTGCTCAAAATGTTGCTTTTTTTTATTAAACTTACCCACATTCAAGTGTTGATAAAAAAAGAATGCATGAAGCTAGAATAATTTTTTTTTTTTTTTTTTAAAGCAGAGGCTCTGTTCTTTATATATATATATATATATATATATATATATATATATTGCATGTTTAGATATACAACAAAATATTCTGGGGGCCATGACATTTTTGTGAAAATTATCAAAAATGCTGTCGGTGGCTGGCAACTTTTTTCAAAAACACTGGCAGGAAAGAGTTAAAAATTGAGATTACATATTAAGATTAATAAATGCTAGATAATAGAAATATATTTCATTGTTAGTTCATGTTAATTAATGTATTTAAATAATTTTAACAAATGAAACCTTACTGTAAAGTGTTACCATTAAATTGAACAATAACCCTGTTCATACAATCAAACACTTCCTATGTTTACCGGTCAATCAGCTAATGCGATTTTCGTGTTAGTTGTTAGAAAACTCATAATCCAGTCATAGCAGCCCATAAAGTGTTTAAAAAGTTTATCTTTCTTTGTGCAGCCTCAGGACTCTCATCTTTCTCCAAGGCCAAATCTCAGAGCTTTGACCCCTTCGCAGACCTGGGCAACCTGCCCTCAACACTACCTGGTATGTGTTACTGTATTACATATCAGTGCTGACCCTTTATCAGACTACTTTGTCATATGTCATTCATAGCATGCAACTAACACTGATTTGTGTTTAGGCTCATCCAGTGCTGGTTTCTCTGGTTCAGGTTATAAAGCGGCGCCCTCTGCGGGTGGCCCAAAGAACTCAAGTCAGCAGTGGCAGCAGAACCCTCGGCCCTCATCTGGCCCGAACAAACCCTGGATGCCTCTAAACTCCGCGTCCAGGCAGCAAACCCAGCCCTCCAAACCTGTTCCCCAACCGGCTAAACCAAACTACGTCCCCAGCTTCAGTGTGATCGGTGGGCGAGAAGAGAGGGGCATCCGTGGACCGGCCTTTGGTAAGAACAAATGCGTGAAAGTTGCAAATTTGAAATCATGCCATTTCTAATAATTGTTTGAGCAAAAAAATATTTGATCTTGTGTAATCTTGCTCGTTTGTGCATGTTTCTGCAAAGTTACAAAGTCCATGGCAAAAGAAGTGAATGCCTGAAACGCCTCGTTTGTAGTCCTGCCATTATTTCCGTGACTTAAGGCACCGATATACTCGTTAGAAAGTTCTTTTTTGTTCTTCGCTTAGGGATAAAAAGAAGTTTGAAATACCTTAGCAGCGGTATAGAGAGTATACTGGATTTAATAGGGGAAACTGCAAAAATGCGAGTAAAACAAATGATAATCAGTCTAAACTAAAGGTTAGACTTGATAGTGTTCCTTACAACTTAGCAAAGATCCAGTGATCCATGGATATTGACATGCCACCAGGAATCGTGTTTCCTTATGTGTGCCTGTTTTCGACGCCAGGGAAATGCATAAAGCAAATTTGCCTGTGAACACTTTATGTAAATACAATGTAGGTTGATTCTGTGTCACAGCGGCAAGAAAGCATCTGATCATAGTAGGTGGATATGTTTGCACCAGCTCTGCAATTTGGAACTCAAGTCATCATGTCATGTCTTTTATATAGAACATAATACAATAGAGTGCTTTAAATCAAGCAGCTTTACAGTATTAAACATGAAAAAAAAAAAAATTTGAAAAACAACTTCAGTTTCTACTATAAAGCAGCTCTCCAGTGTTTTTACTTGTGGGCGTCTGACCTCGACGGACTGAACCAGAGATTTCCACGTCAAAGAAGGCGGAGCCTCAGAGCCACACCTACGTATTACATAATCGCCACAGACCAATGGTAGTTTTAAGGTGTTTACCAGCCAGATCGAACTTTTCCAAAAGAATTTGGCCTGATTTTGTTCAAAATGATGGCAAACCACAGTTTATTCTTCGATTTCACTTGAAGTATATCAGGCTCTTTAGAGCCGTCAAAAGCCAACCACCTCCTCCTCGTGGTGTCGGCTGGAAACGAGTACCCTTGGGGACTCGGCAAACGGTGGCTCTGGTCCCAGCGACAGGTGAGGCGACACATCGGCTGGGTCTCTTTGGTCGCATCAAATGGCAGCAGCAAACCAAGAAACCGATCAAGCTAGGGCGTTCCCCCTAGGCGACGCGCCTCATCAACGCCCGGATGGTGTGAGAAATGTACAAGGGCTACCTGCTCAAGGACGGGGCAGGCCAAAGAAGATAGTCCACCGAATCCGACTAGCCACACTTAACATCGGCACCCTCACCGGCCGTAGCCGTGAATTGGCTGATACTCTTAAGACCAGACGCATCGACATCGCGTGTATCCAAGAGACCAAGTGGAAGGGGAGCAAGGCAAGAGACATTGGAGAAGGGTATAAACTCATCTATCATGGTGTCACGTCGAGGCGAAATGGAGTAGGCGTGGTCGTCTGCCAACAACTACGAGACAGTATCGTCGAAGTCGACAACATCTCTGACCGCCTAATCTCGATCAAGATTGTTTCCGGCACAACCACCCTCAGAGTCATCTCATGCTACGCCCCTCAAGTTGGCTGCACCGATCAAGAGAAGGATGAGTTTTGGGAAACCCTCGGCGCTCACCTACAGATAATCGCCACAGACGAATGCATCCTGGTCGGAGGAGACCTAAACGGCCATGTTGGCAAAGATCGTGGAGGATATGATCAAGTCCGTGGAGGATATGATCAAGTCTATGGAGGACAGGGGCTAGGTACACGCAACGACGAGGGAGCCCGCATCTTGGATTGCGCTGAAGCCCATGACCTCGTCGTCGTCAACACCTTCTTCAAAAAGAGATCGAGCCACCTGGTGTGTCCAGGTGTGTCCACAGAACCCAGATCGACTACTGGATGATCCGACGCGGTGACCTGAAACTGGCACTTGATGCCAATGTGATTCCCTCAGAGAATATCGGCCCCCAACACCGGCCACTCGTCCTCGACTTCCAACTTAATCTGCAGCCGCAACCTAGACCGAGAATTACTGGGCCTGAGCGGGTCAAGTGGTGGAAATTGAACGAACAAAAGCAGCAGCTTGCGATGGCCCTCCAAGCACTAGACATAAATTTCGACCAATCAGTTGAAAAAATCTGGGACGATATCTCCTCCAGCATTCGTGATGCTGCCACCGGTGCCCTTGGCTCGACGAAGCCAGGGCGGCGATTTATGGACAAACAAGTCTGGTGGTGGAGTGAGGACGTCAAAGAGGCAATCAAGGCCAAGAAACTGGCGTTCGTAACCTGGCACCGCACACGGCTGGACGATGATCTCCAACACTATCAGATACTCAAATCAGCCGCAAAACGGGCAGTGGCCAAGGCGAAAGCCGTGCATTATGACGATCTATACGAGCGGCTAGGTACACCTGAGGGAGAAAAGATGATCTACCGTGTTGCCAACTCCCGCCACCAAGCGACCCAAGCCATTGGTCGAGTCATGCACATTAAGAACGCCGATGGGCAAGCCCTGCGAGACCCATGTGCCATACTCACCCGCTGGAGCGAGTACTTCGCAGCCATCTCAAACGAAGAGTTCCCGCATCCGCCTATCCACAGCCTGGATCCCATCCCTGGACCTGTACCGCCAGTTACCGTCTCTGAAGTCACGAAGGCCGTGAAGAGGATGAAGAATGGCAAAGCTACCGGCCCAGACGACATCCCTGCTGAAGCCTGGAAGTTGATGGGGCACAGAGGAGCCGAGGTCCTTTCCACCTTATTCAACAAGATCATTATTGAGGGCAAAGTCCCGCACATTTGGACGATCAGCACCACGGTACCGATCTGGAAGGGCAAGGGGGACGTTGCTGAATGCAAAAACTATCGGCCGATTCGACTCCTATCCCACTCCATGAAGATTTTTGAATGCATCCTGGACAGCCGCCTTCGCAGCATTATTAAAGTCAGTCCAAATCAATGCGGCTTCGTCAAAGGACGAGGGACCACAGACGCCATCCACGCAGCCCGCCTCCTGATGGAGAAACACCGGGAAAAGAACAAGCTAGTCCGCATGGTCTTCCTGGACCTGGAGAAGGCTTTTGACCGCGTTCCCCATGACCTCATCTGGGCCTCCCTCCGACATCACCATGTACCCGAAACCTACATCAGCTGGGTGCAACTCCTATACCAAGACGTCAGGAGCGTGGTTCGATGCACAGCTGGGATATCATCTCCTTTCAACATCAACGTAGGAGTCCACCAAGGATCGGCCCTTTCGCCCTTGCTTTTCATCACATGCATGGACACAGTGACACGGGACCTCCAGACGCCCCATCCATGGTCCTTACTTTATGCTGATGATGTGTTCCTCGCTGACAGGGAGCGGCAAGACTTTCAAGACCAAGGGCAGCATTGGAAAGATCGCCTGGATGCAAATGGCTTGCGACTCAACCTCGCAAAGACGGAGTACCTGGAGTGTGGCCCTCAGACTGATGGTACCATTGGCATCGACGCAACGGATCTAAAGAAAGTTCAACACTTCAAGTACCTTGGATCGATACTCTCATCGATGTCTTAAGTAAATGTACACAGGAAGATTTAATTTGAATCGTTGAGCTATATATACATAAAAAAAGACAAGTAAACGGTAAGTAATAAAAGAAGAACAAATTGCAAACAATAGCACAAATAAATACAATAAAAATAAAGAGATTGATAAAATATAAACTGTTTTTCTGTGGTAAAAAAATACCACAGAAATGAAAGTGATCTAATATAAAATATTCATACAGATTAATGCTTACAATTAAAGTTTTAAAAGTTATTCAGTCAAGCGCAGCGAGTGATTTTCTGTCTTTTTGCAGCAGGTTTATTAGGCTGCTGTCACTTTAAGAGCGTACGCACGGATCCAATATACTGTTGTTTTCTCTAACTAGTTACATTCCAAAACTGACTGTATTTTCCTGAATACTTGACAAGGCGGGCATTTTGACATCATTTTGTATGTATTTGACCGTTTAAGCGCAACAAGCCACGAAAAAGAAGTCAAGTTTGTACTCGAGAGCTGCTTGAGAGGCGGCTTTATGACAGAGCTACTTATATAGATCATGATGATACTCAGAGTACGCGATTTGGGATGCAGCGAGAGCGTTTCATGCAAAGAGTGACTCGAGGAGCTGCAGCTATCTGCAGTAATATGTTGTTGTACTTGTACTATAATTGTGTAAATGTATTCTAGCAGACCCCAAAAATAAAATTTTATATATATGTAATTAAATGTATATGACTTTAAAAATAATATTTTTGGCGACTAAGTGCAATAATTGTCATGGGCGATTTGGTAATTACGATGCATTAATACATTTCATAAATGTGTTGTGGTTGTTATTGTCTGCTTTTGTTGTACAGACTGTTTCTGTCCTTTAGGTCGTAAGCCCAAAGTGAAAGAAGACGACTTTGAGGATCTTCTGTCCACACAAGGTTTCGGCTCCAAACCTGACAGGAAGACGCCCAGAACTATAGCTGAGATGAGGAAGCAGGAGCTGTCTAAAGACATGGACCCTCTCAAACTTCAGGTACAGATGAGCGTTTAGCAGTTTCTCTAGAACATATGTACTGGTGGATGTGCTTTGGGCTTGATGAGGATGATGTTTGTATGTTAGATCTTAGATTGGATCGAGGGGAAGGAGCGTAACATCAGGGCTCTGCTCTCCACACTGCACACTGTCCTGTGGGAAGGAGAAACCCGCTGGAAGCCCGTCAACATGGCGGATCTAGTCACACCTGACCAGGTGAAGAGGGTCTACAGGAAGGCCGTGCTTGTTGTGCACCCAGACAAGGTATGAGATGTTTACATTACAGCACTGTTCAAAAAGCAAGAAAGTAAAAGAATGCATTTCATTTTTTTCATCAAAATGTATAAACTTGGTCTCTGGAAAAGAAAATCTGCTGACACAGATAAGGCTATACGGGCGGAGCAAATCTTTTTAAGCAATAATACCACAGTCTATTTAAGTCAAGTCTCCTTTATTTACGGTATGTAGCGCTTTATACGATACAGATTGTGTCAAAGCAGCTTTACAGTGATAAACAGGAAAGTAATGATTCAGTGATGCCAACAGAATTCAACTCTTATTTTTTTATTTATTGTTTGTTTAGTTGTAAATGATTAGTTTTTTAAGCAATATTTTGATTATTATTAAGCAATATATGAATAAGTAATTTGTATGGATAAACATTTTTGACAGTAATAGAAATATAAATGTATATTAATTAGGGGTGGAACGGTACACAGAAGTCACGGTTCGGTTCATACCTCGGTTCAGACATCACGGTCCGGTACGATTTCGGTACAATGGAGGGAAAAGCAAAACAAAAATGCAGAAGGCATTGTATTTTTTAAATAAGTTTTATTAATAAAGGCATAGAACCAGTTTTTTTGTAGTGCACTGACAATAGTTTTATATAATTAGTTTATTAATTAAATTAATAAAAAGACAAAAAGACCTTGCGATATGTTTGGTAATTGTACTATTAATTTAAAATTATTTTGCTATATTTCAGATCAATATATTTGTTTTCCTTAATTTTAATTAACATTATTAATTGACAATGTAACATTATTCTCATCTGAATTATAAATAATTGATTTCTGTATAAAATAATACTACCATTAAAAACACATTCGATTTTCTTTTTTAATCAATGTTGAATGTGTAAGATTAGTGCTCCGAGGACAAGAAATGAAAACCAATGCAATATGATGAATGTCCAAAAGACAGACTGTTTTGAAATGGAGTTGGATAAATATGTTTTGGTTTTAAAACAGTGTGTATGTGATTTTGGTTGGGTGACAGTTGTAGGTTACAGTTTGACAAAAGCACAATGTTGTGTTTTATTGCGAGTGTACACAAATATAAGTAAACACTTTGCAGGTTTAATGATCTGTATGAACAAAATGACTCTCTCTCTCTCTCACACACACACACAGTTAGATCGCGCGCGCCTCTCTCTCTCTCTCTCTCTCTCTCTCACACACACACACACTCTCCAGCATTGCAATCTTGACATCGCAGCCTGTTCATTATGCGGTCACACCAAATGCGAATAGAGCTTCAAATTCGCGTCTAGTTCGACGCTAGTCCAAAGCGAATAGGACGCGCGTATAAAGCCAACGTTTGAAGTGAACGCTCGTTCAGAGCTAAGCCGATGGTACAGATTATGTGTCCCTAAAGAACCCGCGTATCTAACAGTAGTTCCGCATTACATTGATTAATTTGCACGCGAGTTTTATTTATTTTTATACCGTGTATTCTCCGTGTAAATTCGTGCACCGAACCGTGACGCCCGTACCGTTTCGGTTCGATACGAATACATGAACCGTTCCACCCCTAATATTAATATAAGTATTATTTTTATTTCATTGTAGACATGATCATTTGGGGGTGGGGTTTGTCAAGAAAATAATAATTAATATTAATAGAAATATGTTAATTATAGTTAATATGTTAAGCAATGTAATAATTGCAAATATTAATTTATAATAATAAAAGTATTGTTTTCATTTCAGACATGAGCATTTGTCAAGTGTTTTATGTTTTTTTTGTCAAGAAAATAATAATTAAATCAATATGTTAATTATAAATTCATATACCAAACAATATATTTTTAACTATTAAAAATGTTTAACAGTGATACAAATCTGAATTAAGAGTCACAATTGTGTCCCCCCCCCCCCCCCCCGAACATGTTCTTGGCATATTTTGAGTTTCACTCTTAAACTGTTGACTGAAAGCAGTTTAAAGTTGCTTATTTTTATTAACAATTATGAAGGTTAAAAAAAATATTAATGGATTAATCGTTCCCTATAAATCCAGTTATCTGCATTAGATAGGGTCAATTTTGATTTGATTCTTACTTCAATTGACTGCTAAAGAACTCCGCTTCCGACATGTGTTAGTCAGTGTAACTCTCATCTTTGTGTTCAACAATAGTGGAGTAATAATGGAGATTTTCTCTCTCTGGTCCTCCAGGCCACCGGTCAGCCGTACGAGCAGTACGCTAAAATGATCTTCATGGAGCTGAGCGATGCCTGGTCCGAGTTTGAGAACCATGGATCCAAAGCCCTGTTCTGAACACGCTCAGTGAGCGTCTGCCAGGTGCAGCGAGCCCCCTACAGGCACAGCGCTCTCTCTCTCTCTCTCCACACACACACACACACACACACACACACACTGAGAGAGAGAGGCTGGCAGTGGAACAGATCAATCACAGGAAGAAAACAGACCTCTTATGTTTGAGGAACGGACAGATCTCTTCCTGAACTACCACACGCTCTCCTGAGTGAAACCTGTAGCGTTGGATTTCTCCTCCTTCAAAAGGGGACCATGCTAGCATCCTTTTGGCAAACACACTAACACACACACACACCTGAGACTACAGTCTGTGTCTTGCACTTCAAAAGAGCTTGAAAACTGATGGTTTCTGGGATGAAGACAGACATGATTATCGCTGATCTATTTTATGCCATTCTATGCATCACACTTTTGTCATTCTTTTGTTTTCACCTTTTTGTTTTTCAATCAGTGTGGTTTGTCAATTACTGATGTAAATATTCACTCGACTCGTGTGTGTGTGTGTTTGAGGGTGGATCGTGTTCATGTGAAGCGAAAGCAGAGGTTTGGACGTCTGCTCTCCATGATGTGAAGTTTCTGTTGGACTTTTCATCACTTTCCCTTCAGTCTCATCATGTTTTCACTGATCTCCAGTGTTAATTCTCTCCAGGCACCTCGTTGGAAGATGTCGTTTGTGTATTTGTAGGTTCAGGGCTCATTTTCTGCAGTCCAAAGGGTATTCCAGTGACCGAAAAGAAACTTAACTTCAACAAAACCTCTGAACTCTCCATTTTTTTTTTTTATCTCAACATGGACCAATCAGAAATGTCTGTCTTATTTATTGTTTTTGAAAGCTGTACATGGCTAATGGATGGATATAAAACGGACTAAAATATCAAATTTATTGTAAACGATGAAACAAGCTGAGCATTTTGCAAAACTAAAATCATTCCAAAGCATCTACTAATATGAATGTGCTTTTTAAGATTATTGCTGGCAATTTGGAATGTAATTCTGCCGCCTTGTTTTTTTGTTTTGTTTTTTGTATTCCTTGTACTATTATCCTATTTTCAATGTGTTAGCAAGTCTTCACAATATTTTATTTGATGTTTCCATAATCTCTTAATAATGACACTAGAAAGTTTGCACCAATCGCTCGGGTCATCAGGCCAAATTCAGATGAGCCCATATCCAAATGTGAAGAAAAAAAAAACTCTGATACCACTTATTAGACGATGATGTTAGGGTGGAAATTAATTAGTGTTGTTTTTATAAATATAGCTCCCAATATTTTTGTTATAGAAAAATCGAGGACTGGAAGAAAATGCTCTTATTTAGACTGGGACCTTCTGAGATTATCCCTGTACGAGACTTGCAACACAGGAGGTGATACACTCGGACTGAACAAAACCAAATCCTTCCATCTGTTACTGGTTCAGATTGTCAGTTCACGGTTTTGTGTGATTTTTGGAGACGTTTCAACTTATTCACCCTCCACCAAAGTCATAGATGTTTCAAACTGGAGTGTGGCTTTTCTGTTCAAAATCTTTACTGGTTGTATTTAATAGGTTCGGATTGAAATGAATGACTTTGTTCAGTCTAAATAAATGTCCTTATACTTATGGGTAAGATAAGTATATATTCACAGAATAAGAATATGTAAGAAAATAAAAAATGCTGCTGTATTTTGGTGGAGAGTGAATATTTTTTTTAAATAATGTCACAGTTTTCTTTCTCTTGCCCACTCAGCTCTCCTTTGGATGTAAAACTACTGTTTCTCACCAGATGCAATGGAGAACAAAATCATAACACCACGGTCTTAAAAAATATTTTTGTCTTTATTTTCTTTTGACCAATAAACCATAATCATGGTTTGGGTTTAGATTGTCTATTATTTTAAGCATTAGTCTGTATGTCACCTAATGATACAAATGTAAGTATTTACACAAGTAAAATTCCTGTAAGAAAATTTACATCTTCAGGTATGGCAATACCATATGTATTTTATTATTACAGTTGAATGTATGCATAATTGTGCACATCATGCACATTGTCTAAATGCATGAATTATATTTCAATATATATTTACCTCAGTTGATCAGTTTAAACATTTGCCATTCATTTTAAAGTATGCATCTCTAGTACACAACCTGTGGTCTCAGGTTCACGCGGCATCACACGTCATTTGCGTCAGAATGCGCAGATCTGTGACATCATCATCATCATTGACCACAGTGCTCTTATTATGAAACTAGAAACTTACCACCAACATCAAATCGATTCCACAACCAACATAATTTAACTTTAATCTACAACTATTGCAAAATTATAATACTATCTCAAATGTATAACCCACTACATACAGAATTGGGTGAACGAATTACCCATCCTAGCAGTCATCAATACTACCCATATAAAATAAACTACCGTTAAATGCAGGACCATCATCCATGCAGCAAATCTCTTGATCACCAAACCTGCTCTAATCATCTCGGGTTTAACCGATCATATAAGGAAAACTGACAGGATCACATGAAGAGTTCGCTTGCTTGTTGATGGTCGACTGGTTGTTCGCGATGTGTGAAGTAAAACTACTAAAGTAGACATCCGCCGCCCTTTAAAATAAAAGTCCCGTTGCAATGATTTACAACGAGCCACGTGTTACTTACTGATGAATTCAGAGTTAATTGAACGAGAGCGTATTGTTTTTCTCTTCATCGTTCTAAATATACATTTCTTAATGTTTAAAAACTATATATTCTGAGTTATATCCGTATTAAAATGCATTTCACAGTCATTTAGCAATCAGTTTATTTTATCCAGTGACTTACCAATGAAAAATAATTGCAAGACCAAACTAGCGCTACAATATTTAATTTCAAGAGTAAACCACAATACAAACGCGAACAGATTGTAAGATGTAAGGGAGTGGGGGGATAATTATGATTATAATTAAGAATTACAGCAATCTAGTTTAATATTGTGAGATGAGAGCCCATCCAAAGTTGAGTGATGTGGTGATAAGGCACATCCTATTGACAGCTGAAGTTATATGTGGAAGAGTTGAGATGATAGGATATTTTTGAGCTACTGGAACTCCAAAAGACCATTGTGTGGGTGGAGACACAATGTTTAATGCAAAAAATAAATAAAACAAAAGTCACTCTTTTTTTCTTTTCTGCTTTGATCTAAAGCAGCGACGCATAATGAAGAATTTACTCAATTTAAAGAAGACGTAGAGGACTACAGTCAGGATAGTGAAAAGAAAAGCGAACACATCCAGACAGTGGTACTGGTACCAGGTAAGGTTGTGTGCTTCTACACGCAGGTGTTTAGCACCTTTATTGCGCATGACGAACTCAATCCAGAACACCGCCTCATCCAAAGGCTTCATTGGTCGGTCATGATGAACATAGAGACGTATTTATTATGTCTATGATGATGAATCCTGGACAGACGCATTGCATTCTCTTTATACCTGCGGAGATGAAGACAAATAATGTGATATGTATCTGTGTATAATGTGTCTGTGCAGTGCAATGGAGAACACAGACTGACAGTCAGATATGATACGAGTGACTCACGAGGGGCCGTTAAAGGGGTCATATAATGGTACATGCACTTTTACAAGTTGATTGTACTGAAATGTGTGTTGGCAGTGCCTGTACACAACCATCATATAATGATAAAAATCCATCCAGTGCTTTTTTTTTAAATCTCCTTATATGTTTTCCCCTGCCTCAAATCGAGCCGTTCGACCTCGGACGCCCCTCCCACGATTGTTGATCCCGTTGTTGATTGACAGCAGCGTTTCAACACAGACCCGCCCTCGCTCGTGAGCCAGCTGTCAATCATAGTCTGCGCGGACCGGCGCGGTCATTGTTGATATGCTGGAGCACTGTCTATGAGCAGAATGGCGTCTAAGCGATTGTGATGTTCTGTTCTTGGGTGTAATAACGAACAGTCATTTTAATGTTCCTAAATCCGAACCGCTGAAGACGCAGTGGCTGAGTTTGTTTTCGAAGGGAATATTCCCCACGAGCAACGTCAATGCTTACATGTTTGCCGAATCATTTCTCACCAGACTGCTTTATAAACGAGGAGGATCAGTATAAAGCTGGTTTTGCTAAGAAGCAGCTCCTGAAGAAAGGATCGGTAGGTACCAGCTATTCGTGTTCCTGCTGCACCTCCAGAAGAACTGAAGTGAGTTTAATGTTTTATTAACCTTTATATTAATCTTTGCAAATCGCTAGCTGCACGCTTCACAATGAATGAGTGTCCTTGTGGCGCTTTTTGGTGCCACTTTGTGCTCGCTTGCCTTTTTTCAGCTCGCCAAAGAAGACTTGTTTTGGAAGTCTCACGTAAGACATTCTAGTCACGTGACCAGTCCATCTAAGCTGTTCCTTCCTTCGTGTAGATGCTGGGGATATATTTGCCTTGCTGAGGACTCAGGAATTCTGTCTTGCCACTTGATCCTCAGCAGTTTCCTCAGACAGCTCAAGTGGATACGATTACATTTTTTGGCATGGCGCTGGTAGACTGTCCAAGCTTCGCACCCATACAGAAGAGTTGGCAAAACAACTGCCCGGTAGACCTTCAATTTTGTCTCCTGCTTGATGCCAGTCCTTTCCCATACAGAGTCACGTAGACGTCCAAAGGCTGCACTGGCCTTGACAATCCTGATGTTAACTTCATCATCTATGTGCACAGCACGAGACAGTGTACTACCAAGGTAAATAAACTTGTCAACGGCTGACAATTAATAAACGTATAATAACACTGTAATGTATAATTACATTGTAATAAACGTATAATTACATTGTAATAAATGTATAATAACAACCTTGAAAAGAATCCCTACTTTTTTACTTCAGAAGTAAACAGTGTAGCTGACTTAATGTTTAGCTGACAGAATGTTTATTTTTAAACCACAATTTTTAAACCACAACCCTCTCTAATGTCAGAAGGTTTATCTTTAAACCACGACTTTAATGTGTGCTTCTTTTACAGATATATTTAACGATATCTTTTGCATTTCTAATCTGAACAACGTCAAACTCTGCACTGCACTTACTCGTGCCCGTAGAAATCCATCGGACTAACAGTTCGAGAGATATTCGATTAACAGACAGACACACAGACGTTCCTGTAATTTATAGATAGATACCTATGTTTACTTGTAGTATAGTTGCGTACTTATTTTACTACTGTTACACTTAAAGGGGTGGTTCGGGATTTTGGACATTGGACCTCATTTCCAAGTTAGCCTGGGTGTTATTCATCAGTGGAGACAGTTTTAAAAAAAAAAAATCATCCAGTCGTTCCAGTTGCATAGTTCGCCGGTGCTAGGCTAGCGCGAGTCACCGGTAACTGCTAGCCTGCCATTAAAAACAGTTTTACTCACTCCACAGTACACCAAAAGCAAATAAATTATAACGCCAGACTATCGATGTAAATGTCTGTTTCTGTGAGTATCTCACTAAAGAAGAATGTTTGAAGAATGTAAACAGTCACCGGTAGTCATTGACTTCCATAGTGGGGGTTTTTCCTACTATGGAAGTCAATGGCCGTCAAATGTTTGATTTCCAACATGTTTGTCACATGGACTATTTTAATTATGTCTTTACTACCTTTCTGGGCCTTGAAAGTTGGGCTCTCGGATTTCTTCAAAAATATCTTAATTTGTACTCCAAGATGAACGAAGGTCTTTATGTAAATTATGACAGAATTTTCATTTTTGGGAGAACTATCCTTTAACCCTAGGCTACTCTACACCCTCACCTTGACCCAAAGAATTGGCTGCTGGATGGACTATGATCTGAATTGGTTTGTGAGAAAAAAAATCAGGCTTTTGTCAGGGTAGAAGCCATATTGAATTTCACACAAATGAAAATGAGGCTGACGCATAGTCTTTACAATGGCATGCACTGTATTTTCTACGCATTGTAGGGTTACACATTTATTAAAATGTTTAATTTAGGTTCCAATACTATAGTATATCAACTGAGGAAGTTTATTCGTGTGAATTTTGTAACTAAGGTAAATTATGTCACAAACCTGCCCGTTCCTGTCTGTCCTGATCTTTCCATTGCAAGTTAAATTGATACAATCACCTTTTGTTTTAAATGGTTCTTTGAGTTCCTGTCTCAGCATTTGGAGACTATCACCTTTTGTCATTTTGAATAGTTATGCTGATTGGATTAGGCACTCTCAGTCTAGGGCAGGTTTCTAAACCTGTATACTTAATTTACATGCTTTGTTTCAGAGTGTCTCCACCTCTATGTAATCCCTCCCCCTTGCAAGGTATATGAACAGTCTGTATTTTAGTTTATTCAGACTTGGCTAAGATTTTTGGACGAAGCAGAGTACAGCGATGCAACAGCAATAAAGAACCCTGCTTAAAAAGATACACCCGAGTCTCCTGGTCTTCGCTTCTGAGTTTTCAAACACTTTAGAAGGAAAAAGTTCACAACAGCATGTAGAGAGAGTGTTATTGACCTTCATGACCCTAGGCAGTGGATCTTTACATACCCCATGCTACTAGCATGAGCCAAAAAGCATATCAAAATACAAAAGTCAAACTGAAAACTCTGTTGGAAAATGTAACTGTTTACAAAAATGTTAATTTTAATGAATTTGATCATATAATGATCAATAAATTAATTACAAAAAAAGTTAATATTAATTCAGTTTAATTCCAGTCTGAAAAAAATAAATGATAAATGATTTTATATTGTATAATATACAGTATATTGCAAATGTACAGTATGAAATCTTCAAACATGAATACCCATGATTAATTACAGGGTAAAATATGAACAGTATGAAATAACACTTTCATAACAATTACAAAACAATTCTAATTTTAAGTGTGAAAAGCACACAAAAAAAATTCAAGTATTTTAAAATAAAATCTTCTGTTTCTGAATGACCACTAGGGGCCACAATGTATTGCTCACTGGTGTTGAATTGTAAACAAGAGCCCAAAAATTTAACATTTAAAATGTAAATAATTTGAAGACATTTCAAAAGTAATACATCATACATAATGTTTCATTTACATTTGTTCATTTAGCAGACGCTTTTATCCAAAGGGACTTACAAATGAGAACAAAGCAGTTAAACTAACAGTAGGACAACAATATGCAAGTGCTATGACCCCTCCCAGTTTAATCTAACGCAGTCCATGTAAAAAAAAAAATGTTTTATATAAATAAAAAAATTTGAATAGAAGAGAAAGTGTAAGTATTACTGGATACTTACACATACTTTCAAGCTATGAAAAACACTTTATCACTCCTTTTTTCTTTTCTGCTTTGATCTAAAGCAGCAACGCATTATGAAGAATTTGCTCAGTTTAAAGAAGACGTAGAGGACTACAGTCAGGATAGTGAAAAGAAAAGCGAACACATCCAGACAGTGGTACTGGTACCAGGTAAGGTTGTGTGCTTCTACACGCAGGTGTTTAGCACCTTTATTGCGCATGACGAACTCAATCCAGAACACCGCCTCATCCAAAGGCTTCATTGGACGGTCATGATGAATCCTGGACAGACGCATTGCATTCTCTTTATACCTGCGGAGATGAAGACAAATAATGTGATATGTATCTGTGTATAATGTGTCTGTGTAGTGCAATGGAGAACACAGACTGACAGTCAGATATGATACGAGTGACTCACGAGGGGTCGTTAATGACGGCATTGAGTCCATCCACCAGCTCTTGCGGCTGCATGCTCTTGATATTGTCTATAACAACAGCAGCGCCCTTGGCCTTCATATGAGCTAAATTATCTGGCTGGTCACCAAACATGGGGATCCCGACCATTGGAACAGCATGATATATGGCCTCATATATGCCATTAGTGCCTCCATGAGTGATAAATGCTCTGGTTTTAGGGTGACCTGAATCAGGAGACAAATATGGATAAATAAACAGGGAAAAAGTTGGGACAGTTTACATGGAGCAAACTCCAAATTACACAACCAGACTCAAAAAGAACAATTTAGACAACTCAAATAATACATTGTTGTATAGCCTACTGAATAATTAACGTAAGGGCTATAACAAAAGAATGACAGAATCTATTTTTAAACCTTCCGCTGGCCTAATTTACTCCCATTGTTACATTTAGTGTTATTTTGTAATTCGTTTTTTTTTTTTTTTTTAGCAGGAATTACTATTTTAAAATAAAAGTCGCATACAATCAAACTATAATACAAACCCAATAAATCATTCTGAGGGATCCACTTATAGGTTCTGGTGTTTTCACCAAGAGTGTCTGGCTTCTCTCCACCGAATCGCCATAAGACCTGCAACACACACTCAACTGATCAGTGATGATGACAGAGATTATAAAGAAACAATACCCGAGTAAATGTGAATGCTCAGATTGATTGAATTGTGAAAAATTAAACTACTTTCCCTCATTCCAATCACATAGAGAAGCAGTGCTGATGTGTTCCTGATATTTGGGTGTAGGAACGGTCAGTTACCTTCTGTGGGATCTGGGCCAGTGCAGAGGCGATCCTGTTGCTCATCTCTTTGGGAATTTTGTCTATCAAAGATCCCAGAGTGAAGACCACAATCCCATCATCCCCTGAGCTCTGTACAAACTCCTCCATGTCCTACACAAAAAAAAATATCATTAACTTGTGCTGTGAAAAAGTGATTTTTTTTACATATATTTCTACAATATCTTAAATATGTTTCCACAGGTACAATTCACCGCAGTTTCCAGGTAAAATAAAGGTGCTACTAATGGTGCTAAAAGCAAGTGTTTTTCCACACAAATTTTAGGCAAACAATAACACACTGTGACCAGCGCAGTCTGTTTCAAGAACAAATGACTTTGGAGTCATTTCTTTTTAGTAAATCAAAAACATACAGCACTACAAGTGTAGTTTGATTACTTCTTATGATCCGGTTCTTTAAATGTATATTTCAGAAATATTCAGATTACTTAAACTGAATCCATTCAGACTGGTCAATGAGTCATCATTTGACTCACTGAACTGCAAGTTATTTTCAGGAAAACAATGACGATTCATGTGGCCCGTTTGTTTTAAGAAATTCAGACCTCCTATCTTCTTAACAGCAAATAAGGTAGAATCTTTAAAAAGACAGATGCACCTTGGGTAAAGGCTTGGCAGGGGTGCAGTGAAGCCCTCCAATGTATTTGAAGTTGGGCAGGAATGGCCGTGGAAACTCAAAATCCCAGTAGGTTCTGATCAACCAGATATCAGCTTTACCCATCATCTCACAATAGGAAGTTGGCCGTCCTAAAATGAGGAGTGGTTAATAGCTTTACACAAAAGTTTTTTAGACACTGTATTTAAGATCTGTATTTTAACTGTATTTACATCATGACAAAACTGATTTGTTGATGGCACAAGAAATCCTTCATTTCGTGACTATCAGCATGACTAAATGGAAACGTGTCCCTTACATTCTTTACATGCAAGATGTGATGATGGCAAATGTATGCACTGTGGACTGATAATTACATCTAATAAGCCGCCTTCCTGGAGCTCAAACAGTTGAGCATTGGCGCTTGTAACGCCAAGGTCATGGGTTTGATTCCCAGGGAAGGTAAGAACTGATAAGAATGTAAATGTGTTCCTTGAAATGCAATTTAAGTCGCAAAGCGTCTCCCAAATGCATGAATGTAAATATCTCTTTCAGAGAGTTCAATACAAATTAAGTTCTATCAACATGAAAATACCTTTCTTAGAGAAAGAAAATAACCTTTCTTTAACTCACCTAAATATTCAGTGTAATAGTTGTCCATTTGTTTCCAAGCAACAATGGCAAAAGCATCTTGAGAAAGGTAGAACAGCATATTGAGGATTCGCTCGGTAAAGCTCATCTTGTCTGTGAGTTTACTCATGGCTCCAGGAACAAATGATGGTGGAGCTGGTATCTGACCACACATGCGCTCTACAACATGAGCCAGGGAGAATCGGAAAGTGTAAACCAAGGGAATGTCCAGCTTTTCAGCCACGATATCACTGCACGGGTAGATCGGATCTGACAAAACAACATCAAACTTTCCTTTCCGCAATTTGTCCATCAACTTCAAAATGCCGTCACAGTGTGCCAGAGACATAGCCTGATGTTTGGACGCAAAGTCGTAAAATTTCATTTGAATCTGCAGCAAGTTTAACTGATCCATCTCATACACAGAGAAATGCAGAAATTCATCAACAAAGTTTCGCATCTCCTGTGCATCCATGGACACGTTAAACGGCTGGTAGGAGAAGCGATCCGAATCTTCAACTTTCATGTAGAGAGAGGCATCCGGCACCAGCACTGTGACATCGTGTCCCCTGTCAATCAATGTTTCCAACACGATCTTCAGATTGATCCAGTGACTGCCTTCAGTATACCAAACTAAAATATTCCCACACTTTCCAGTTCCAAATACAGTGAGCAGAGAAAGAAAACAGACTATGAGTCTCATGATTGCCAGTGATAAGATTGTGAGATCTTTAGTCTCTTGCCTCATGTGCTGGACTGTCTGGTATAATTATTAACATAGTATATAGATTTTAACAAGTCATGAATCATAAATCAACAAGCTCATAAATCAACAGGGTAAAAGGTAGAGGCCAAAGTATAAGGTAAAGCAGATTCATACATGTAGCTTTAAAGGGACAATGTGTAGGAATTTCTCCAATCTAGCGGTGAAATTTATTTTGCATTCAAACGAACTGTGCTCTCCAGCGCCTCGCTTTTTCAAATATGCGTGTTGTATCTACGGTACTCGTTATGTACCAAAAAGCTATGACAGGATGTCTTCTAATAGCACCCATAGACCTCGTCGAGTGTTCCTTCGGGTGAACAGGTTTGTTATTTCAAACAAACTGCAACTTGACACAACGAACAAACGAATGTTACAGTATGAATTACTGACTGTGAAACTTGCCGGGGCAGTGACTAGCGCCTCTCGCTGCTCTGCTCCTCCTTTGCTGCTGCGTTCAGTTACGTCACGCTGGCTCTGAACGAAAACGCGTTGGCCTAGTACTTGTTTCCCCTCTCTACTATTATAGTTTTTCAAGATGGCGGAACTACATGGAAGCCTCCGTGGACCTACCCGTCCCATGTATATAAAGATAAAAAAATTCTTTGTTTATGAGGATAAGTCAAATAATTGGCAGAGGTATTTGTACACCATTGAGGACATACAGTATATATGAATAAAAATATTGATTTTAGATCATAAAATACCTAAAAAAGTACACATTGTCCCTTTAAAGGGGTCATGAATTGAGAAACCAAAATTTCCTTGAGCTTTTGACATTTAAGAGGTCATCATACTATAAGAATATCTTGTAAGTTTGAGAACTGAAAACTTCCTTGTTAGTCCAAAAACAGCTTGTGCCTCTTAATGTGCCTCTTAATGGCATAATAGTGCAACGAAAGACGGCCTCGGCAGAAAAAAAACATTCCTACTTCATTATTGCAACTGTGGCCCCGCCCACTGGCGTGTTAGTAAGATGTAGGATCACTCCACTAAAACACCATTACCTTCCAAAGGATTCTAATGCTAGGATTGTGCTTATTTTCAACAATGTGAATGTCTCAGTTGAGCATTATTTATTTGTATTCGGTACATTTCACAGTGGATTCTTTTGTAAATCAGTCACAATTTCGGCGCAGGCTTTGCAAACAGACTTTTACGATATGGACTCGACAGTAATGCCACAACATGTAAGTAACTGTTAATTCTAATGCCTGATCTGTGAGTCTGTGACCAGCGATTTCTGATATATAGTGATTCATGTACAGTCAGAGGTTCTTTGTCTGTGTATCAGTAAATCAAACCAGTGACTAAACGGTCAACTTCACATTGCTTCTCTTAGTAGGATGAAAATAACCTGTTATTTTAAACTGTGATTAAATTAAATATAGAAAGCGATCAAAGAACGCTCCCTTTACAATAGCTGGAGCTGTCAATCAAACAATGCAAGTTTATCAGTGACTGAGTTCTGGACTCATGCCCAAACTACCGTTATAAAAAGTCCCTTTAATCTATAGTCTTTGGTTATAATCAACGAATATTGTATTTACATTGTGTTTTCACTGTTAATTATGAGGAAAGCATATGCAGAAATCGAATTGCAATGACGAGATCACTGCATTCATACACTCAACATCGGTCTGTGATCGGCTACATGCTCATCACTGCAACCTTTCATGCCAGTCTAAATATAATGCTATAAACAACACTTTTAGTTAACCGTGAGAGCTGTACTAGTAAAAACATGCTAAAAGTTTTTGAGAGAGTTCAACATGTAATACTAGCTATTTCATATGCAAAGATGATGGCTAATCACGGCATTTACATTTAAGTCTCACACAACCCTTGGGCTAAAATCAGGGTTGGAAAAATGCCTTTTATTTCTAAATTATGAAGAAAAAAAATGTAAACATCATACTAAACACTTTAAGTGCACCCCAGGAAACATTATAAAAAATAAAATAAAAAAATAATGTAGTTCATGGCCCCTTTAAATGTTTTATCACATATTATTTGCAGTATGCATCAAATATATACATGTATAAACAAAAAACTTTCAGTTCTCATTACAGTTACTATTGCAGTATTGAAGCTTACAGACTACTGTTATGGTACTTGACAGCGGTACTCAACTAACGGCAGTGGGGGTGAGGCAGTGGATCTCTGACAATATATTTACATGCTTTAGCAACCCTGGCTGTTAAGAGACTAATATAAATGATACAAATGCCTTTTAATATTGTTTTACAACATCACTTAAGCAGCTGCTTTGTGTTAATGCTTGATGTATCTCATCCAAGAAATATATAAAGTAGTATAAGCTGTACTTACATGTGCAAAACTTGCTCATTGCTACATGGGATGGCTGTTAGGGCCTAAATAAAAATGGGTTAATGGTATAATTGCCCTACTAATTGTAGATTCATTAAGCAAAAAAAACAACCCTTCAAAATAAATAACTGCGGTTTTTGGAAAATTTCTAATGACTATCCGGAGATGTGATTCCGAAAACATCAGACTGTGGAAAAAAATTAAGCCCATTTCACAAGGAATAGTTTAAAATGGATACGATAAAATTAAAGAGCTTTTGCAAAGTCGGTGGCAGGTTACTCTTACATTTATTAGACGCTTTTATCCATTGTGGGGTTCATAGGATAAAACACAATTTATAACACACTATTATAAAACCTTTTTTTTCTTTCTGCACAAACAAGTTCTGGTTTACTTCCATTCCTAGTGCCTTATGACAATTTACAACAATTATTATCTGGGGTATTTGACATTATGCAACAAAGGCTGTTGATATAGCTTGAAGGAATAGTGCACTCAAAAATGAACTTTCTATAATTAAAAACCCTTCAGTGATCGCCTATGTCAAGCACCAAAAAAAACACCCACCATAAAATAATTACCGTAATATACCCGAATATAAGACAAGGTTTTTGTCCTAAAAATAGGCTGAAAAATGGGGGGTCGTCTTATATTCAAGGTCATCTTATATTCGAGTGGAGGAATCGATTGATAGCCTTTTTCTGCGCTTGGAAAAAACGAGTGTGTCGCTTCCATTATGAGCGTATACCGCAGGCCTACATTTGAAATAACGAACTTGAGCGCGCAAAAGAAGCGATATGTGAACAGGAGGGGAGCGGGTCTCTGCTCGCTTGTCTCCGTCCGCTCTGGCATCCTCTGTGAACGGCACTTTTTCTTGCGCGGCTCGAGCAGAGGGAGAGAGAGAGCGGGAGCCGGATCGTCGCCGAAAATGGCCAGACGACCCCGCAGGGTGGTTAAATTCATCCCGTGCACTCAGGGCAGCCGCCGTCATGGCCAATCAGGAAGCGCATATGTGCCGGTGTGGTGCCGAATTCTGACCCCCGCCAAATTATTACCCCCCTAGTATGGTAGGTTTAGGATTAGTTTTGGGGGAGGGGTTAGGATTAGGGGTGGGGTTAGGATTAGGCAATCAGGTACTGATTTCAACGAGGGGGGTAATAATTTGGCAGGCAGTCGAAATTCGGCACAACACCGGTCTCCGTCGACGAGCGGGCCTCTAGAGTCTACACGAGGCACAGGTGATGCAAGGCATTTGGAACAACGCCTCGGAAATTTGCTCTTAAAATTATTTTCTGTTGAAAACCAGATTTTTTCCACAAAAATAAATTTTTCCCCAAAAATAAGTCTGGAAAATGGGGTGGGTCGTCTTATATTCAGGGTCGTCTTATATTCGGGTATATAACTTTCAGTTCCACAATTTGTTCCTCACAGTACGTCCTCATGTTTAGAATCTCGTAGATTTTAATTTGAATCTGCAGCAAGTTTAGCTGATCAGTCTCATACACTGAGAAATGCTAAAAGTTCATCAAGGAAGTCTTGCATGTCCTGTGCAGGAAAAGCAAACCGATTCTTCGCTATCCATGAAGGATCTGGCACAAGACCTGTTACATTGTGCCCCCTGCCAATCAACATTTCCAACATAATCTTCAGATTGATCCAATGACTGACTCTAGTAGGGCAAACTAAAATATTCCCATATTCTCTAGGGCAGAACACAGCAAGTAGATTAAGAAGACAGATTGTCAGTCTCATGATTACAAGCATCTGAGTCTGTGATCACTTAGTGCACTTCAACAATATTCTGCGAGGTATCATTATTTACCAAAGTATACAAACTTTAACCAATAAATGAGTCATGTAAAGTGCTACGGTATTCATTCAAAGGTACACAGTTTAGGTCAATATGGTCCAGATGTCCCGGTTTCACTTTTTCTTCTTTGAAATTAAGTATCTGGATTATTACAATTAATTGGAAACATAAACTGATATTTTTTTACTGGCACACTAAAGCAAAAAAATGTAATCAACAAGACGCATATATATATGAACTGTATTTTTGTATCAGTCAAAATTGATGTTTTTTTCTTTTTCTTTTCTGCTTTGATCTAAAACAGCAACGCATTATGAAGAATTTGCTCAGTTTAAAGAAGACGTAGAGGACTACAGTCAGGATAGTGAAAAGAAAAGCGAACACATCCAGACAGTGGTACTGGTACCAGGTAAGGTTGTGTGCTTCTACACGCAGGTGTTTAGCACCTTTATTGCACATGACGAACTCAATCCAGAACACCGCCTCATCCAAAGGCTTCATTGGACGGTCATGATGAATTCTGGACAGACGCATTGCATTCTCTTTATACCTGCGGAGATGAAGACAAATACAACAACATGTCTCTTTATACTTTATAAACTGTTCATCTATCTTTTTGTCAATGTTGAGTATTAACAAGAGAACCAGCACTGACTCCTCAAAATATCGTTGTACAATGACAGTCAACTCACGAGGGGTTGTTAATGACGGCATTGAGTCCATCCAACACGTCTTGAATCTTCATACTGTTTAAGTCCATGACAACAGCAGCGCCCTTGGCCTTCATATGAGCTAAATTATCTGGCTGGTCACCAAACACGGGGATCCCGACCACTGGAACAGCATGATATATGGCCTCATATATGCCATTAGTGCCTCCATGAGTGATACATGCTCTGGTTTTGGGGTGACCTGAATCAGGAGACAAACTGTTTGGCAAAAGGTAACAAACCTCAGTAGGGGGCGCTAGAGTTTCATTCAAATGACTTTGCCACTAAACTGAATGTAGTATTATTCAGTTAGTTAGCAGTAAATGTCAAAAAACAGTTTAACATTAGATCTTCTAATTGTTGCTTTAATTTTCTTCAAATAAAATATAACACAAACCCAATAAATCTTTCTGAGGGATCCATTCATATATTTTGGTGTTTTCACCAAGAGTATCTGGCTTGTCTCCGGTGTATCGCCACAATAAAATAAAAAATAAAAAAAAACATACAGAACCACACTCGCAACTAAAGTGTGTATAAAGGCAATGATATTTTAGAGAACCACAAGCTGACCTAGATGGACTGATATTAAATGTAGTGCATGTCAAAGTTTCTACTTTTCCTTCTCTTTCCTTCCTTCCTCCTGCTTGACAAATGTGACCAGATGTTTGCCATTTTTTCAGTAAAGTATTGATTTTATTTCGCACTTGATGACTTCTTCTTTGGTAGAGTGTGCGGACTCTCCTGAAGTGTTTATCTCCTATGAAATTACAAAGAACGAAATACGTTAAAGAAGAATGGGTAACACTTTACTTGAAGGGGTGTGCATAACACTAACATGACACCTTCATAATCATGACATGACACATGTTATGAATATGAAAGAAGTTTTATGCATGTTTGTGACAACTGTCATTAAGTGTCATTCGCTCAATTATGACATTTTTAATGCAAATATGACATTGTTTGAGATGTCTTTGTCATGACACCTTGACATAAACCAATACATCATAACCTGTCAGTGTCTTTGTCATGACAACTTGACATTACTAAGACAACACAACCTGTCATAAACATGACATAGCAGATTAATTATCAAACTTAAGAAAACACTTAGCTTTATTGGTTAACATTACATTAAACTGTCAGGTGGTTGGTTTTGACATTGGCTGTCATTAAGCCATTATAACTGTTTAATGACAAATTCAATTTGTACCACTGTAGTTGAGGTCACGAAAAATATTCATGACACAGTTATAATGGCCTTATGACAGCCAATGTCAAAACCAACCACATGACAGTTTTACTTAATTTAATGTCAAGTTGTCATGACAAAGACACTGACAGGTTATGATGTTATGGTTTATGTCAAGGTGTCATGACAAAGACATCTCAAACAATGTCATATTTGCATTCAAAATGTCATTATTGAGCAAAAGACACTTAATGACAGTTGTCATAAACATGCATAAACCCTACTTCATATTCATAACATATGTCATGTCATGGTTATGAAGGTGTCATGTCAGTCTTATGTACACCCCTTCAAGTGAAGAATGTAACTAAGGATGGTAAAATAACCTTCTGTGGGATCTGTGCCAGTGCAGAGGCGATCGTATTGCTCCTCTCTATGGTTATGTTGTTTACCATGGTGGACCCCAGAGTGAAGACCACAATCCCATCATTCCCTGAGCTCTGCACAAACTCCTCTAGATCCTACACAAAAAAAGGATGTTCAGTACCTTCTCTTTTTGCTACAATGTTTTTAATATCAAGTACTACCTAGGCATTACTGGGTAGCGACTGATTACATGTAATCTGGATTATGTAATCAAATTCCAAAATTGAAGTACTTGTAATTAGATTATATTACATTTTAAAATACTCGTAATCAGACTACAGTTACTTTATTGATTACATGATTACATATTATTCACATAATGGAAGTAAATCATTCATCATTTATTGATTGTCCCTAATTATTATTTTTCATGTTTAAAATTTTCCTTTGTAAAAAAAAAGCATATCGCTTATATACATTCAGAAAGTCTTCTAGTTTTGTGAAGTTGCACACAGACCAGCCACTAGTTGTAAGGCTATAATTACATGGACAATTTAGCATTTTAAACAAAGCATTTACTTAATTTTTTTTATGATTATTTTTTTTAATCTTTCAAAAAACCCATTATCCCCAACTCTGTCTGTCTGCGTTTGAAACACTGATTGAGTGATTACATGAGAGACATGATATACGGATTACGGTATATTGTATTGTCTCTTTCAACAAATTTTTTGATGTTCATTCATGTTAATTTCATTCTGTAACGTTGTAAAGAGAAAGGGATTGATCGTGTTCACCCGCGCTCTGCTTAAACTCAGGCGCTACAGTGATCTCTCTCTATCAAAAAGTGCTAAAACAGTATTTATTGTTTGAATTTTGTGATAAAATAGACAGAATCTGAAAGCTGAGACTTTGTTTCATATCAAAAGTAACAAAGCCCAAAGCTTATTGCGATTTATTGGACAAACATTCATGATGAAACCTGAAAAGTGACGCACATTCCCAGTTTAACTTTCTCTTCATAAATAAATAAATGCATAATCTAGACTATATGCTTGTCCTGTACGTGAATAAAAATGAAAATGTGAACCAAAACAGAGCCTTTTAAATGGCTTATTATTATTAAAATGTGAACATTAAAATGACCGGTAATAACACTGTCCGTCAAAATGACTGACAATGCGGAAGTCTAACGCAACCTCTGTTATTACTATTCCTGTCAGGTTTACCATACAGTTTTTTTTCTTTTCTTTTTTCTGATTTGATGATTCAAAGCATGTGTCTCATGAATTTCAGATTTTGAGCTGGTAGACTATTAAAAAGACAGATGCACCTTGGGTAAAGGCTTGGCAGGGGTGCAGTGAAGCCCTCCAATGTATTTGAAGTTGGGCAGGAATGGCCGTGGAAACTCAAAATCCCAGTAGGTTCTGATCAACCAGATATCAGCTTTACCCATCATCTCACAATAGGAAGTGGGCCGTCCTGAAATGAAAGATGTTAAAAAATAAAATTAGCTTTTTTTTTAAGTATAATAATTTTTTCCCCTCCAGCTTACTCAACTCACTAAAATATTCAGTGTAATAGCTGTCCATTTTTTTTCCACAGACTAATGGCAAAAGCATCTTGAGAAAGGTAGAACAGCATATTGAGGATTCGCTCGGTAAAGCTCATCTTGTCTGTGAGTTTACTCATGGCTCCAGGAACAAATGATGGTGGAGCTGGTATCTGACCACACATGCGCTCTACTGTGTGAGCGATGGATAGTCGTAGTGTGTAAACCAAGGGAATGTCCAGCTTTTCAGCTAAAATCTCACCGCATGGGAAGATCGGATCGGCCAGCATGACGTTAAACTTCCCATGCTGCAATTTGTCCGTCAACTCTGGAGAGTTTAGAGCACCATCACAGTATGCAAGAAACAAGTCTTGATCTTTGGAGACAAGTTGGTATGTCCTGCGCAGACTTGGACACACTGAAGGGCTGGTAGGAGAAGCGATCCGATTCATTGGCATGCATGAAGGCATCCAGCACCAGCACTGTGACATCGTGTCCCCTGTCAAATCAATGTTTCCAACACGATCTTCAGATTGATCCAGTGACTGCCCTCAGTAAACCAAAATACTAAAATATTCCCACATTCAGCAGGGCTGAGCACAGTGAGTAAGAAAAGAAAACCGACGATGAATCTCATGATTGACAGTGTGATCACGTGTCCCACAACCAAGTACAGTATAATTATTAACCTAGAAGAGCAAAGTCATGGTTGAGATCAATCCATAAACTGTTAAGGTAAAAGGTATTGATGCATCTTAAAAATATTTTGAGGTAAAATCATTTATTTTCAAATGATTTGTTTATTTAACACGGACGATGCAGCCGCTACGAATGTGCAGACGAACATTGCTACAATTTCAGGCAGCCGATGCTCTCCATATGCTTCTAGGCTAAGGCTAATTTACAGCTCCAGTCCCTGGTTAGGCTTTAAAAAATAAGAAGAACCAGCTAAAGGTCCTTGCACACTGAGTCCGAAATATTCGCACGTTAAAAAAATAAATACGTCCACGTCAATCACGCCTCCGAAACTTTCGTCCGTCATAAAAAAAATCGAATCGGTTATGATTTTCTGCGTTTTTTGCATCCGTAGCAAGCAGTTTGAATGGGGTTTGAATGGTGTTTTGACAATTCAGAGGCACCGAATCACGACTTCGAAAAACGAAATCGCGGACTCAGTGTGCAAGGGCTTTAAGACTGTACAACCTGCTTTTGTTTGAACCATTGTTTTTTTTTTTTAGTTTCTTTAAAAAAATTCCCAACTCAGTTTGCATTTTTACTTACACTGGCAAACTGTTCCCGAGCAGTGCACCTTTAACTGAATATGTGGATTGTGCAAATTTAGTTTTTCTCTCTCGTACTGTGCAATTCTGATTAGTTGCACCTCTTGTGTTAGTTGTGCTTCCCTAACTACTCCTGTTTGAATAGTAATTGGCATGATATCTGGACCAAGATTGTTTATTCATTTAAAAAACATTTTAATAAGAGACAAATGTATAACATTTTCTAAGCAAAAACTAAGCAAACTATATTTTTATAAAATATTACTATGATGACACCTAATTGATTTCAGTTACAATTTATTTTAAGGCGTCCGTGTTACCGTGTAATTATACACTTAAGTACAGAGTAATTACATATAACGTGTAATAAGGACTGTAATATTACAGTGTTACCTTGATTTCTTGTCCGAAATGTTTAGTTAATTTGTGAATATGTAGTTGACGTGAAATTTCAAGTAGTGAAAGATTGTTTCATAATTATACATGCAAGTTTAGAAAAACATAGTCTTTTCCTGCTTCCTTGTTTACCTTGTCGCTCTTCCCCGGCCCGACGAAACACACTTTTCACACCTGAGCACCCTCCCAAAAAAACTTGTGAAGTTTTTCTAAATAAAAGCAGTCAATCAAAGTTCTCCAGTAACCACTAGGGACAGTAATGTTTAGTACTAATGTTTAGTAATGAATAACCAAAACTAGAGCACAATTATGCATTCTTATAAAATATCATTCTTATTTTAATGTATCATTTAATATCAATAAGTATTTTTCTACTTATTTTTTATCATTTTATATTATATATTAATAATATGAATATATTTAACATTATAAAATATAAATATATTCACAAATAAAAATGATCTATCTATCTTAATATCTGAACAGATTTTAAAGCACTAGATATTATTGAAACTTGGAATCATAAAGTAAATTGAACCGGAACATCAAACCGAAATATGCACCACGTTGCTAGGAGACAATGTGTTCTCAATCAGCTCAAAATATAATGATATCCTCCGACTGCCTGGATTTATAGTCTAAAGCTAAAAAAATTGCATTATGTGCCCATCACTGCATGATTTTCTGCAAAATCTGTCAACCCTAACTGCCCAGAATTGTATTTAAAAAAAAAAGGTTTCACTTTGAAACATTTTTACCCAGAAATTGCTAGTAAATATTACACAGATTTGCAAAGAAACTGCAAACAACACATTTAATTAAATTACATTTCGTAGTAGAAAGACTGACCGTATTTTCTTTTAAAAATGAATCCACCAATCTTAGTTTTATTTTAATTAAAACAGTAAAATGTAAACTCTTCCAGACTGAATGTGCAGTGTTTTCCAGCCTTAACGCATTACACTGGGAAGTGACAACATATTCATCAATAGCATCTAAAATATTACAATACCAAACATTTAGAGCCTTCTCCACAGAATTGGTTTCAGAGGTTTTACTTTCCCCCTAATCCAAAATGTTCCAACTCTTCTTCCTCAGTAAGTTACAGCATGATGCTTTTTGAAGTATAGATTTGCCTAATCTGATCACAGATCATTGGATTGTCAGTGTGCCATAAAGAGGAGAGAGCCGCTGTCCGGCCAACAATAGTGTCTCTCCAGCCAGCAATGCACCTGCCTGCTCTCGAACCAGCTCTCCTGTCTCACACAGATAACACTTTCTACCCTCTCTTCCATGCGTGCCTTATTTATTTTTTTGAAGGGGGTGGGGGGGCTAAATATAAGGTTTTATGACCCCTCCAGCCCTTCTTTTTTTTTGGAGACGGGGGCTCAGACAGTGGGAAAAATTTAGCATGCAGCATGTGAATTGGTTTAGACGTATAAAGAGATCAGGGCTAATCGGTTGGCACCAGAGACACTTCTGCATTCAGCCTTCTTTCGGGGAGGGCAACGGAGCGCGGGAGTGAATGCATGTGAGAGGGGGAGGGAGGGAGAAGCCCATGATCTGCTCCATTGTGATAACAGATTTAGGCAGAGTGTGGGGTTCCGATAAGGAAAAGCACACTCAATAGAAGATTAGCCGCATACTTGGAGTAGAACAGTGAAGGAGAGGAGGACACTTGGAAAGAAGAGGAGACGTGGGATGTATTAGTCATGCTGAAACGGATTCTGTTTATTATTTATTATTAATAATTACTCTCTTTTCATCGTTTTCAAATTCGCTTTAAATATCAGTCGCTGTGTTACAGAGCTCGGCTCTAATCATAGCAGATTTATCAGTTTAAACATAGCACAGCACAATATATTGATGTAAGGAGTCTTAGATATGCATCGTCCAATTTATTTATATAGCGCTTTTCACAATATGCATCGTTTCAAAGCAGCTTCACAGAAAATCATTATGCTTTATACAATCTTCAAATCTTCATGCCTTAAAGTTGCATTTAGGAGATTACAGCTGGGCGATAATATAGTTTGTTTTGTGATGATACAAGCAATCAAGCAGTTGAGATTTGCTATATAGTTTATATCAACCTATGGGAGTATACTGTATGTATGCAGATAAGGTTTGTACTTATATATACAACATTGTATAAAAAGCTGGGCGATAATATAGTTAAAAAATCAAGCAGTTTAGTTTTGCCATATAGCCTACATGTGTGTTACTGTATGTGTGTGGATAAAGTTGGACATGCTTACAGTATAGATCCGACTTTATATAAAGAGCTGGGCGATAATATGATTACATAAAAAAATCAAGCTGTTGAGATTTGCTATATAATATATATATGCTTTATGCGAGTATACTTTATGTATGCAAAAGAAAAGTTGGATATAGCCTGTTTCCCACTTTATATATAGAGCTGTGCAATAAATGAATAGTTTATATGCTTGGTATATATTCTAAAAAATTGTTTGTCGATATTCAAAGTTACGATGCATCATGTGTGTTGTTTGAACATTAGATCTAAAACAGAAGGTTAGTTTAAATAAGCATTAGTAACTCGCACTCGCCAGATGAGCTTTGCTTTTCCGTGTTTGGTTTTAGGATCACAAAGTTTCCTTTTTTTGTGTTTGCGGTTGTGATTGTGTGTTGTGTTAAATGGTGATTAGTACAGAGGGCAGTCAGCTGCTGATTGCAGACGGGTAAAGTGGTATAAACAGCTGCCCATAAACTGATCTTCCTCTGTGATGATGATTCCAACAAGGCTAAGTGAGATTTAACAGAATATTTTTTTACATTTAGGGTCAATGTGGCCTATTGACTAAAGTGATCTGAACATAAATGAGGGATATGCTCATTCGCAGTGTTACATGCATTTATCCAAAATCGTCTTATAATAGGCTGAATGTCACTAAGTAAGGGTCAGATCATATCCCCCCCCCCAAAAAAAAAATGTGCATGGGGAAAATCAAGCCTTTTTAATTTGACATCCTGGCTTAAACAAAATTTGTACCCCCCAAAAAATATTCATTAATATAATGCTAGAAACATTATTCTTATACTGTAAGAATTCAAATAAAATAAAAATCTGCATAAATTACATTCAAAACAACATAAATTACCATTGACATTGAGATTAAGTGCTTAATTGGCATAAAAATATCATAATGCAAAATAAAAAAGAATGGTCCTAAACTAGACTATTTTCTTCATGCAAAACATAATTTCTTGCTTTTGTTCTCCTGGTTTTGACTTGGATGTGTTCTTTACATGTCTTATGAGATTCGGACAGTTACTTAACGTTTGAAATAGTCTTTCTTCTGCGTCATCTGTGTGTATGAATCCTTTTTATCAGTCTTGTCACTCCTTTAAATGTCTAATTTAAAAATAAGATCCATTTTCTGTACCGATGTTCGATTGTAACGCAAACATACCCCAGATTGGTCACTGACAAGTGTGGATTTTTTGACTCCAAGATGACCTCTGGCCTCAGACCAAAAGTTAAGCTGTGTCTACAATCCGCTCTCTCATGTGGCTTGGACACTTCCAGAGGTCATCGCTATGGTCACACAGCTCTTAAACTGCCACTGCAGTGAACAATTATCTGACCACGACATACAAGCCAATCAGAGTCTCCAGAGCAGACCAATACATGCTCACATAAACTGGTCAGGACGAAACCACTTTCACCAAACTGATGATGTTTGATCGAAATATTTTAGTGAATTCGAAGAATGTTTGAATAAGCCTTTTCACTTATTTTAATATCAAATCGACTAATAAATGAATACAATAATTAATAATTTTCAAGTAACGCAATTGTTTGATTCATGAGGGAAATATATACATTCTACAATTTTTAATAATGAATGCACAAAAATAATCTTTGGCAAAACATATTTTTGTATTTGTGAATGCAGAGTAGTTTAAACAATAACATTTTCCATTTAATAAATTACAATTTAATGTACAACTAGTCGCATGTGCTGAATCCATTAATAGCATAAATATTAAATAAACACATTAAATACAATCAAATAAATAAACATTTGAAATCTGAGCTTGTTACTGGCTTCAATCTCAAACAAAACATTCTTGAGTTTTTAGGAGATTAAATGATATAAATACTAAAAAGTATTGGGGAGATGCTTCCAAAGTGCATTCTTGACAATGCTTATGTTGTTCAGGGTTTCCACTTGATTACGCATGACAGCAATTTTAAAGTACTGGTGAATAAAGTGTCTCTGGGTTTCCACAGATCATTCATTTCCAAACAGCATGAGTGATTGTGATGTCATAATGAACATGAACATTCCGAGTTCCGGAAATCCACTCCAGCTTTGTCTCTCCGTGGCGATGGAACTTTCAAAAAAAATGTCACAGTCACAGAATGCTCACGCCTCAGTTGGTTTAGCTCTACCACGCTTCTGAGCCGTCGCAGCTGGACCCGGGCGATGGCGGGTCGGTGTCGCTGGTCCAGGTGCGGTCGGTGCGCAGGTTCTGCATGTTCCCCGTGAGCAGCGTGAGGAGCGCGGCTTGCGAGTGAGTCGACGGCTCTCCGCCCTGGCTCTCCAGCAGAGTCACCAGGAAGTTGATGTAGCGCATGGCCAGCCGCAGGATCTCGTTCTTGCTGAGCTTTTTCTCAGGCGGGTGCGTGGGAATGAGTTTCCGCAGCTCCGCGAAAGCTGTGTTGACGTTATGTTGGCGCCAGCGCTCGCGTGTGTTGGTGAAAACCTTCCTGGTCATGATACTGCGGTACTTCTGCAAAAAAAAACACAAAAGACGGTCATGCCATTGTCTGAATATTATATATTGGGGAAAAATGAATATAATTCTGTTGCAAACAAACGATATCTTACCACTTTCCGTTGTCTTGAAGCTCTATGAACGTTGGGGCATCAGGAACAAATTTTCTGGCATGAAAAATCCCCAAATAGTCCCGACGGCAGGTGAAAGCAGCAGTGTTTAGGAGAGATAAAACGCTGTCAGGTAATAAGCCCACATCCGTCCTCTCACTCTCACTGAACCCTTGAACAAACTCCTCAAGACAGAAAACAGGGTGAAGGAGAGAGAGGATGCGAGGGAGGGGTGGGGTTTGGCTTGCGCCTCTCGGTTTTATAGTCCCGCTGCTGTGTGACGTCGCAGGGTGTGAGTGGGGGGGAGTGGGGGGGGGGGATTTTTACATCTGCCATTAATGCGTTTAAATTGATTAACATAATGCATCATGTTTCCATTCACAGCTATAGCATTCGGGGGCTGAATACAAGGAAATCCAGCTTCTGACCAACTGAACATGTAAAACAAAATGCCGTCTAGTGTTTAAACCAAGTGTACAATAATATAAAGCTTTCGTCTCATGCATCATATCCTGGACTTAATCTTGACTTCGCAGCAGTGTCAAAAACTCTTAATTCTATTCTTCTATCTTTGTTCTATTCCTTTATTTTTACATTGTTAAATGTTTAAATTATATGAATCATATTACTTTAGAATTTATATTTAATCTTGAATTCATAACTATATTAAATACTAAATACAATTAGTATTAAATTACATAAATATATTTCTCTTTCAAGATATTTAACTTAATCTATTTAAATGTCCATTTTCACAGAAATAAAAAATACTAAATTACTAAATACTTCACACTGCCAGTCACATTTATAAAGAGCTTGGTTAAATAAACAGGTCAGAAAAATTAAAAGGAAGGTATAATCCAAGGATTAACACTCTAAAGTCAAGCTTCACTATCCTTCAAAATAGTTTTGACAAATATTTTTGTTTTTGCATGTTCTCATTTTAAACCACAGAGTAATATCCAATGTAATATAATACTATCCTGTCTTTAAATGTCAGCTTATAAATCTTCACAATGCAGATCTTTTCTAATGCCACTTCTCTAATGGCACTTAATGACGTGAACGAACCAGCATATACCATTTTTATTGATGTGAGTTTAAGTTTATTCATTATTATTATCTTAAACACTTCCACATTCACCCCATCGGGCAACAACAGAAACCACAAACTATTCAAAGCAGACTTATAGCCTATGAGCTCTAACGAATACGTGGCCGTTGTACAAAATGTGTTTCTCTCTATTGTTGGGGTGCTGGACGTCCACCTGCTAACAGATCTATTACAGCGACTCTTTCCAATAGTGAAGTGACATCATAATGAAAACCTTCCTCTGATTGGACAACACTTTGCCAAAAAAACCCACAGCATATTCACCCTGACAGAGAAATAATATGGGTTTTGTCTGAATGATGGTAATCTTGTTTAGCATGTCCTGGGGCTTCACATAAATTACACTAGGTTATGACAGAGGCAAGCTTGTGGATCAGCACATTCTTTGGGGCCAAGGTCTCCGAAGCCCCCTCTCGCTCTCTCTCGCACTCTCAACCTCCCTTCAGATCAAAAGCTGGTGTCTCGCTGCAGCAATTGTTGCGTTAAAAGTCTCTCTGAGAATTGTGGGGGATTTGCATAATGGGATTATGGAGGGATTAGGAGTCAGGCAGAGGACGGACACAGTTAGAACGCAGTTGAATTCACGACTCCATTCATACAGACTCGACCGCTCAACACTCCCTGCACCTGCAGAGCTGCCTTTCAGATCGGCCAAAAACTTCAACAACCCGCAAACCTGCATGAAACCAAACTCTCAAACTTTACGCCTACCTGAGCTCCGGTTTCTCGTGGCACATCGCAATCGTTTCTCCAGCAATGCAACTAAACGAAGACTTCTGCTGCACAGATGTTTCTCCTGCAGAAACACTCCAGTGACCTCTCAGATTCGCCCCAAAGTCTGTAATCAAATGTTATAGTTGTCAATATGAAAATTCTTATAATGATACCAATGATCAGAGCTGTGCGATCCAAATGAACTATCAAATGTGTCTTTTTAATTAGCTTCAAGAAATTCTAAGACAAAGCTGATATTTACATATTTAAATGTAACTGAGAACTAAATTCTCATGATATGAGAAATACAATTTATTATTGAAATAATAATATCTAAACACCACACACACATTTAATTTGAAATATACACATTTTATTAAATGTTAACATGTATTGACTATTAATTTTATAATTCATATTTTTACATTTTCAGCCCCACACAGACACACATATATTATATATATATAAATAATGGCTAAACTTAGCTAAAAAATGCAACAACAAAAAAAGCAAGTAACTTACTGTAGTGCTTGTGGTTTGTTCAGACGGCCTCAGAAAGGACCTATTAAAGGTAGGAACCTTTCCCAACGGTTCCTATTTGGGCATTTAGTACATTGTTGACAATGCCGTAAGAGTGACAATTGATTTGACCTAATGCTTGCAATGAAGAGCGTGGTTAAAAAGGGTCAGATTTGAACAGCATGCCCTGTTCTCACAGGTTTTTTTCCATCTGAAAGAGCGCTGTGATTACGGTCACATTACTGACGTGTTTATTTAAAGCGCTGTGTTTTACTGCCTTAGACTGGACACACATCTTCCCCCAGTGTCCGAAAACTGTGGTTTTATTTGCTTTTGTTTGTGTAGGCAGACGTGGCAGTTCAGAAGGGAGTTATTTATGGAGGCTGTTTGGTGTTTTACAGAGGCTGAGACTAACGGGGGGGGGGGGTGCAGAGAGAGTGAAAGGGAGCGTGATGGAGAGAGGAAAATGCCCTATGGGAGTGTGTTTTCTCGAGCTCATTCCTGCGAGGGGCTGCAGTCAGACTGCTGGCGCGCTGAGATAAGCCCCCCCGACCCCCATCACTCTCCCTCTCTTCCTCCTCCTCTCAACGTGCGCTGCTTTCTCTCGGCTCTGACTGTCAGCGATAAGAAGATTGTCCTGTAATTGAATGACTATCTTTCTATCACGCTCATTTAAGAAAATAGCGAGTGGCTGGAAACGTGTATGGTGTGGGAGATAAATTAATGGCCACTGTCAACACAGTCGCCAATCAACATCCAGACCGGTAATTTAGAAAATGTTTTTTTTAACGCCAATCAATTCAGCTTCACATGCCAAATGATTAATTCAGTTCCAGACCAATACACAAATGCATAGCAGAAGCGTGACCTCCTCTAAATAAGCAGGAGTAACGTGTAGCAAGAAATGTACGCAGTTGCTTGTTTGTCAATAAAGTGCCACATTTGAATACTCTGAATGCATTCTTCACACCTGCTTCTGTGTACATACTATAAAGCTAACAGATGCATGTGTGCTCACGTTCACTCTCAACTGTAGGTTAAAGGTCAGTAGATAAAGGAGTCACGTAATACTGCGGTCTTGTAATTAGAGGAAAAAAACAACAAGACACTAAAATACTTTTGAGCAATCAGAGATCAAACCTTCTGCTGTGCCTGATGTACATTTAAAATGATAAATCTAAAAAAAAAAACGTTAACCCCGCAATTATAAAACAGGGTTCGCACATTTTGACTAGTAAATTTCATTGACTTTTCTAGCTGTTCATGATTTTTGTATATCTTATATTTTAAAAAATGTTACAGAAATTACATTATTAGTAGTAGTCATTAATAATCATATATTCAAAATAATTTTATAGTTGACCATTAGAAGAATATTAGGAGGAAAATAAATACAAATTATAAAAATTAATAAACTATAAAAATGTGCATGCCTTTTAAAAAAAAATAATAATTTCATGACATTTCCAGGCTTTTTTTCCCCTAATGACTCTGGGAAAATCAATAAATACAAAATAACCCAAAATCTAATATAATTATAAATTATATAAATCATAAAAGATAATTTAAATGATCCGGCTGCGTCCGTGTAATTTGTCGGTAGATCATGCGCAGAATTTTTTTTGGGAAACTTTTTGGGAATTGCGCTTTTACACTAATTTGCCCTGTTTAGTAAATCTGTCCCTGAATCTAAAAAAATTGCAATTGTAATGAATTTATTAATCGAATTGATTTTTTGAATTTAGTTAAATAAAAATATAAATTTAGAATATATAAATGACAAATGTTTTTTCAGCTAACTGTTCTCTGAACCAAGAATACTATAAATACACCTAAAGGATGATAGGTTAATCTTTAATATGAACAATATCTACAATATTAAAATATATGTTCATATATCCATACGAACATATGGATGAACTGTATTAATTTCACATTATATTCTACATAAAAACTAAATATACATATGAACATGAGAAATATTCAGAAATTTCAAGTGATAAACTGAAGAGAAAGAAGCAAAACTTTCTCAGAAAAATCTCAGTCTGGTCTGTCCATCATTCCTGCCTGGAACTCGCTCATATAGCAGTTTTCCTCTCTTGCTGTGTGGAGGAACTGCGAATAAACACACAGACAGAAAATAATGGAGCAAAACTCTCCTGTCCTCTGGACATCAATTCTTTTGTGGTGGATTTCGGTTTAAAATTTCACATGACATTCTGTCATAATTTCTTCACTATCATGTCGTTCCAAAACTGTACAACCGTCTTCCTTCTGTGGAACGCAAAAGATATTTTGAAAAATGTCTGTTTTTCAACCATGCAGTGAAAGGCAATGGGATCTACAGACCTATGGAGCTAAATTAATTCATTTAGAAAATACGATTCACAAATGCATAAGCTAATTCACTAAAAAAAAGTTTAGATATTTACAAACAGCAATTCACAAACTCATAACCCAATTCATATCGACAAAATACGATTTTTAAATGCACAAACAAATTTACAATCCCAAATGCAAAGCACAATTCATAATTCATATTCATGTATTTTGTGAATATAAATTAGGTTGTTTTTATGAATTGCTGTTTGCAATTTTTTTGTGAATGTAAAGTAACTTGTGCATTTGTTATTCATGTTTTCTGAATAAATTAACTGAGTGAATATTTTAGCTCCATAGATCTAATGTTGTCAAAATTATATTTTTTGTGTTCCACAGAAGGAAGGAAGTCATACATGTTAAGATTCACAAATTCATAGCACACTTTCATAAATAAGCAAGTATGTATGAACATTTCTGAATGTTTTGTATTTTGCCAATATGATTTAGATTATGAATTTGTGAATTGCTGTTTGCAAATACATACACACTTTTTGTTAAATGTAAATGAGCTTATTGAGACTATTTTAGCTCCATAGATCTAATATTGTTCAAAATATCCTTTTTGTGTTCTGCAGAAGAAAGGAAGTCATACAGGTTAGGAATTTGTGTGTGTGTGTGTTGTGTGTGTGTTGTGTTTGTGTGTGTGTACCACTCTGGGCGTCTTCTCCTCCTCGCCTCTTCCTCTCCTCTCCTGTCCTGTGAGGCGGATCGTTCTCAGGTGAGCTCCGGTGAGTCTGACCCTGCGGCCTAAAGCTGAATGCACACGCAGTGTTCCTGTACCCCAGCACTTCAGGAGTGGGTAGAGGAGCCAGGGGAACACGGGCAGACCCTCGGGGAACAGCTCGGCCTGGCACTAGATTTGGGTTTTGAATGAATCCTTCACCCTGCGGCTGCCAGGCGCTCGCTGTAGCTGAAGCTTGGCTGAATGGACTTGGCAAAAAGGGGTTGAATGAGTGAGAGTGAGTTGAATCTGGAAGGGATAATTCGTTTTTTCTCCATGTTTCCTCTCCTCTTCTTCTGTTATGACCTGCTAATGTGATAAAGAAACAATTCAAATTATTGCTCTGAAAAAATTATTTACTAATTTTTATCTGTCCAAAGGGTCCAAAATTAGTGTTTGTCCATAGCCACATCTACCGACACCAACACACCTACCACCAATATATATTTTCAACTGGATATTTAAACTGTATAGTGAATTATATGCCTGTATATTATTGTATCATGTTTGTTGAGATGTGAACATTAATATTAGGTGCAGCTATATATATACCAAATATTTGTATTTATTATTATTATTTTTCTTTGTATTACTCTTGTTATTTTAGCACTTGAAATCTCTTATCGTCTCAGATAATGTTCCTTTTGTTATGTTCTGTGAAAAATATAAATAAAAAGTTCAAAAAAATAAAAATAAACTGTATAGTGACTAGTGATGGAAAGAGTACTGAAAAAAAATCTAATTTAAAAGTACTCATGAGTGGTGGTGAGTACTGAGCTGCGGATTCTACCCCCTTATAATGAACACTGTGCACTACAATTAATAAATATAAAACCATTGCACATAATGCAATTCACATTATCTTTTGTTTTTTGTCATTACGATCGAAGAATAGCTATATCATCCATCTTTCTAAAATGCATCAAATCAGTACATTTAAATCATATTGTTTGAAAAAAATTAATTTAAAATTAGGTGTTAAAACCACTGAGCCTGAGCATGCTATTGTGAATAAAATATCATAAAATATCAATGTTCATAACTGTGCAAAGAATTCAAAAATCTTTAGAAACTCATCCGATAGTTCAGCATCACACACCATGAGATGGTGGGTTAAATAAAGATATTAAAAAATACCTAATTTCTCTCCAAAACGGTATTAGTTTTAGTGTTTTAATAAATAAATGAGAACCACGAATATTATCAGATTACCTCACCTAATGCACTGAAAAAGGCTAAGATAGTGAGCTAACACTGGCTACACTGTAATTACATGCCATTAAATATGTTACAATTTAAACGTACGTGCACATTGTTCTAGAAGTGGGGCATCATCCCTTACACGGCTACATTTACTCGCATTGTAATGCTGATAATATAACTTGTGGAAAGAAAATTGTGCATTAAATAGGGAAGTTATATCCGGGGAAACTTACAAAAGAAACAAACACACACACACACACACACACACACAAATGCATTTCTCTCTTTGTAGTTTTAGTAAAGCCGTTTTATCAGCAGCATCCACAAAAAAAAAAAAAAAAGAAGCTGAACTTGAAAAATGTTTTTGCGCAAGTGCACCTGCTAAATGAAGGCGGATTGTATGAAATTGATCAATCAAAAATCGTTGCTTATTAACGAGCTGTAGTCACTCACTGTCAGAAATGCAGTTCAAGTTAACCCCATAGTGCACTGCATACCGAATATGGCTGCATGACGAGTGCGAGGGAGAGACGCAGCAGTGCACATATCGCTACGTGCATCTCGTTTACACTTTCAATGAAATGTGACCCAATTCCGATTTTTTGCTCATGTGTGACACAGATCGGATGTGTTCTATGACAACAGGAAAAAAACGCATGCATTCGGATATTTCGAGATTGGTTTCAGGCCTTTTGAAAAAAAAAACTTCTTAATTACAGTAACGTGAGTATTTGTAATTCGTAACTTCACATCCCTGATAGTGACGTGAGTCTCTCTGTAAAGTGACATACTCTGAATTTGTCCTCTGCATTTAACCCATTCAAGTTAGTGCACACACATTAGGAGCAGTGAGTAGTGAACACTGCAAACTGTGGACACACACACACTCGGAGCAGTGGGCAGCCATTTTGCTGTGGCGCCTAGGGAGTGATTGGGCTAAAGGGAACTTTGCGAATCGAACCCGCAACCTTCGGGTTACTCCCATTAGGCCACGACTGCCCCCGACTGATAATGATAAACTATATTTAGCATTGTCATTATTGTAATAAGAGTATAAGCAATCAAGTACAAATCAATCAATATTTATCTATATATTGTGGCACCGTGAGATATTGTGTCATAGAAGGGAAGTATGTGCCGTATAGGTGATTGCAGCACACGTAGTATGTAGTATGACAGCCTGACCAAAAATGATGTCCACACAATTAAGCATTTTTCACTGCGTTATCACAAATAAAACAATTAACTCCAAACACAGCTATGCAACATGCTTACAAAATCTTTAACACATTTAGTTATTAACATTTAGACATTAATTTTAAATATATATTTAAAATCTTATCATTATTTTTATAATTTATTTTCATAAATATATAAATAATAGTTATAATGACCAAAGCATTCTTTTGTCACATTTGGTGCTTGGCAAGTATTCATTTTGGATCCTGTCTGTAATTTTTAAGCAAATGTGTCTTATCTAAACACTAAGACTGACCAATCAACTGGCTACGTGGCGTCTTATCCTCCAGATGTAACGGATCAAGATCCTGAGTCCAGAGAGGCAGATGAGGATGAGGAGGGTGAGCTGGGCTGTTTTTGTGTGAGAGGGGTGTATTCTCACTCTTCATGGTGGCCGTTTTGACTTTGGACTCAGTTGTAATATCACTGAAAAGCTGCGGAAAAACAAAGAGTGTGAAAAAAGTCATGTTTCCTTTTACATATTTTTATGCAAATTTTGGGATATTGCATAAAAAAACACTGGATGGAAACGCCAAGATGTGCATAAATTCTAAAAATGAGCATAAAACACATATGCGCTCAATTTGAGGCTGACAATCTTTTTATCTAAAAAGAAGACATGCACATAATCTACGATAGGGACCCATTTAACAAATAAATTCCTTTTATGCAAAACAAAAAACACACGTGACTTTGCCTTAACAGAGGATGTGATTAATTAAACTGGACTAACCAGTGGATCAATCTCATCGCAGAGAATCTCAAATGTTGCTTTGGTCATTCTGAAATGCCTGATCCAAAGTCTGTCATGCATTTATTTGGTATAATAACCACCCAGATGCATCTCACAAGATTGTGTTCCAAAACACCAGGCATCCGCCTCCAAATGCTAGATAACATGACAGTGTTTTTTCCGTTTCATCTGCAGTGCGCTCTGAGGCGGAAGTCATTTATGATGTACAAAAAAGAGCCACAGTGGCTTCCCCAATTGCCCTATCGGTAAGCCCCGCCCCCCATTGTTACTGTTGCTATCTCGGACAAACAAACGGAGTAGCTAACTGTCTTACAATGACAGCTGTCAGTGTGAAAACCTTGTCCCAAACTGTTTTTGATCAATTTTGGACACAGAAGGGCCACCAATCGTCGGGGAGCATTCAAGTGGGACTTAAATATGCCATGGAAGGATATTTTAAAATACATATGGTGCATAACACGATTAATTTGGAATTGAGGGTTTACAGATCACAATGCAAGCGGGAGAAGCCTCATGTTACGGTCGTCACGATCGCAGATGGCTGTTTTTAAACCATCGGGTGTTTTTGACCTTTACTGTACATAATGTGAGAACAGTTAACGTTAATATTTAGGTTTGTACGTTAGCATGGACTCACTAACTTTAATTGTAACTTAATGAGAGTATGACAACCAGAAAATGAACGTTTTCGTCTTCATTGGGATTGGGGTTGAATCCTTAGGGAACCAGGTTCCTGCGCTCACATCATCATCATTATAAATAAATCGGGCTTCAGTCGTATAGCGCAGATAATTGGTCCATTTGCGCAAATCTTATCACACTTTTGAAACGCGCTAATGAACGAGCGCACAGTACGGTGATTCAATACATTAATACACATGTCCATTCTGTCAGGATACATGGAATCAGTGTTACAAATACCCCAGGGCACATCGTTTTACCATTTTTGCAGAATAAACACCATAAAACCCACGAGAGCTTCGGATCTTCCAATGTTTTTCTATGGCGCTGAAACCTAAAGATGTCCCGAGTTCCGGTCCCCGTGCAACTGATCCTCAACTGCCATTGGCTCATCTGCGTTCAAGGGGAGGGGCTTACCGATAGGTCAATTGCAGCAACTTTAATTTTTTTTACAGACATTTTGCACAAATTTCCTAGGAAGTGACAATTTTGTTCTCTTAAACACATGGGATGGAAACGGTGCTTCATTCGCAAATGATTTATGCAATATTCCAATTTTGCTCAAGTTAAATTCGCAACTTTGGATTGAAACATAGTTACTGTCTACAAGACAATGTGCCCTGTGACAGTTTGATCTTGGATACTAGTTTCACTAGTAGTACCTTAATGACTTTGTGAGGGATCTGTGGGAACATTTCCTGCAGCTCAGAGAAAGAAGCTCCCAGCAGCCACTGCAGCGATGGAGCTCTCCTCAACATCAGTTGAGCAACCAGAGGATTAATGCAGGGAAACTGCAATAGGCAATGCTCTGCCTAAAATAAACACACATTAATGCATCAGTGAAATGAGCAAACAGAATGATATTAAACTTTCAGCTCCATCTATTCCAAATCTTGTGAAGTTGATAATTTTGCATGCATTTGTCACACTAATATTAACTGTGTTACTAGCTACTTAATTACTAGCTACTGATTGGACACTCAAAAAATCAATTTCCTTTACAATTAGGGTAATAACTTGAAAAACCTTGGTTGTAGTAAACAAAATAAGCATAATTATCTAAAAAAAACACACACAAAAAACAAAGCCTGAGTGATTTTGTTGAACTCATTCAGAATGAAGAATGACTTTGATATTGTCTGATTTTATAAAAAAAATTTTTTATTATTATTTTACATCTAACAGTGCTGACAAATAGTAGGGATACAGCAATTCGAAAATGCGAGAAAAACGTTATTTCTAATTTAATCAAGGACAACTCGTAAATAAATAAAAAATCCATATTAATTTGTGCATTTTTAAAATGTGTAATAAAGTTGCAAAAAGTCAAATAAAAATCTGAAAAGAACTCAATATTTCATTTTGTGTTCTCGGTTCTAATTTAAATGTTGGTATACAACAAAGCATTTTAAAAATACAACAACGGTTATTTTTTTTTAAAATTTGCATGGTTAAAATAGAAATGGACGCAAATGTACAGGCACCATTTCTATTTATCTTTAATCAATCAATCAATCAATCAATCAATCAATCAATCGTTTATTTATAGAGCACGTTTAAGACACAACCGAGGTTGACCAAAGGTTGACTTTAACTTTAATAAATATATTAATCTATATTAAATACTGAGTTATAGCCTGAGGACAGATGATTTTAGGGTCACTGATGATCAGTGACAAAAAAGTCATCATTTTGATGAAATAAAGAAAAATAATAATAAATAGGACAATTTTTATGTGCTATGAACATTTTAGACCTGTCATTCACCTTTGTGGGCTGCATACTGAGCCAGTCTCTATCCAACCAGCTCAGTCCATCTCTCTCTGAATTCATCAGTGTATGTAAGGAGATCCGATAGATGTAGCTAGCTATCTCTTCTTCCTCACACACCATTAACACCTGAAACAAACATACACCACATGCCATGTCAACAAATATACACAAACTTAGAATGAAAGTATTTTTCAATAGCATAAAAACGGAAAATGTCAAACCTGACATTGGTATAACCTTTAAAATTTGTTTTAAGATTTGTTATCTGCTATTAAAATTGCCATAATAAATTAGGAAGAAAATACCTTGACATCAAACTTGTCAGACTTGCTTCCGAACAACACAGATGCAGAGTAGATGTGAACCAGATTGATATAGATGTTACTGGAAATCCTAAAATTGGAGGAAAATAGTGTTTAGTTTTTGAATCTACATAAATAAAACAGTGTGTCAGTCACGGTTGCTGTTTTGTCTTCTGTTGGCTATGAACAGGAATCGACACATAATGCTTCACAGGACGGCTATAGATGGAATAAAAAAGCACAACCAAAATTCAGTATGCAAACAGTGCAGTCCTGGATATTACTGTATAATGAAAAGTGACAGTCCAATATTTCAACCAGGCCGATTAATTTGCTGATATTTGGTCATTTAACAGAAGTACCCTAGTGAAAAAAACTATACCAAAATGTATTTCATGTAAGTATACTATAAAATCATTAACATATTTACTGACATATCGCTTGAGACTTGAAAAAAATATTATAATTAAACTGTATTTGGAGTACTTCTTTATTGCATTAAGCCTAAAATGTGTTTTAATATCACTATTAGTAAGGACAGTATGATCTCTGTATAATATCAGTCTTTAAATGCAAGTTAAAGTGTACCTAAAGTATACTTTAGTACACTAGCATACTAAAGTACAATTGCAGGGTATTTATTGTACATAAATATGTAATGTATTTGGAGTATACTTAGCATAACAAAATTTCCAATACATTTTGGTATATTTATTTTCCACTAGGGTAGTCATTCCATCGTGTCAATTCCAATATCTATCAACAACCTTGCAACATTAATATTCATAGGATATCAATATCATATTTGTATTTTGAGCAAATATAGTGTAAAATAAATGTTAATATAAATTCAACTACTGTATTTCATATCAGCATTATATCAGTGACTCTCTTCTCTGGATACTGGTTTTGGCATCGGCCATTATGGCAACTAATCAGGGTTCAGCAATAAATACGGTTTGTAAAATTAAAGATATTCACTAACAATAACTAACAATAACAGTCAACCCTCTACGCACACCTTGGCAATAGAATCGCCATTGGCTAGTACATTTTTTTAGTTTACTCGCCAGACTGATATACTATTTATTAGGGGTGACCCTGAATAGCCGAAGATTCGATATTTCGATAGGAGGAGCCTGATTCGACTACCAATCTCACGGTCGAATCTTCGCAGAGGTGTTATGAAACGAGGATCATGCCACTTTGTCTGATTTCACATAGAACTACCGGGTTTTCTGTCAATACGTTAATATACAGCCTATTATGATAATGCTGTAAATAAAAATGTGCAAAGAAAGAAGCTTTTAATAAATATCTTTAGCATGTGTGAATTAATCCAACCACCCCTGTGACAGATTTAAGTTTCACTTTCGATCCGTGACCGACAGAGGAGCGTCTTGGCGGCAGGGATTTACATCTTTAAAAATGTCTGGGATAAGAAAATCTAAAGTGTAGATGCACACCATAAGAAAGGATATTCTCCAAGGCTGGATTTAGCATCAGGAAAACCATGATCGCACTTCTGCCGGCCAACGTTAACAAGTTGGTTTTCCTCGGGACATTCTAAAACGCTTAACGTGAAAAAAGCTTTTAAAACACTTAAAGAGCACTTTTACGCATGTACACAGTACACACCTTATTAAGAAACCATACTATGTGCAGATAAGCAGATGAACCCAGAATATGAACGCAACGCATTCCTCCTATAGAAAGTAACTTAGCGTTTTCTTTATAATAACGGTTTTCTATGGGAGGAAAATGCTTAACGTGTAATTAAATGCGTTGCGTTCATATTCTGGGCTCATCTGCTTTTCTGTAGGCTATATACACTCACCTAAAGGATTATTAGGAACACCTGTTTAATTTCTCATTAATGCAATTATCTAATCCACCAATCACATGGAAGTTGCTTCAATGCATTTAGGGGTGTGGTCCTGGTCAAGACAATCTCCTGAACTCCAAACTGAATGTCAGAATGGGAAAGAAAGGTGATTTAAGCAATTTTGAGCGCGGCATGGTTCTTGGTGCCAGACGGGCCGGTCTGAGTATTTCACAATCTGCTCAGTTACTGGGATTTTCATGCACAACCATTTCTAGGGTTTACAAAGAATGGTGTGAAAAGGGAAAAACATCCAGTATGCGGCAGTCCTGTGGGCGAAAATGCCTTGTTGATGCTAGAGGTCAGAGGAGAATGGGCCGACTGATTCAAGCTGATAGAAGAGCAACTTTGACTGAAATAACCACTCGTTACAACCGAGGTATGCAGCAAAGCATTTGTGAAGCCACAACACGCACAACCTTGAGGCGGATGGGCTACAACAGCAGAAGAGCCCACCGGGTACCACTCATCTCCACTACAAATAGGGAAAAGAGGCTACAATTTGCAAGAGCTCACCAAAATTGGACAGTTGAAGACTGGAAAAATGTTGCCTGGTCTGATATGTCTTGATTTCTGTTGAGACATTCAGATGGTAGAGTCAGAATTTGGCGTAAACAGAATGAGAACATGGAACCATCATGCCTTGTTACCACTGTGCAGGCTGGTGGTGGTGGTGTAATGGTGTGGGGGATGTTTTCTTGGCACACTTTAGGCCCCTTAGTGCCAATTGGGCATCGTTTAAATGCCACGGCCTACCTGAGCATTGTTTCTGACCATGTCCATCTCTTTATGGCCACCATGTACCCATCCTCTGATGGCTACTTCCAGCAGGATAATGCACCATGTCACAAAGCTCAAATCATTTCAAATTGGTTTCTTGAACATGACAATGAGTTCACTGTACTAAAATGACCCCACAGTCACCAGATCTCAACCCAATAGAGCATCTTTGGGATGTGGTGGAACGGGAGCTTCGTGCCCTGGATGTGCATCCCACAAATCTCCATCAACTGCAAGATGCTATCCTATCAATATGGGCCAACATTTCTAAAGAATGCTTTCAGCACCTTGTTGAATCAATGCCACGTAGAATTAAGGCAGTTCTGAAGGCGAAAGGGGGTCAAACACAGTATTAGTATGGTGTTCCTAATAATCCTTTAGGTGAGTGTAGTATGCTTTATTTGTAAGGTGTGTACAGAATTTGATCTTTAAATATAACTGTCTTAGGACATTAAGCCGTTAAACGTTTTTCACGTTAAGAGTTTTAGAATGTATTTTATCCGCGCACACAATTTGAAAAGACTCAAACGGACACAGGCCGAGTGAAAGACTGGACTTGTTTCCCGATCAGGTATGGGTACAAGTGATTTCAAAACATTTCAGCCGGTTTTAATTAGAGTTTTGGATGTGAACATGTTTAGCTAAAAAGACTGCCGCTCCAGTTTAGCGTTTATTGTTGTTTCTGCAGTTAAAAAGACAAAGTTGACAATTTTGGCTATACTTTCGTCATTTTAATTTTATTTATTGATCACTCAGGGTTATTATCTAATTTAACTATTTGTGGCTTGTGTTTTGAATATATGTTCCCCTGCACTTTAGGCATTTTGCACACATTTGTTCTGTATCTTGTGACTTGATTCTGACTTATTTCGTTCTGTATTTTTATTTATTAGAAAGGTATATTCTGTTTGAATTTAATTCTGTAAATTAATTGTTTATTTTTTCGGTGCATCAATGTTGCGCTGTACTTAGAGCCTGCTCGCACAGGCAATTTAGCCGATTTAATTGATTTGCATGTGAAATGCAAATCCTGTCTGCAGTGTGGCCTTTCTGCAGTTATTTATGTTATTTCCTAGTTTTATTGATCCGAAATGTTTTTATACATTTTCTTCTATATCTTTGTGTGATGTTCTGTACATCGCGGCTTTAAAATGTTAAAGACCTGCCCCCTCCCCCCCACACACATGATTCGACTATTACTCGACTGACGATTCTGATTCGACTATGAAAATACTTTTCATAAAAGTCGAGGACTTTATATATTTATATAATACGATTCCACCAAATCAGCTTAAATTTGTAAAATGGCACATCTTTTTAAATATCTGGACGTACACTCTTAACATCAGTCAATCAAGCATTATGATATATTATGATAATCAAGCACTATTTAATGATCGAACTTTAGTAATTAGAACTAAAACTTGGTAACCATGTATGAATTCATATTTGTAGGTATATTGTTGGTCATTCAGTGTTTCTGTAAAAAGATAGATAATAGTAATTGATTAGTAATTATTATTAAAAGATAATACTACTACTGATTCTACTAATAATAATAACAATATACATACAGTGCACTAAGGATTGATGAGCTGCTGAATATGAATATTAATCACGTTGTCAACGTTCGCTCAAACTGATTTGCTGAAATCAAAACAGGGATGAGTGCCAGCCAATGAGATTGCCTTTTGCGCATTAGTTTCCGCCCACTACCGGAGAAACCGGCATATCTTCTGCTTGTTCTTAAAAGCTGAATAATTCCAAATGAACTCTGTTATTTTGACAGGAAAATACAACAAAGAATATCGTTTACCTTTAGCACGTCGATTCTGCGTGGAATGTAAGGCTCTCTCTCTCTTTGTGTGTGTGAGAAACACAGCGCTCTCAGCAAAGCGACGGCGAGTTGTGTGCCTTCACACTACAGTTTACGGTACGTCAAATACAGGTACGCTGAGCACAGATCGCTTGACAGAGAGCGAAACTCTCAAGCGCTGATCACTCAGTCAGTGTTCAGCGAGTGAAAATATATCTACGCTAAACTTATACTTACCCCTAACACACTGGCGAGTAAAATCTGAGAATTTATTAGCCAATGGTTAATGATAGACATTATTTAGTCGCCCAGAGTGAAGATGTAGTCGCATATGCAAGTGATTTACTCGTAATGTAGAGGGTTGACATTTGAATTTTGTACAATTATTTTTTTTGTGCTGAGGTCAATGAAAATCCATTACAAGTACATAAATTAGCTACCAGCCCAATTGGGACTTCAGAAACAAATCCTTACTGTTGAGCCCTGATAATAATGAATGGTTACATGATCACACAAATGTAAATGTATTTGAAACTGACAGTGCCCTGTGGTTCTCGGCGCAGTGCAGGATGAGCCAGCAACGGCTGAACTGCAGAGATAGGGCTGAGAGTCTCTTGACGACACGCTCAGATGCTTCTCCAATCTTCTTCTCCAACTCACTCAGCTCCTGAACACACACACACAGGATTTACATGTTCAGTCCAGGGTCACATTGTGAATGGTGGGTCTGGTGAGCAAGTGTGCATCGAGCGTCACCTGGATGAGGATGGCAGTGGTCTCATCCACAGTGATGACATCATAATGGGTTCCGCCCAGCTGCAGTGCAGATGGAGAGTGTTTCCTCTCCAGCAGAACAATATTGTATCTGCCAACAACAGTCTCTGTACATCAGTATACACTCTTTATAAAGGTTCTTATAAAGGTTCAACATTGGCATCTATGGATCCATGAAAAAAAGGTAAGTTAACCGTCGATCTAAACTGCTGCTGCGTTACGCACACACACACAGAAGCGTGCACAAATGTATTGTAAACTCTGTTCTGTGATTTAAATAAAATAGCTTAGAAAATGAAAAAGTCTAGCATACATTTCTTAGTAACTAAAAACCACAGCTTCACTATTAGTAGAGACATGCTGCCAGGTGCAATTCACACACAATCGCTCTCTCACACACTAATGCATTCATATAAATGTAATCTTTACTGTGCTACTTTATCTATATCTGACTTCGAATGAGCAGAAATATGTGAGAAATACAACTACCCAAGACAGAAGAACTGATAAAAATAAGCTGTTATGTAGGAGTGCTATCATATGCCATATCTGTGCACAAGGCAACCCGCGTTCGACTCGTCTCAGCTCGAGGTTCAGGCTTATTTTTTCATCAATGACGTCATCAGCGACTAGTCGACGTCGACTCTCATCTCATCACATAAATGTCGACTTTAAAAAATCTGAAGTCGTTCAACCCCTTATATACACACACACTACTTTGAGTAACTCACGTTGTCTGCAGTGTGCGCTGCATCTTTAAGCGGTTCAGTAAACCATCAGTGATGAGCAACACAAACGGAATAGTGTCCAGATATGATTTAGCAGTTGATTCTTCTGGGATATCTGCTGCAGATGAAACTGTAAGGATCATAACAATAAAGAAGCTTATTATTGATTGATTGATTGATTTTATTTGACCCTTTTGTTTAAAATACGATACATCTTTGCACCATATATAAAAAACAAAACAAAAACAAAGTCAGGATAACACAATGTGGAAAATGCAAGTGGCAACAAATCAAGCATCAATCATCACATCCATATATATATTAACTATAACCATCAAGACAAAACCATAAAATATTATCATACTAAGTTTGACATCTGAGCCATTTTTTCAGTGCCAGCTTAAAACCTACTAAACTTCTAGTTACCTAAATTACTCTTAAATCTAGGAGGTACAAAATCCGTAGAGCTGCCCCTGGTGGAGTAACAGTGAACATCTCTCACTCTATTAAAATAATGATTCAAATATTTGGGGACATTCCCATGCACAGTCCTATGTACCATGCACAGGTGAATCTGCGAGACTCTGTCTTTTACATTTAACCACCCTATAGTCTCAAAATGAGAAATATCAAGGTGAGATCTCACGGGGAGGTTCAAAATAAGCATTATAACCCTATTTTTAGCAGTCTGAAGCCTATGTTTCAGGTGCTTTAAAACTCCATTGTACCAAGAGCAACACGCGTAATCAAAATAAGGCTGAATTAGAGCACTTGCCAGATTATAGAATCAATCATCCATAATTTTCATATTTTATCAGCCAAAATGTGTACATGTAATTGTATTTTAATGTTTAACATAGTGTTTGAATATAGGAAAGATATCTCTTCCAAGCTAATTCAACAAGCAACAGGACATCTGACCAAACACTTGGATTTTTTTATACTAACACTGAGATCTCAATGATAAAGAATCCCGCTCCACATAATTGTAGATTAAACATCAAATATGTTCTTATTGGCTGTGATTACTGACGTTACAGCATCATGTGAGCATGAAGGATTGTTAGACTGACTGGTTTCAGGCACTGCAGTGGAGAAGGAGATAAAGTTGACGTTTCTCTCTGAACACACACTGCCGAAGGGCGAGTGGCCCACACAGGAAAGCTCAAACACCATGCTGAAACTCTGCCATGGGAAATCAGGACCAATGTGCTGACTGCACACGACGACACACCTACTGTAGGACAGTCTGAGGAGAAAGGAGATGGACATAACACATTAAATCAGGCCTTATATCCACACCTCATGTATTTACACCTTAGAGATAAGGACAAAAAGAGACCTGTCCATCACTTCTCTGCTCACGACTTTAAGCTTTCCTTCATCCGGGACGATTTCAGACACAGCGTTTTCTAAACACACACACACACACATACATAGAATCAGGCAGGACAATCACTGCATAGTAACAATCTTATTCTTGAGAAAATAACTCACCTGATACCTGGTTGAGAGCTGCGAGCAGCTTTTTATTTACACTGTTCACTGTCAACACTAGAACCTGATCACATGCAACAACAGTCATTAAACATTCACGTTCTGTAAAATGTGCTTTGTTTGAAAAGTATGCTTGGTCAAGTTAAGTCAATGTTATGTGTATAGCGCTTTTCACAATACATATTGTTTTAAAGCAGCTTTACAGTAAATCATGATGTTAATTTTCTATATCTTAATATCTTAATTCCTTAGTCGAATTTAGTAGATAATAAATAATATAGTTAACATTTTAGTATATATCACTTTACTTGAATGTACTGTATGTATGCAGATAAGGTTAGATACACATATACAGTTATTGTTTGTTTCGAGCTTACTTCAGAGCTGAAGCACAAGTCTTAACTCCAAATAACTCTGTATTAAATCTCACTCTAGTGTTGTGGTTGGCGTGGGAGTTCATCCAGGTGTTGATTTGTTCCTGGAGCTCCAGTAGTTTAGGGTTGGACTCCTGGCTCTTCTGACTCAGATACTGCAACACCTCAAACTTCTTCAACAGCTCATCCAAACAGCTCCGAGTACAGGAGTCCTTCGCCTGAGCCAGGTACTCTATTCAAAGACAGATTTTACAGGCGTGTGAGTAAAGCTATACAAAAGCTACGCTGTAACGATCAAATCACAAATGAGATCTCAGTTGGTTGTGCCACACTGATGCTGCTTCTTAGAAAAAGGAAAAACAAAGGAATCTCACATGCATCTCCTCTATAGAGCAGGGTTTCCCAAATGGGGGTTCATGAGGGAATAATTAAATCATATATAAAAATGTGTATTCAATTAATCGAAATGAAACTGAAATCACAGTAATATCAGACCATAGCTATGAGATATGAGTGTTTTTTTTCTTCTGATATTTACCAGTGGCTGCGTTGAGGTCACATCTGAACAGGACGTGTTCCTTAAGCATTACCAGAATATGTAGCAGTGCCATCTCATTAAACACACTGTCAGCATCTGCCACATAAATAATACAAAACCATCTTATTTAAAAACGATCATGCGGTGAGATATGGATGCTGCCGTGTAGTTGATCCACTACAGACTCCTGTGCATTCTTATAATGTGTGAGAAAGTGTCTCTTCTGACCCTGTTCTGTCCGAAGCATTCGGTCTTGCTGCTTTAGGAGGAATCGTGTGAGTTCGGAAGACAGAGTGCCAAAGTCTCTGTTGTTCAAAGCGGAGATGCCCAACTTCTGCATTTTTCCCAGAGAGGGCAGAGCCAACGCATGCAGTTCCCTATATGCATCTCGCTGACTCTCTACAGGAATAAACAGAGAAATACAGTGAATCATTTCAACTAAACAAATAAATGATTAAGAATATACAAAAAAACATGTATTTTGTGCTTACAACTATTTTTTATATCTAATGCTATTCAAATATTTCAGATCTGCTGATACCTGTGGCTTGGACGTATACAATCTTGCTGATGGTCTCTTGTATCTCTTCACAGGGAAAGGTTTTCTCAGTGGCAATGACAATCCTTCCTGTATCTGAGGCGTGATTCACTGCATTTATTCTGTTATCTAGCAAAGCTTTTCCAGTAGGATCCTGACATCTGGTTACCTCTGAAAAATGTTAGACTTTATCACTTTTAGTCAATTCATGGCTTTGTTTTGTCAGTTTGCAATAATGGTGATCTCAATCTTTGTCATCTCTTTTTTTTAATGTACTTGTGTCAGTTTATTCAATATAACTTTCAGAATGCAAACCTTCCTACCCAGTCAAAACAAATGTTTTTATTAAGACTAGGCAGCAAAAATTACTAAAGAAATCTTTCTTGTGGAGTGACAACAATGAATTTATTAACACGTGCATGTCAACGTCAACATGACCTATTCTGTAACAACCAGGATAGATACTAGGCAAAATAAGATACTTGTGTTCCGTTTGTATAACTAACACTAAAAGATGTCAGGGAAGACCTCCAAACATTTTGCAGTTCCTAGACATGCGTTATAAAATTTTTTTTTTTTTTTTTATATATGATTGAATCCCTTTAGTTCACCCAAAAACTTTAATTTTGAAAGGGGTCTTATTTTTTTTTTTTGCAAACAAAACACTTGTTATTAACACAATTAATAACAGATGTTTCATTTTTGGGTGAACTAACGTCGTTCAACACCCGTGAGACATTTTCGGAACACAAATGAAGATATTTTTTATGAAATTTGAGAGCTTTGTGTCCCTCCAGCGGGAGCTACGCAACTACCACATTCAAGGTCCAGAACGGTAGGAAAGACATCATTAAAGTCATCCATGTGTCATCCTGCGGTTTAAGCTAAATTTTGTGAAGCGACACTAGGGTTTTGTTTGCGAAAAAAAATAAAAATTACCGCTTTCAAAATTTTCATTTTTCGGTGAACTAACTCTTTAAAATCACCATGAAATAGAAATAGACTATTCTTATTTTTTTTTATAGAATATCATAAATTAGTTATACGTGCACATCATTATTTTGTTAAAATTCATGTGCACTCCAGCAACCTGTCACTCACATGAGATCGCAGGAATTAGAAAACAGTAACGATCCAATCAAGTCCCACCCAACTTTTTTTCTCATATCAAGAACTCTGATATACGTCCCAATAGGGAAGAAAAGTCACAATTTATGTGTCATGCTTACTTTAAACACTATTAATGAAAGTCCTGGATTTACTCTACCTGCAGATGTTGGACTGCTCCGCTGAAGTTTTTCCATCGTTCTTACCGCCACAAAAGACAATAAAGGGTCCAAATCTTCGTAAGACTGAACTACAGAATTGTTTCCCTTTCTGCCTCTCAAACAGTTTGATAACAGAGATGATTTAGAGGTTATGTTTTCTCTTCTCTGATCTGACTTCTCAGGAAGTTTGTGTATAGCGGATATCACTTCAATATCTTTAACACAGTGCTTCAATGGAGACGACTTAGACATCTCGACCACTTTAGAAAAGCGGTGTTGCTTTTCTGAAAGACATGTGGAGGAATTTGTCTGACTCCCAAACCATTTTTCTGGTGGACTAGAGATGCGTTTCTCTATCTCTGCAGCTTTACAGTCTATTCCTCCAGCTGTTGTCACTGTAGAACTGTCTCCTTGGTGAGACATGCCCTCCATTATAAAGAACTTCACAGTCGTCCCTCTCTCCACCTGTGTAGGTACGGCTGACTGCAGAGGCTTACTCTGGGAAGGGTGAACTGCAGTGGGATGGCTTGAAGGTGGCAGCGCTGAGAAACCAGAGTAAAACATTTCATTTGAGTTCAATCAACAGCATTTGTGGCATAATGTTGATTACCAACTTAAATTATTGTATTATTTGAGCTGTGACGTTCTTGTCATTTACACAGTCGAGTTAGGGTTTATGGTGTTGTGAAAACAAAGTTGTAAAATTTAAACTTTACATAGAAAGGGTTAGGAATTGTATCACTGAAGTCCTATTAACATGCATATTGTTTGTTTCTTGTTGCTATACTACTAAAACTATTAGTATTTTACTTTATTGGCCCCTTTCGCTTCCAATGTAAATGCCTTACTGTATCCCAGATTTGCTGTTTTTAAAGGAAAAGGAGGGTGGAGTTCATTTAAGGCTAATATTGAACACAATAGATTTTCCATTTTCCAATTTGGTCTGTTCACGCCTCAAATATGCATAATTGCAATGTTTGCAAATGATCATGACTGAAAATATATATATAGCTCATGATTAAAACGATGAGAGAAATTTAAAAAGCTCACCAGCATCTGAAGGGCATTCACCCAGCAACTCTGTAAAAACACAACATTAACATACAGAACTTTGAGTAATATATTTATAATAATACCATTATATAAAAAAGACTCGAGTACTATTGCATTGTCATTTAAAATAGATCTTTTACGTATAGGCATACTTCAATCACTATAAGATCTTACCATCTATTTTCCTAATGGACAGTGGTGAGAATATTTCATCTATGTGCGACTCTCTCACAGCTGTCTTGCATTCTTCTGTGGACATTTTCTCAGTATAGATGAAGAGATTTGTGAAGTTTTCAGGCACCGTCACTGTACTGTCTGTGAGATGAAACTGGCCCATTTTGTCTTTAGGTTCTGGGACCGGTTCCATCTCCACCTTCAGTGGTGTGAGAAGCTCTGGAAGTGACTGAATGTGGACCAAGGGCTTATTTACCTGTGGTTCTGTACACACAACACAATGGAGTTCAAGGACTATACACACTTTATGGATATAAACCAGTGCAAGTTTCTCACATTACTATCTACATATCCACATTACCAGCAAGTAAAGACTGAGACACACATTGGAGATTTTTCTCTGCCATCCAAACTGCTTTTTCCATATTTTCACAATGACTGTCTGACATGAAATGCCTGGGAAAAAGTATAGTACATATTATTTCCTGCGTCATATGAATTATTATGAGTAGTGTTTTCATTGATCTTAGGTCAAAACAGACCATATTTACTTTATTAATTCCCATGCATGGTCAAATTATTGTGAACAATTCAACGTTGCACATTGTTCCTTCACAATATCCCGTTTTACTTGAAAATGTCACATTATGGAAGCAAAATTGATTGTAAATGCCGTTTCATGTTGGCTTGAAAAATGAAAACAAACTTTTTGTAGATTACATGGAACCTCTACATGTTGCAGTAAAAACATATTTACTGCAACAAACATTCACAGCCTTCTCTCCTTGTTATAACAAATGCACCAAACTCACTGCTTATAAACTGGTGACAGTATTTCAGCTGACAGCTTTCTGCTGGACATAAACAGGTCTGGTAGACACAGCGTATGATTACAAGGTGAAAGAGGCAGGTCTAATTCCATCTCAGCAGAAGACCTTGAAGCAACTGGAATGAAAGGTTTTGAAGTCACTGGAGATTAGAAGAGCAATCTACAGAAGGAAACACTCTTTGATTGTGATTAAAAATGAACAGTCAATACACACCACCTGGAGACTTTGGCTCCTTAAAGGTCATGTTAGCAAAGCTGCTTTCAGCCATTTGCAGGACCTCCAACTCAGTCGTGTGTTTATAAGCAGAGGTGGCTATTAAAAAAAAAAAAAAAAAAAAAAGATTATTGACATTTTATGAAATACAATGCCCCCAAAAAGTCACACTTATAAGTGTAAATGTCTGCTTGTAATTGCATTAGATAACAAAATATAAAAGCAAGTGGCATTTAGACTTTTCTGAGAAATGTTTACAACGACTTTCAATCAACTGGTGTTTGAATAGTGCACTTGTTGTTTTATTTAAAACCTAACAAATGTCTTTTTGTCAAATGTTTTGCTTGGAAGTTGTACTTGTGCTTCATATTTTGTTATCTAATGCTATGATAATCAGATGATTTTAAGCGTGACTCGTTTCCAACTACTCTTCGGGGCCATTGTATATTTTTTGCAATGTATAGGTCAAGTTTTACCTTCTTTAAGAAGATCTTTTAAGGGTAAACATTCTTCTATTTGTTCTCGGGTGACATTTAGAAAATCTTGCATTTTTGCGATGGAAAAAATGGGCTCTTGTCTTCGGAAGGAATCCATACAAACTTCAACAGGCAACATTAGTGACTGTGGAGAAATCATAGGCTGGTATAGTTGAAATACTAAAACTTCTTCCTAAGCTGCAAAAAGCACAAACAATAAAGACCAATAAAGAGTTTTTTCATTAACATGATTCAGTTTTGTAGTTTACTTCTTCGTTCAGTACTGCCTCTTTTTTGAACTCCTCTGTAACATTTCCTCCAGTAAACGTGGCGCCCGTTACTTCATCTAAAACTGCATCGTATGAGGCACAGTGTCTAGGAGAAGGAAATATAATTTCAGTGCATACATATGCATAATAGATTTTGTAAGTAACAATCCTCTCTTCCCAGACTTTTCTTTGGGGCTGTTTTTAAAGTTCTTTATAGGAGAAAGAAATATATTGTATGTTGTACCTAAAAACAACCCCTTCTAAAAGATGTACTGATGAATTGAGAACAGGATCCGAGACAGCCATGATCTTCAGCCTCTGAAGCATTGTTTGAAATGGAGGCATGTGGCTTTTGAACCGCTGCAGATGATCACCGAATATCACCTCCTCTGGCAGAGTGAGATCTGAGATTTCGGAAACAAGTTAAGGAAGGATTATCATCCTTCCATTGTAGGACTTCTAAGGACCAAGAACATATAAAGATCCTTTTGAAATCCCTTTGAAAGCAAGCCATGTGATGTGCTGGGAATTTTTAGCACACATCTACCCCTTTTTTAGGCACATCAAAGCCAAAAATAGATGAGTGCTATAAAAGTGGTGCAGTATACAGAAGTGACACAAAAATATAAACAAAATATTACTAAATCCTCCAAATCCTACCATCACTGGTAAAGCAACATGCATCTGGCGTACATGGACTGAAAGTCTCTTCCCAAGGTGATCTGATGGCACCGCTCTCAACTCCATCTAAAAGCCAGAGGACTTCTGAGGTCCCAATACTGCACTGAGAGGCAGGATTAGAGCTGGGAACCACTTCCTCTAGTCCTCTTCCTGTCTGCAACACATTGAGCCTAAACACAACACAGCTCAATTTGAAGAACCTGTATTTAAACACAGCTGAGAGAAATTCAGGGGACGTTTACACAACAGCGTTTTCAACTAAAAACGGAAAACTTTTTTGCATTTTGGTCGTGCATTTACAAGACGATGGCGTCTTGGGGGCCTGAAAATGCACGTTTTTGAAAACTATACCGTTATCGTCCCCATGTAAACAACAAAAACGTGAAAACGATGACGCATGCATATCACGTTCAGGGTATAGGCAGGTAGTGTTTCTTTACAAAGTGACATTGCCAACACCTTGCCTGACCTGCATAATGGAGCGTTTTAGTCATTATTGCGGATCCATGTGAACGGGGATCGTTTTGACAACGTTGTCGTCTCTACGCAAAAAAAAAAAAAACTTTTCTGTCTTAGTAGATCGTTGTCGTGTAAACGTACCCTTACTCTCAGCTGGGTGTGGACACAATCTGCAGACACAAATATGAAAGCATAGATCATATCAAAGGGCATTATAGAAACAGTTCAAACCTTTCCAAACAGTCACTGAAACGTATGCTGGCCTTCAAGTAATCCATTACAGATCCAGTCACTTGTAGCGTACCCATGGATATTTTGTTCGCTGTCATAAATGACATAAGTCAGTGTTGATATGGTATCATTGAATACAAAAGGTATCTGGGGGTGAGATAGCAAGTTAGCAACACAGATGAATGTAATGAAAGTAAATTTCCTATTCAAAAAAAATCTTCTCCCTTGTAATAAATCACTAAAACAGCAATACATCTCCATTCTCCATTGCATTACACAGAAAAAAGAAAACATCTTGAGCGAGTATTTTATGCCATAATTCTCATTTTAGGGCAGAGGTCTTCAACCCTGCTCCTGGGGATCCGCTGTCCAGCAAAGTTTATTTCCTAACGGGTTCAGCACACCTGCCTGTGATTTTCAAGCGACCCTGAAGAACTTAGCCGGTTACGTTGTGTTTGATAAGGGTTGGAGCAAGTTCAGTGCTCTGCAGGTCAGTGGGTCCCCAGGAGCAGGCTTGAAAACTTCTGTTTTAGGGTAAACAAAATGCGTAATCTGAAAAATGCTGCCTTTGGAGGATGCATGCCAAAGTAGGATGGCATCAAGGTACATCCGAATCCAAAGTTAGCTTCACCAACCGCAACTTTCTTTATTTTTTAGCTTAACTGTCACCGAATGGAAAGCACAGGACTGTGGGATATCAAACGCAGCGAAAGGATACATCTATGCTGCATTCAAAAATCCTTCAGATGAAGGTATCTCAGGAGACAAGAAGTGAAGCTAACATTGGATACGGACGTCCCTTAATGCCTTTCTACCTTCCGAGGGCAGCATTTCCACAGCCAAACTTGCCACACTTACTCCATGGCACTCGGTAAGCGATGTCTGACAGGTGTCCATTGTGAGGGTAGATGTTACTGACTAGCTGGAACGGAACTGGAAGTTCCAACATGTTCATCATCAGTCTGCGTTTGAATGAGGCCTACAACAGATGACACCTCAATATTTAAAAGTTTATGAGCTTGTTAAAGTATTTCATAATTTATTGTACCCTTATTCTGATTTTATATTATTACCCCCTCCAGAAACTTTTGAATAATTTATTTAATTTCATCATCTTATATAATATAATTCCCTTTTCTGTTTTATTTTTGATAAATTGCTCATGTTACTTAGGTCATGTAAAAATAAAATACATCTCAATATAGGTTAACTATAGTAAGTTACATGAATGGAAATCAGTGTAGGAACTCACCTCAGAGATGTAATCAATACCTTTATACCTGACAGTCATGAAACTTGCACTTTGTTGGGTTTGACCACAGGAATTAGACATGGTGTTGTTATTCATATTGAAACAACACCAACAACGGATCTTTTAAAAAAAGACCTAACGTTAATACATAATATATCGATCGTCTCCTCTGTTGTGGATTAATCTGAATCTTTATGCGATTTGGAGTCCGTCCAGTGTCAAAGAAAAGTGCCAATTCTTTCCTCAGTTGCACGGAATTATGGAAAATGAAAACTGCTACGAAATCTCATGTCAAACGATATAACGTTATAGCTACTGGGAAATGTCGGCTCTTTTGAAATGACAAACGATGACGAAAAGATGGATTACATTAATTTATACAAGAATAAAGAGTTAAACGGTCACCTGTGCAATTAAAACTGATCGTGACTAAATCTAAACTCTGAGGTGAGATATTTCTGTCGCGGCGCGCCTTCACTGTTCACTCGGTCTCGGTGATTGACAGGATGAGGAGCTACAAACCACGCCCACCGGGCCTTCTCTCATGATAAATCAAATAAATAAAATTCTCATATGCTATTACCTGTCTATGGCTATTACACACAGACACACACACATTTATATATGTGTGTTTGGGGGAAACAGTGGTAGTGCACTGCCATCTAAAGGACATTTTTACGTTTTTACAAAATTTACGTTTTTAAAAGATTTATGGGGTTTTTTTATCTTCGTGATCCATCCTTTTCAACACTGAAAATCAATGCTGTCTTCTATGTGCACTCTGGACAATATTTAAGTTAAATATAGACATTGGGAAACATTGATGCTTGGACCTTTTTTTAATTTTTCTCTATTTTTCCTTATGCGTTTCAGCTGGTTTTCATTATAATAAAATACCCTACTACTGTAAATTTAGTAACTTCATCTACTATAACTGCAAAGTGAATACTATGTCAGGATGTTTCTGATCGCATGAAAAGATGACTCAATATAACTCATCAGTATCGCAAACAGTTCAGCTTTATTTCAGAACAAAATAATCATGTTTATAAAACTGGAGAAAAAAATCTGGGACTGGACTTTTTACAGTACCTGTAAAATAAAAATAAAAAAATAAAATCAGAAAATAATTTGACAGTGCTTAAAGGAAATACAAGGCACAAAATTTGATCCTGTCAATGCGATCTCACCAGCTGTACCAGTATCCTATGACAATGACTGAGCCAACGGCACTTATGGATCCAACAGTTACAAGAGCAGACATCTTCATGATGTAGGATGTTCCTAATGTGAGAAAAGAAACGGTTTACACTGAACCACGTCGGGTTATTTTTTACATAGAGTTTGCAGGTGGCACAACGCAGTGTTTAGAGAGATTTATGATCCTTACCTCTGGCCTTAGCCCAGATTACACAAGACTGTGTTCTAGACTAAATAAAGAAAACACACAGAGAGAAGTTAAAGAAAATTAAAAGAATGCATTTTAATGCATTAATTTTACAGGTTGTCTTAAGATGTCTTCCCACCTTTCCCCACTGACACACAGTGCGGAGGATAATATAATAGTCTTTTCCGTTTTCCAGAGGTGCGTTGAAGAAGTCTCCATAGAGCTGCTGATCCCCGACAGTGAAGTTCAGTTCTGCACTCAGACCGCTGAGCTGGATCTGGGCCGTGACGTACCCTCGGTCACATCTCTGCTGCGAGAAGAACCGCGGACTTACAGACGAGCTGCAGTCAAACAGCATCACGCCCTCGACTGGGAACACGAACACCTGGTACATACTGAAGACATGAGACACAAACAGACATTCACAGCAACTGAATATTGAATTATCTAGTCAGTGGGATCAAATTGCAAGGTTTTTTTCTAAACCTGTAAATAAGCAGTTTTAGGATTTCATAAGCATTTTTGGTAACATATTTGTTAACATTAGTTAACTTTATTGGTTAACATTAACTAACGAAAAACATATTTCTAAAGCATTTATTAATCTTAGTTAATGTTAATTTGAACATTTAATAATACATTATTAAAATCAAAATGTGTATCTGTTAATATTATTTGATGGAACTAAACTTCAGTAGCATGTACTAACATTGAGTTCTATTTTTATGACACATCAAAAACATTCCTTTTTTTAGTTCACATTTTCAAAATTGCTTATGCTGATAATGTCATTTTTAATTAAAACTTTTGTTTTAAATAAGAAAAGAATGCACATTAGAAGCCTTTTTAAGTCTGGTCTTAGATGTTTGAATCCACTGCATATGCCCATATGGCATTAACTTTTTATTAGACATTATTTGGCATTAACAGTAACACTTTACAATAAGGTCTCATTCGTTAACATTAGATAATGTATTAACTAACCATGAGCAACACATTTGTTACTGTATTTATTCATCTTTGATAATATCAGTTAATAAAAATCCAGCTCATGTTCATGTTAGTTCATAGTGCAAGAAGCGTCCTTACCATATTGAGTCAAGTGTGTTGGTCGATCTCCGTAATCTGAGAGTGGGCGATGAAGCCTCTACTTCACTGTATGTGATTACTGGTGTGGGGGGGACTAGTAACAGAACACAAGTACAGTGTCCAAATCAATAAACAAGGACAATGAGAATTAATTTGTATTGTTTTGGATGTCAATAATCGCCACACAATGGCACTCATAAATCTAACTGTTTTAATGCAAGTGTTTGTGTCTGAAAGTCAACATGAAATCAAAATTGTACTTTCTTAAAGGGATACTTCACCCAAAAATGAAATTTCTGTTCTCACCCTCAAGTCGTTCCAAACCTGTATGAGTTTCTTTCTTCTGTTGAACACAAAATAAGTTATTTTGCAGAATGTTGGTAACCAGACAGTTGACGGTAGCCATTGACTAACATTTTTTTTCCTACTATGGAAGTCAATGGCTACCGTCAACTGTCTGGTTACCAACATTCTTCAAAATAACTTCTTTTGTGTTCAACAGAAGAAAGAAATTCCTACAGGTTTCATTCCTGGGCGAAGTATCCCTTTTATACATGTTCCTGGTCTTATTGTCAACAATTCAGTGTACCCCAAAACATTGGAATAAAAATGAGTTGGTTCGACTTAATTAAGCTTATAGAGTTTGTACTAAACAAATTGGGTAAGTCTGTCTATAAAAGTCTCACGGTATTTACTCAGTAAATATTTACACGATATTACTTAAAAAAAGATGTATTCAAATTGTTACCTTAATCTTTAAAGTTGAGCCAGTGTAGTATTTTTTAGAGTACACGTAATTTAAAAACATATCACTTACAAAACGAAATGTTGTTTGTGGATTATGGATGTTTGCATGAAAGAAGCTTTTGTTTTGTTTGGTACCTGGTATGCTAGTGTTTGCTGTCACTGTAGACGTGGCTCGTGTGGACTCGGCTGTAATGGTTATGGTGTAGTTTGTAGCAGGCAAGAGATTTAAACAAAGAACAGGCAACAGGGCCATGGAGCTGAACATCTTTTTTCTCCTGTCATTGAACAGCCGATCAAACTCTCGCAATCCAACAAACGTCACCTGTGTTGAGATGTTACATACAACCTCATATCATGATTGAGAGACAACTTTGGGAATGCAACAGTGCAAAGATATAGCTGAAACGAACTGATGAATACTCACTGTGTATTTCTCCCTATATCCCTCGTTCTCTGCATTCCAGTGCAGACATCTTTCATTAATCACCACCAGATCATTAATTATCAGTTTTAGCTCTGGAACACAGAGAATCAGAAGCAAATTAGACCAGATTTGATGTCAACAGCCACTCTTTTGCTGAACAATGACAGTGTGTGTTTACCTTTGCAATGCAGGGTGGCTATCTGCCACTTTCCTGTGATGTCGCATATTGAAATGTCACTTCCTGTGTGTCTGTAGTGTCCTTCAACACAGCGGTGGATCACTGCAGTGTTGTTGTCCCATGCTACCTCTGCGTGCGGCACCTCTGGTGCAGGGCCACAATGTGCTGTAGAGAGAAAACACACAGAAATGGTTATGAATATCATTCCAGATATTGTTCTGAAATATGTTGATCTGAATATATTTGTGACAGAATACAAGGATGTGATTTTGTTCTCTTTTTCTCATTGTAATTTGTCCTTGTGGATTAGCCGTCATATAGGGTTATTTCTGACAGTCAGCTTAACTACAAAAAATATATATATATATTGAACATTTCCACTATTATTAAAAAACTTCATTTAAAAGGTGGTATCACACTAGAGGTAACTTTCCACAACATTCTCTATGTAAAATGTATAAGCTCTTACTTGAATAAAGCCCTGTGTGATATTGTGTTTGTTTCATTTTTTGAACTAGTTACTAAAATATATACCTTGTAATTGCTTCCCATGTGACAAATAAACCCCTGTGAAAATGCAGTATGTGTGATATTCATGGTATTTACAATAATGTTCAAAAGTTTGGGGTCAGTGAGATTTTCTTTTTTGAAATAAGTATCTTATGCTCACCAAGACTGCATGTATTTGATGAAAAATAATACAGAAAAATTGTGAAATATTATTATAATTTAAAATAACTGTTTTCTATTTGAATTATTTTTAAATATTTATTCATGTGATGCAAAGTCAAGTCAAGTCAAGTCACATTTATTTATATAGCGCTTTTTACAATACAGATTGTTTCAAAGAAATTTGTTTCCAGAAGAAAAAAAGTGTCACAGTCCAGCTTAAGTAAGTTCAGTGATGTTTAATTTTTGTTTGAAAAAGTTATTAATTTAGTTCATTTATATATAGCCGCTCTGGAGTAAACCGTGATGTCATCGTCCAGCTCAGTTCAGTTCTTGTATAATAGTGTCAATGCAGGCAGATCAATATTATTGTTGAATATTAAATTTAATGTCCCCAACAACTTAGCAAACCAAGTCATTGGCAACAAAGGTGGAAAAAGGCGACAGTGGCAAGGTATGGCAGAACGGAGAAGTTCCATCTGGTTGAAAGCTGAATTTTCAGCATCATTACACCAGTCTTCAGTGTCACATGATCCTTCAGAAATCATTATTTGCTGATTTGTTCCTTAAGAAACATTTCTTATTATTATCAAATGTTAAAAACATTTGGGCTGCATTTTGTGGAAACAGTAATTTTTTTGTGTGACGTTAAATGTCTTTACTCTCACTTTTGATCAATTTAATGTAAAAATAATCAGTGACACCAAACCTTTAAGCATAGTGTATGTCATTATAGAAATTCAATCGTTTACCTATACACGTTACAGACACTTTTTCCCATGTTCCATCTGATGTACATGTTGACGTGTTTTTGTCACTCTCCTGTTTGAGTCCATATTTACATTTGTACTGAACCACACTGCCCAGTACAGATGCTTTCTTCCACTTTATATCTGTTAGTGGGAATTCTGGGGGAGGTCCACAGTTTATCTCTGTTTATTGAGACCAGTGTAGAGTGTTAGAAATAAAGCAAAAATGCTGCATATTTCATCATTTCCCATTGAAACTATATGATGACCTAAAGTGTTAATGTTTTTCCTTTTGTGTTCCACAAAGAAGGTGAGTAAATGATGACAGGATGTTGTCAGTACCTTCACATCGCATGTTAACTTTGCTCCACTTTGCATTTGAGTTACACAGTGACACATTCCCTTCACCCACAGTGCGATATCCAGCTTCACACACATAGAGGGCCACAGAGCCCAGACTGGAGCTGCTATTCCACAACACAACTGAGTGAGGTAGTGAGACGGGGACCCCACAGTCTACTTCTAAACAAACACACATACAGACACTGTACATGTGCATACATATTATCAGCTTATTAAAGAGGACAGCACTGAAATATCACATAGGTCATTCTCATGAAATGGTCAACCTTAAAGGGTTAGTTCACCCAAAAATGAAAATTATGTCATTAATGACTCACCCTCATGTCGTTCCAAGCCCGTAAGACCTCCGTTCATCTTCGGGACACAGTTTAAGATATTTTAGATTTAGTCAGAGAGCTTTCTGTCCCTCCATTGAAAATGTATGTACGGTATACTGTCCTTGTCCAGAAAGGAAATAAAGACATCATCAAAGTAGTCCATGTGACATCAGTGGGTTAGTTAGAATGTTTTGAAGCATCGAAAATACATTTTGGTCCAAAAATAACAAAAACTAGGACTTTATTCAGCATTGTATTGTCTTCCGGTTCTGTTGTGGATCCGCGTTCAGTGCCGCCGCTGACGTAAGACGCTGCTGACGTGTGTCTGGTGTGTGTGTGTGTGTATTCTGGTTCTGTTGTGGATCCGCGTTCAGTGCCGCTGCTGACGTGTGTCTGGTGTGTGTGTGTGTGTATTCTGGTTCTGTTGTGGATCCGCGTTCAGTGACGCTGCTGACGTAAGACGCTGCTGACGTGTGTCTGGTGTGTGTGTGTGTGTGTATTCTGGTTCTGTTGTGGATCTGCGTTCAGTGCCGCTGCTGACGTGTCTGGTGTGTGTGTGTGTGTATTCCGGTTCTGTTGTGGATCCGCGTTCAGTGCCGCTGCTGACGTAAGACGCTGCTGACGTGTGTCTGGTGTGTGTGTGTGTGTTTTCCGGTTCTGTTGTGGATCCGCGTTCAGTGCCGCTGCTGACGTAAGACGCTGCTGACGTGTGTCTGGTGTGTGTGTGTGTGTATTCTGGTTCTGTTGTGGATCCGCGTTCAGTGACGCTGGTGGCGTAAGACGCTGCTGACGTGTGTCTGGTGTGTGTGTGTGTGTATTCTGGTTCTGTTGTGGATCCGCGTTCAGTGACGCTGGTGGCGTAAGACGCTGCTGACGTGTGTCTGGTGTGTGTGTGTGTGTGTATTCTGGTTCTGTTGTGGATCCGCGTTCAGTGACGCCGCTGACGTAAGACGCTGCTGACGTGTGTCTGGTGTGTGTGTGTGTGTGTGTGTGTATTCTGGTTCTGTTGTGGATCCGCGTTCAGTGCCGCTGCTGACGTAAGACGCTGCTGACGTGTGTCTGGTGCGCCCGAGCTTCGTTTACAGTCTGAGGGAGACGCACGCTGGAAACAAAACAATCTTCGCAAACATGTCTAAGGATTTCCACACAGAGAAAGACTTGCATTTTTTTGCCCAGCCATATTTATTTGAACCCGAATACACGGACACACCAGACACACGTCAGCAGCGTCTTACGTCAGCAGCGGCACTGAACGCGGATCCACAACAGAACCAGAATACACACACACACACCAGACACACACACACCAGACACACGTCAGCAGCGTCTTACGTCAGCAGCGTCACTGAACGCGGATCCACAACAGAACCGGAAGACAATACAATGCTGAATAAAGTCGTAGTTTTTGTTATTTTTGACCAAAATGTATTTTCGATGCTTCTAAACATTCTAACTAACCCACTGATGTCACATGGACTACTTTGATGATGTCTTTATTTCCTTTCTGGACAAGGACAGTTTACCATACATACATTTTCAATGGAGGGACAGAAAGCTCTCGGACTAAATCTAAAATATCTTAAACTGTCTTCCGAAGATGAACGGAGGTCTTACGGGCTTGGAACGACATGAGGGTGAGTCATTAATGACATCATTTTCATTTTTGGGTGAACTAACCCTTTAAAGGTGCAGTAAGAGAGTTCTGAGAAACACTGTTGATATTTGAAATCAATCCAAACAAACACACCCTTCCCTTCATTCTCATGCCCCCAAAATGCACAAACACACAGTTCAAGAGTTATTATTCAACAAATTGTAATTCACTTAATAGTTACATCTATTAAATAATCAATGACTTAATTCAGTAATTATATCATAATTACTAATATCAACAATGAAAATTGTCTTCTGTAGAGATGCTTTATAGCTCAATCAGATTTGTTTCATGAACTCTGAAACATCAACATGGTTATCGAACTGAACTGAATAAACACTATTGCCTTCTGTAGAGCTGCTTATAGCTGCTGATTTAAGCTTGTTTTCATAATTTGACAAACTCTGCACTTTTATTGAACTAAACTGAATCAACACTGACTTGAGCTGAATAATGACACTGTTGTCTTCTGTAGAGCTGCTTTATAGATGAACAGATTGTGCTTTATAACAAATTAACTTTTTAACATTCACACTGATATTGAACTAATTTGAATCAACATTGGACTAAATTGAGTTGAATGACACTATTCACACTAAAGCTGCTTTACAGCTGAAATTGTTTTTGTTTCATAATTAAAAAACGGTAATAATATTATTTTCTTTTTTATTATTGTAAAGCTGCTTTGAAACAATCTGTGAAAATGTGACTTGATTTGACTTGACAGAGACCTAAATTGCACCGTTTCTTGAGAATGACCCGTTCACAAAATAAAGGGAGAAAACGTCAAAAATAAATAAATAAATAAATAAAAGTGCAAAAATATACCTTGGCACAGAAAATCAGGCTCACTCCAGATTCCCTCTGAATCGCAAACTGACGTATCTCCTTCCCTAACATTATGAAATCCTTCAGTGCACTTATAAGACACACTAGATCCAACTTTAGTGTCTCCTCTCCATATCATAACAGAGAGGGGGGGAGAAGGCGGTATGCCACAGTTCACCTCTGAGAAACAACAAAAACTTTGAAAATGTCTTCAGTTTACACATTAAAGAATAAGTCAGTTCTTTTATTTTTTAAAACAACCTTAACTGAGTAAAAAAAAAACATGCAAACAATTACCTTCACACAACAGAGTAGGTTTTGTCCAATAACCGTTCTCAGCGCACACAGATATATTATGTCCTTGTTTAGGATAGTAACCGTGTTTGCAGTGATATGTTACAGTGCTGTTAAATGTGACTCTGCCATTCCATATCTGTACAGTGAGGGGCAAAATAGGAGGCTCCCCACACACAATCTCTGTTGAGAAGGAAATGACATGTCAATTTATGACCGAATCACTGCAGTATTAAGAGCAGAGGAATAACATTGCTTATAAACTCTTAAAAATAAAGGCTCTTTGTTGGCATTGATGGTTACATAAGGTACCTTTAACATCCATAGAATCTTTCCACTGCACACATTTTTAAAGTGATGAAAAAAATGTCTTTTCACACTTAGAAAAAAAATATTCTTTTGAGAACTGTTTTTTATTGAAGGTTCTTTGTGGTGGAAATTATTGAAGGAAACTTTTGGATCCTTTATTTTTAAGAGTGTATAAGAAAAAATCTGAATAAGTTTGAAAATGCAGAATCACACAGAAAGCACTTCATATGTCCTCAGAAGATTTGAACAATAGCGAATAGAGTGTTAAGGACTACTTCTGAGATACTTGTTTAGTGCTTTTTTTAGTGTCATTATAATTTCCATTTGACTGTACTGCAAAAAAATGATGTTCTTCCTCAGTGTTTTTGTCTTCTTTTCCAGCACAAATATCTAAACCTTCTTAAATTAAGATACATACTTGAGAAGCAAAATGACTAAAGATATTAAGTCTTGTTTGACATGTAAAAAATATGTGAGTTTATGCTTAAAACAAAGACAAAATATCTAATTCATATCTAACTAAATTAAGTTTATTTTTCTGACCCACTGCCAAATATGTTTTTCTTGTTTTATGCACAAACTCACTTCATTTTGATAAATTTTTCAGAAAACAGGACTAAATATCTGATGTTATTTTACTTCTCAAGTAAATGTATCTTGATTTAAGAATGTTTAGATATTTGTACTGGAATTCAAGACAAAAATACTGAGGATGAACATAATTTTTGCAGTGCGTCTCTTTCAATATACAGTATGGACAAGAGCAGCCAGGATATTCTGGAAAATTAAATATTTTGAGTTCTATAGGGAAAAAAGAAACTCGTGTTGACATAAATAAAATAAATGAATAAATGTGAATAAATTGTGACAATTTAATTTTTTTTGGTGAACTATGCCTTTAAAACTTTCTTTAGAAATAAAAAAAATCTCTACCTTCACAGGAATAGTCTGGGTTACTCCACTGACCGTCGGTTTTACACACGGACACATTTCCTGTATCCAAACTGTGATATCCAGTTACACAGTTATACAGAGCCACAGAACCAATCTTACTGACACCGTTCCAGAACAACACTGAGTGAGGCAGGACCGGAGGAGAACCGCATTGTATCTCTAAACACACATAAACAATCTCAACAGGTTCTTTGCTTGAGATACGCTGTCATATTTCTGTCGACATAATAAACAGAAGCAGGTACCTTCACACTGGAAGTCAGGACGGCTCCAAGTCCCATGAGCAGTACATACTGACACATTCTCACGTCCACTGTTATAAAACTGTGGGTCACACACATACAGCGCCAATGATCCCATTCGAGATATGTTATTCCAAACCATTTTTGACTGAGGCATAACATGAGGTTCTCCACAGTCCACTTCTGTGTAGAAATTGATTATATTTTGTCAGGTGACAGTAAAACATGCAATGAATTTGTATAAGCCTGTGTGTGTGATGATCCCTTCACTTTTTTGTGTTTGTGTGTTGAATATCCCATTTCACTCTGAAATACATCAAATTACGGAAGCAAAATGGATTGCAAATGCTGTCACACACCTAATGTGATAATCGTGCAGACAGTCATTTTTTGCTCAAATGTAAACATTACCTTCACAGACCAAACTTGGTCCGTGCCACTTTCCATCCAGACCACAGACGGATGAATTCTGTCCTCTCTTCCACTGAAATCCCTCCCGGCAGCCGTACTGGAGTTCACTGCTGTAGTGTGTGATAGTGGGGGAGAGCCGGTCGGCGTGGAGGACTGAAGGAGGAGACCCGCAATCTATCACTATACAAACCATACACACAGAAACAGGTCCATTACTTCAACAGAATTTAACATTAATATTAATAACATTATATGCACTGCCTGGCCGTTTGGGATTAGATAGGCAAATGTTATATGTTTGGCAACAGTTCTTCTGATCCTAATTGATGGAGTGTGTTAGCCTGGCTAACTTCAGACCACGTCTCATTGACATTGAGACGTGGTCTGGGAACCACATGTTCATTTTCTGGTATTTGAGGCGTGGTTTACGAATGCCCAGAGCCGTTTATTGGGTGCTACGAATGTCTATCAAATGCGCCTGTACGTAGCTCATAGCCAATCGTTTCAAGTATACAAGATGACGTATGTAGAGCGAAAGAAATTAGACGAGGAAGAAGACGATGGGTCAGAGATTTATTTGCGTTCTAAACTACTTAGAACAATATCCAAGGCTGCATCGAAAGGTAACTTCGCGTCTGCTGCCATGTTTGATCCATAGGTATAAACAAACTTCTTCAGTGTGTCGCATAGACGTCGTCATCGTCTTGCTGCTCCCTCCCCGTTCTGTGATTGGTCCCCTTGCTGAGGCGAAAATTTGGTCCACGGTATCCAGACTGCCTTAGCCTGGTTAAAACCAGACCATTCTCTGTTGTAACTGGCAAAGCGTCATAGACAAATCATTTCCAGAGGGGCGTCACCAACGGACGTCGCGGATAGACCTAAAACCAATCAGAGCGATGAAGGAGATGACGTATGCAGAGCGGCGGAGAAACATCTCCGAGTGTTGTTCTTTGCTCGGTTTTTAACAAAAAGGAAACGTTCAAATGGCTTAAAACAGACGCGATAGCTGATTCGAACTCTGATGTTCGACGGCGGCATCCATCTGTGTAATGTAGGCTACAAAATCTGCTTCAAAATCCCAGCGCTGTCTTCATCGTGTAAAGCCCCGCCCCAACGTTTCTGATTGGTGCCTCGATTTCGACGGATTGGAAATGGGCTTGAATGAGCTCTTTGCCATACTAACTTTCAGAGCAAATCTAAATTTGCCGGAAGTTGTCTGGGTTTTCCCAGGCTAAGACTGCCTGGCAGCGTGAATAAAATCGCGCTGCGCAAAGGCAGTATGGGGAAACCCAGGCTAGGAGTGTGTAGCTTTTCATTACTAAAACAACCATGTATGAAGACACATCATGGCCATATTCCAGGATGACAATGTCAAGATTAACCAGGCTCAAACTGTGAAAGAATGGTTATGAGGGAGCATGAAGAATCATTTTCACACATGAATCGGCTCCTCTAAATCCAGAGCTTAAATTCATTGAAAGTCTTTGGGATGTGCTGGAGGAGACTTTACAGAGTGCTGGACTCTTGCATTGACAATACAAGATCTTGAGCAAAAACTGATGCACCTCTTGATGGAAATAACATCACAACATTTATTTCCATCAAGAGGTCCATACATTTTTGGTTTCTTCTTATTATTATTATTTTAGCTTTACAAAAAGATAAATCACTTTGTTTCTTGATATTGCAAACTGTTATTTGTAATCATATAATTTAAATTTATTATCGTAATCATCAACACACTGGTTTGGAGAAGGTACTTAGCAATTGCTAGGCCATTGCTAGGTGGTTTTTAGAGGGTTCGGGGTGATTTTAAAGTATTTGTGCTATATAGCTACTATGGTGTGCTGCTAAGGACTTGCTCAGGTTATCCGGATGGTTACTAGGGCATTACTAGGTGGTTGCCAAGTAAAAAGTCTGATATTCTGGTCTCTAGATATGGCTCAGGTCTCCTCTCCGATCTATGAGATTTTTTAATCCGGTGAAAATCACAACTCTTAAATCATTTAGAAAACTAAAAGCACACCTCTCCTTAATAAGCCACTCAATTTTTGAAGAATCATTAATGTCCTAAGCAGGTACCAATATTAATATATTTGGTCACACTTTAGATTACGGCCCAATTCTCACTATTAACTACAGTTTATTTTGCCTCAATAAACTCCTAATTACTGTTTATTAATAGTTAGTAAGGTAGTTGTACCGTTTAGGTAGGAATAGGATTAAGGGATGTAGATGTTCATGCAGAATAAGTAATTAATATGTGCTTTATAAGTACTAATAAACAGACAAAATCTTAGGCCCTGTTTACACCTGGTATCAAGGTGTGTTTAGTCGATCGGATCACAAGTAGGAGGGAGACATACACTCGTTTACATCTGGTGTTTTAATCTGTCTCTTGTCCACTTTCAACCACTTCTGTTCTGATTTCTTCAATGGGAGGGTCTATGGGCAGGGAGGCCTAAATGTACGGGCTTTTTTGGACGAAATACGCTGGCGCAATTTACGTATGAATGCGCCTGGAGACGACGGAAAAACACACGGAGAGCACCTTTCGTTTCTGCTCTGACAGCCGCAAGACCAGACGAACACTGTGAGTGTGTTCGAAATCAGGGTGAGAGAACATTGTGCTTGGTCATTTTTTGTCGTCAGTAGGCGGAGAGTAGACGGTCTTTTGAGGCCGTTTGAACACATTCGACCACATAAGCGTTTACACTACGAAAGCAATCCGGTCGAATGCGTTTTCGACTACCTCTGTAAGTGGTTAAGTGGTAAAGCTCGAAATATTTTAGGCCCTGTTTACACCTATATTTGTGATCCGATCGACCAAAACGCATCTTAATACAAGGTGTAAACAGGGCCTTAGTAATGATATGCATGCTAAACTAATAAGCATTAATAGTAAGAATCGAACCTTAAAGTGTTTCCATATCTTTTCATTAATTCATTAATTCATTGCAGCTGTAATATGAAAAAAACAGTACAGGAGATTTCAGGTTCAGGTGATATTTCTAGACTAGAGGACCACATGAGTGATTTGTTAATGTAAACGACATTGGCCCAATTCTTACCCTTGCAGTAAGCTGCGTCTCGGTTTGGATTAAAGGGTTCTGGTCCATCCTGGACTGTGTAACCGATCTGACAGGAGCAGGTGAAATCTCCCTCTGTGTTTTGGCAGAGACCTCCTTCACCACAGACCCCCTGCACGCTGCACTCGTCCAGATCTACAGACAAAACAACATCATGGAGCGAGAGGAGAAATGTGCTGCCTGAAATAACCAGAAGAGAGTCTATTATGACAGCATTTTAGTGCCACTGTAAAGTCTGTTTAGTTTTATTTTGTTTTGGTTCTGGTTTCCCTGTTCTGGTTTGCCTTATTAGTTTCCATAGTTCCTAATTTTGCCCTGTAGATTCCTGAGAATTTGTGATTAAAGATTGTTCTTTGAATTCTCTATCGTCGTGCGCTTATTTGGAGCCAATCAGCTCTGACAGCCATATGAAAAAATAAATAAAGGAATACATATAAGAATATGAAATTAAAAGGTGCAGCAATCAAAGAAACATAACTCTTTTTTTAAAAACGAGTTGGTTTTTTTACAGCCATTTTTTTTACCTGACACTAAAACGAGTACATTGAAATCTATAACAAGGGCTTCCAAATGAGTAAAATCTTTATAAAGCAAACCTATAAGATGCCCATACAGATGTTTTTTTTTATTTTTATTTTTTATGATGAATCACTTTCTTAGCCTGTTAAAGGGTTATTTCACCCAAAAATTAAAATTACCCCATGATTTACTCACCCTCAAGCCATCCTAGGAGTATATTAAATTCTTCTTTCAGACGAATACAATCGCAGCTATATTAAAGAATGTCCTGGTTTATAATGGCAGTGAATGGCTTCACACGGCTCTGGGAGGTTAATAAAGGCCTTCTGACGTGAAGCGATGTGTTCGTGTTAAAGTTTTAAATATGGATATTTTCTTAAACATCGCTTCACTTTAGAAGGCCTTTATTAACCTCCCATACATCTTTTTATTTCAGTATTTACAGTGAACCTAAACTTCTATAACATTTTACCCTTTCATTTTTTAAAGCTTTCACTTCTGCAAAACTCTGCTGAGTGTCTTCTTTAAAAAGAGACTATAGGTTTGTATTCCAAAGCAATTATGAATTACAGCCATTTAAGTTCAGATCTATGATCAGAAAGGGTGGTGACAGTTAACAGGTTAATGTGGTTTGTTTTCTGATATGCACCGCCTTTTAAGCTGCATTAAATGTTTGAAATGTGTTATACAAATAATTATTTAATATGATTACTATAAAATAATCTGTTTATCAAGATGGCGCATTTCCCTCCATGTAAATGGCCGTTATTAGTTAAAAAAAATTACTGTTTCTTTGTGCTGTGCTTTTAATTTCTCTGTTAAAAAAAATAAAAGTTTTTTAGTTTGTTATTTTTATTGTTGTTAGCCGGGATAAGTGTGTCCTTTAATGTATTTTGACACATGTCACATGAAGCAACTCCTGTTTGACATTTTTGAGCCACTGTTGTGCAATAAATTTCTCAGAACTTGTATAGCAAATTATCCCATTCAGGATATATCACTTGCCACACCATGTTCACACCCATCCTGTAACATCTCTGCACATGTTTGAGAAACACAATCAGCAAAACAACAATGATATGGGGAACACATGCTGGGGCCCAAATGATATGGCTCCACAAATGCATTAATTTACTGAACTGAAGACTCACCATGGCAGTACGTTCCATCATTGGGTATGAATGTGTTCATGTGATTGGACGGGCTGTAGCCGGCAAGACAGGTGCAGTAATAGCTGCCGTGCGTGTTGTGACACTTAGTGTGATCGCCACAGATTCTACCCAGCTGACACTCATCTTTATCTGTAAAACCGGAGCAATAAATACAGTTATCATGTGATGTACAGATTTGCGTAGTTACAGAAGCCCCATAACAAAAGTGAAATATAAATAGCATAGCCTATCTGTTTATCAATCAAAAACATAGTACTCAGGATAATCAAACCTTGGCAATGAGTCCTTCCGTTGCCGACAAATCCATACATGCAGTTGCACACTTTCCCCCCAGATCCGTCAGTTTTATCATCACAGGTAGCGTTTTGATGACAAGAGGCACAAACATCCACTTTGTTTGCCTTCACTCTTATACCTGAGGAGAGGAAAAACCTGGATTGACATTTCCATTTTGAAATGAGGATACTAAAGCCTAGTATATAAAATGTAAATCTGGGACTTTTGGGGATTTCTGGGAAAAAGTGTTTTTTTTGGGGGGGGGGGGGGGGGGGGGGGGGGGGTGGGGTTGGGGGTTTACCAAATAAGTGAATAACAATATATAAAATTCTGTACAATTTCTTGGAAAATTAGTGACATTAATTGAGATGGTCAAATCATATTGGATGATCATCAGGTTAAATTGACCATCAAGGTAAACCAAATACTTTATGTAAATAAACTTAATTCACACTAATTGTTATCCTGATAATATAATTTATAATGAAAAAAAGTATTTACACACACACACACATATATATATATATAAACACACACATATACATATACACACACAATTTTGACAATCAATAGTTGCATAGCTTTATTAATTCAAGGATTAAATAATTTCAATCTTTTGTGACTATTTAAAAATATTTGATAGTTGTGATTAGTATAGTCACCTACAATTGTTTGATACTGACCTTTAAAGATGCTTTGAATCATCAGGAAGCATAAGGCCACTCTTTTGACTGTCATCGCTGTTTTTCTCGCCTCTCTTCTTGTGAGCTCAATACATCACTGTTCTGTTCCACATTTCTCCTAATTTCCCCCTAAAGACCCTCCTCCTCCATTCTGAACTCTGTTGATAGTGGTGAATGAGTGTGGGGCAGAACGGTTAGTTGAGGTCAAGCACATCTCCTCTCAGCTTTCTGAAGGACATAGCGGTCTGTGCGGTTTGTAATGAGCATCTATTATCATCAGCGCTGACACATTCAGTTAAATGTCGCTCTCCGAGAGGGAACCTGCTCATTCTTATGGCCACAGGAATTGCACCATCACTGGCCACATGCTGATTATGACTATTTTTGGCTGCTGTTTATGAAAGCTGCCAAACTGCTGTGAATACACCCATCTTCAATTTCCGCTGATGGGCTATCTATAAAAAAAATTCCTTTGTGTTATCAGTGTCATGTTATTTTTTTTAAATTGTATCATGTATGATTAAAGTTGGCTTCTAATAACAGTAAATTCATCGTCTTACCTTTTTGGAGGAGTAGATCTGGTCTATATATTTCTGATGCACAAAAGAATAACCTAAAACAAAATTTAAGTTCTTTCCCAAAAATATCACATTGGAATTATTCTTAATAAGAACAACAATAACATAATGTTCTTACTATGATCATGACAAAAAGAGTACAAAACAAATAAATGAACATACAAGTGCATGACACATCTACAGCGCCAACTCTAGTGGATATCGAGTTAACACAGTTTGGGTATGAAAGATAAGAGTTCTCTGCACTATCACCCTCCTAACACACCCCTCAAACACACACGCACACACACACACACCAACCCCTCCCAACAAAACAAAACACACACCCTCACTCAGCTCATCCGGAAACCTCCAATGAGATGAGAAACCATTTCCTCCACCTGACTGCTGAAACAAGAGTACTGTATATGCTGGTGTGAATATATGCACTGCTTTTATTCAAATGTACAAAACAGACACCAGCCATATGAAGAGATGGAGCTCATGAGCACTGTACAGAAAATGTGCCAGTTCTGCCATCTGAGATGTTTGGATGTGTTCTGAATATAAAACATAAACATACTGCACAGTACACACTGAATATATTTTAAGTATGAGTGTGCTGTGTGCTAAAGGTTTTAAAAAGTAGTATGCAACATTGTTACATCATAACGTGCAAGATAACGTAACCTCGGTTCCCTGAGAGCAGGGAATGAGTATTGCGTAAGTAGCTTACGCTATGAGAAAACTCCTTTTCTCGAGAATACTGAAGCCACATTTTTAAAACGCAGTGCAGCTGCACAGCAGCCACATAACTGAGAGCCTAGCGCGCTCATTGGCTGTGCTGCGGCAACTGCACGAACCAAGGCGAGGCGACTCAGGCGCACGAACCAATCAGGCCGCTTCGCGCCCAGGCGTGTCAGAGCCCGCCAGAATGGGCGTGGCTTATAGCTATATAAGCCCCCCATTCTCTCGATATAAATCAGGTTAAATCGACTGAAGCGATCCCCTGATAAGGACGACTCTGGAGTCATTGGGCCCGAATTCAAGGCAGGAAGCGCTCACTGAAAGCGCTTGCAAATCGCCCACTCGCTTGACTAATGCCAGTGCTAGCAACAGAGCAGTTTTGAGCGAAAGATGTTTCAGGTCAGCGGACTGAAGCGGCTCAAATGGGCCAGGACCGTGGAGAGGTCCCAGACAGGTACAGAGGGGGGTTGAGGTGGGTTTAGCCTTCTGGCCCCCTTGAGGATGTGCACGACCAGGTCGTTTCCAGGCTCTGTGCTGCACACCAGCCGGAGAACACTGACCATTTTAGAGCGTAAAGACGCCTGGTCGAGGGCGCACTTGCTTTAGTGATGGTTTTCAGCACCTTTTCTGGGAGGTACCCGGATACCCGTTGAGGGGCCATACATGGAGGGCCCACAAGTCGGGACAGGGATGCCAGATTGTCCCGTTCGCCTGTGTGAGGAGGTCTCTCCTCAGCGGAATCGGCCATGGGGCTGTTTCCAACAGCTGAGCCAGCTCGGAGAACCATAGCTGGTTCTTCCAGAGAGGGGCTATCAAGAGCACTGCACACTTGCTCTTCCTGATCCGTTCGATGACCTGAAGTAGCACCGTGACCGGAGGGAATGCATACAGCGGGCGGCTTGGCCAGTCGTGGGCTAGCGCATCCCTGTCTTTGGAGAAAAATGCTTGGCAACGAGCGTTGTCTTCTGAGGCGAAAAGGTCGACCTCTGCTTTGCCGAAGATGCTCCATATCAACTGAACCGTTCGCGGGTGAAGCGACCATTCCCCTGGGGGAACTTTGTCTCTGGATATCCGGACCCTGGTTCAGAATGCCTGGCACATGTGCCACTCACAGCGAGCACAGGTTGTGCTGAGCCCATATAATGAGGTTTTTGGCCATGGCGTGCAGGTTGCTCGACCTGAGTCCACCGTGGCGATTTATATAGGTTTTATATATACGATTTATATATACCACCAACATGTTGTCCGTCCGGACCAAGACGTGGTGGTCTTTTAGGCATGGGAGAAAAGCTTTCACCGCTCTCATCTCTAGACAGTTAATGTGTAGGCGTCTCTCAGGGCTCGACCATAGGCCGGAGATGGGCCTGCCCTCGTAAAGGGCCCCCCAACCTAGGTTAGAGGCATCAGTTGAGATAACTTTCCTCTTTTAAAATCACACACATACTCACGCCGGTTTGGTACCAGCCGGCTGCTTTCCAGGGAGCCAGGGCTCTGATACAGCCGTGGTTCACTCTGACGACAACCACGCATGAGCCGGTACACGGGGTTTTAACAAGCGCTGATGAGGACGCAAGTATAGTAGACCCAGCTGGAGTACTGATGATGCTGAGGCCATGAGACCTAACATCCTCTGAAATCTCCTGAGAGGCGCGCAAGCGCCTGCTCTGAACGATGTTGCTAGGCGTTAACAGTAGGACCGTGTACTGATGAGCCTGCCCCTCGAAAGCGAATCTCAAGAATGGCCTGTGATGGGGCGTTATTTGAATGTGAAAATAAGCATCTTTCAGATTCACTGAGAAAAAACAATCCCCTGGGTCGAATCTGCGCGAGGATTTGTTTGGTTGTTGGCATTCGCTTTGTTCAGGTGTCTGAGATCTAGGATGGGCCTGACGCCGCCATCCTTCTTTGGAACGAGGAAGTAGCGACTGTAAAAGCCTGACTCGCTTAGTGATAACGGGACTGGCTCTACAGCTCCTTTTGCTAACAGTTTCATCACTTCGGTGCGAAGGACGTGAGCCACGTCGCTTCTCACTGTTGTCTCGACCACGGCTAGAAAGCGTGGAGGTCTGCCAGCAAACTGTTCAACACCAATTGTGATATCCCGGGGATGGCCTCAGCCCGCATAGCTAGGGGTTGAATGATGTCAGGGGACGGGTCTGCATCAATGAAGCGTACCGTATGGAAGCCATACGGAACGCAGTTTGTCCCGTCATTTTCAGGCATATGCTCTAAATTGAGAATTAACCATTTTTTTGAGACAAATATTTGTTTGATTTGCAAACATACAGCTCTACCGACTGTCGCTCCGGCTTCACAGCCAGCGGGACTCAAGCTAATGGCAAATCCATTCTTTTACTGTCCACGTTTTGATTCCGGCTAATCAGTTTGGGCGACTACAAAAAACGTGATTATTGTTCATCAGTCCAACATTAAGCAACGTAAGAAAACATGCAATCTACCTGAGGGAAGACGACAGGCATGCAAACTTTAGGCAAAAAACAAAAGTAGGCCTAGTGCTTTTTCCCATTTTTAAAATGTCGCCGTTGGCATAGATGAAACAAAGATGGCTAAAGTCAACCGATTTAGCTAATAGACCTACATATTTTGGCTTTCTTCTTCATTTACGTTTGTCTTTGTTCAGAATATTTTTTTTTTAACAAAATCCAAAATTTGAGCCAGGAAAGTTTCTGAAATTTGGTTGATTTTTCCACGAAATGACCCAAATGCGTTTGTCTGAGAACCTTTTATAGCCTACATCTTTTGTACACATTTAACTGCAGATGCTGAAATGATATGCACTGTGTGGTGGTACAGTACAAATATTTTGAGTGTTTTATTCTGTCCCTTATTTTCCTATAAAGAACCACGATTGCCCCTTATTTTCCTTTACATAAGTTGGCAACCCGTAAGTTACTTCATAGTGTGCACAGCACAACCTACATTTATGACATGTCCAGCGCGGGCCGGAGGGAAAACTGATTCTGTTTGGACAGTGCTTATGTGCAGGGGTGCGTACTTCATAGTGGGCACTAGGGCTGGGTAAAAAATATCGATTTCAATCGATTCTCATTTTTGGGTGGTTCTTCAACTACAGGCACTTTTGGCCTTGTGAACTTGAGGGGGAAAAAAGTGTTCAAATCAAAATTGTCACAGTCTAACAGTTAAATATAACTAGTCTAGTTTAATAATCCATAAGAGAACGCACTTACATTATAAAACAAATTGGTGTTTTTTGACATATGTTCCGATCCGCACTGAACAAATGTCATTTCCATCACATGTACATATTTGATTATTATTTAAAGATATTATGATATACATAATTTCTTAACAGTGTAAGACCACTTTCACACATAGTTTTACCAGTTTATACCTATATTGCAATTACCATAGATTTGTGGATTAAGTAAATGAATTGTCAAGAGGCCCAAACACAAAGATTACATCCACCACAACCTGAAATATAATATTGGATTGGTTAGATACATTTCAGAAAAATAACTACTTGTGTTATTACATTAAGTGGACCATTATCCCTTAAACTATGCAGAAGTTTTTAATGAGTGATTAGAATTTTGTACATATTTTTTAAAAAGTTATGAGGTGGTGGAAATGGCTGGGTGTTGTGGAAATGACAATGAATGGACGTCCATGTAGAAAAACAAATATATATTTGAATAAATACATTAGCATTGTACATTTCAATAAATAAAATATACATATATAGCCACACAATCTATGAATTGCATCTTGTAACCATAAATGTCATTTCCACCTCACCTTTGTCATTTACACCCAAGAAGGTAATATGTTGGAAATGACGGTGGTGGACATGACAATCCTGCAGTATTTTGTAAAAAAAATCAAAGCTAGCATCTACAGATTAGCTATGAATTGGTAGCTAGCATTGCATGCATGCAAAATACATCTATTTATGTTAAAAAAAATCTATTTATTTACAAACTCAATTGATGTTACGCCATGTTTTGGAAATGACATACAATAAAAATATTTTCATTTTAAGCAATATTTACCTTGGTTTTCTTCACCAAGTTGGTGAAGAAATTCAAATCTCCTCCATGTCAGATGTGCTGTGATGTCATTGTTCATCTCCATAGAAACTACCCAAACAATCTTTCAACAAAAACTTTTAAAAGGGACATTACAGCGTTGTGGTGGAAATGACGGCAATACTGTGGGACAACTACATTTTGTATATAAAATCACATTTGTAGTTGTCTGACCTCGAATACCACAATTATGTTTTGATTATTTTACTGATACTTTATTCAGTCATATTTAAAAAAGAATAGATAAATAATTTTTTACACTTCTTTTTCATTATTGAAGATCAAGT